GGGGGGGGGGCATGCAGGCAAGTCTCTGTTCGATAGCCATAGGACACATTTGTGTGAGACCTCCGCCTGTGTAGCAGCCGCAGGCCCAGACGGTCATATCTCTATGGACACACATTCTAGGCGGTTCGAGTTGCAGGGTTGTTTTCAGAGTTGAGAGGGTAAATGGTTGGTTTAGCGGAATCGAGAGGGTGGTGGGTATGTGGATTTGGTGAAGTTGCTTGAGAATTTGGCGGCTTTCGAGTGATGCGGGAAGGAGAAAGGCATTGGAGGTGGATTGGTTTAGGTAGCAGTAGCATGCTTCGTAGCGTCTGCTCAGCGAGCCGAGAGGAATACTCACTGATGTATGATGGTTCTCCAACCGCCAGTGAATCGGGTCTAGGTGACGCAGAAGGTCGGGGTGAGTGGATGAAGCTGGTTCGAGTCAGGTTCTCTGCGACCAGCACAACTGTGGATGACCGGCATCGTGCGCACATGTGCAATCGTCAGACTCTTCGCTCGAGATCTTCGCCAGGACCTTACAGCAAGCATTCGAATGCTCCATCGCTGTCGTCCCATCGCTCCGCACAGTCCTACCGCAGCTGCGCCTCCCGCTCCCGGCAGGCAGAGGGTATTCGTACACCGTACGCCCGACCGATGTTGGAAATTTCACAATACCCCTCTTCCGAAGGTTGGCTCCATGCAGGATCGTCCACGATGCTAGGGTGTCCACATATTCACCACAACGGCACTGGATGTTTCGTGCGTCGGTGGTCCATCGCGGCTGTTCGTGGGCCCTGCAGAATCGCTTCACGGAGCTTTGGGCGACGAAGAAGGCGCCGCAGGGGCACGTGAACGTTGTATTCCAGGCCCAAGCTGGTATCTGAGTGCCGCATGAGCATGTTGGGGTTTTAACGAGCGGCTCCGTGTTGGGTGGAGTGAACGAATAGCCAGTTGAGGTTACGACGTAGCCGCATGAACACTGCACCTGACCATGGTCCAGATGTGGATCTGGGAGTGTAGTGTCGACGTGTCGTCCACAACGGCATTCGATGTAAGTGGGGTCCAGCCTCAAGATTTGCAATGGCTCAGCAGGTGGCCTATACTTCGGCTCAACAGCAGTAGATTTAGACCTTGACGGAGTAGTGTTGGACACAAGCCGATGCAATCTCGAGGTTGATGCTCTGAGGCGGTCTCTGACAGTCGTTGAAGGTGATGTCTCTTCGTAGGGCGGAGGCGGATCTTCTTGTGACGCGTTCTCAGATGCTGTGGTGTCTTTGAGGGAACCCATCGTTAGGCTGATGCCCTGATCAGAGAGCTTTGGACAGCGAGAAAACTGTTTGAACGCCGTGGAAAAGTGCGAGCATACTTAGCTGATACCTGTACCTTACACCGGTGTTGCAGATTGTGACTTCTGCGGATTTGCTTGGACGTGGCTGAGCCATGCAGCCTCGCGCCTTGTGATCATGTTGCGTTTCAGGTTTGGCTACTGCCATCACATGCTACTGCGCAAGACATGATTGCCAACGTGCCCTACACGCATGGCTTCGACTGTCTCGGTAGCAAAGACGTCGCTACGCCTGGCATCGTGGTAAGAAGGAACATGGTCGATGGATGGGTTGGTCATAGAGCCATCGTGTGACATCCCCGTCTTTGGCAGTATCGACGGTGCTCGTGTGTAAGTGTACCTTGGCCAAAAGATCAAGATCAAGATCAGGATCGAGACGGATCCGTACACGTAGCAAGAATAAAAGTATCGTGTTAGGAGAGCAATGTTGCTTGCAGTGAATATCGGAAGGCCAGCAGTGCGGATTCAGCCGCGCGCTAGTATGACGCTCGGGCCCCCATACAAGCTGGCCTTCGACCTGACATTCCCTCGTTCTCCCTCATCAGCAAACAACTCAATCCCACGACGACTCGCAGTCATATACACCAGCTCACCACAAAACCAGCCATCACTGCGATCAATTGCGGCTTTACAGCAGTAGCAAGCCAACATGGCAAGCTGGCTGGACCAAGACTTCCCGGATGAGGAGGAAGACGACTTCAACCCGCAGGCAGAAGTCGCTTCTGACGATGAGGCCGACGAGAAGCCACAGCTGAACGGCGATGCTGAAGACGAGGATGACGATGTGGCACCACAAAGATCACGCTCGCGAAGCCGGCAAGTCAACGATGAAGTGAAAGATGAGGACGAGGACAAAGACGACGACGTGGATCTGACAGGAGGTGATGACGACCAGCCGGTGGAAGTCGACGGCGATGATCATCCGGCTGTGGGCGATGAGGATGACGAAGAAGTCGCGGACCAAGATGATGAAGAGGATGAGGAAGAAGAGGAGGACGAGGATGATGACCTGCCTGGCCGGCCTGCGAAGAAACGGCGGAAAAACAGACGCAACCAATTCATCGATGTCGAAGCTGAAGTAGACGAGGATGACGAGGAGGAGCCTGAAGAAGAGGACGACCTTCCGGGCGACGAGATGCACCCGGACGACCTACAAGAGCTGCCTGCAGATGCTGACAGAGACGACCGCAAACATCGTGAACTGGATAGGCAGCGCGAGGCAAAGGAGCAGGAGACTGCCGAAGAGCAAGCACAGCGGTTTGTGGAACGATATGGGCGAAAGGAGCGTGCGGGTGCGGCAACTGGAGCTGTTGTTCCGCAGCGATTACTCCTGCCTGGCCCAGAAGACCCGCACATCTTTCGGTTGAAGTGCCGCCCTGGAAAAGAGCGAGATGTCATTCAAGGGATTAGTCTGCGCATGGCCGAACGTCAATATTCGAGAGAACCCATCCTGATCAACTCCGCCTTTGAACGCGGTGGTGTCATGGCTGGCAATCTCTATGTTGAAGCGAGGCGACAGGAAGACGTTGTGGCGGCTGTAGAAGGCTTGACACACGTCTTCTCGAGCTACAAGCCCCTGATGATACCAATCGAAGAGATGCCAGACTTGCTCAAGATCAAGAAGAGCAGCCTTCTGGAGCCGGGCATGTACGTCCGCGTCCGCAAGACCGGCTGGTACCAGGGCGACTTGGCGCAAGTCGAGGATGTCGAGAGCAACGGTGTCGACGTCACACTCCGCCTTATACCTCGCCTGACGTACGGCCTCACAGAAGACACGAATGCGCCGGCTGTTTTGGACCAAAACGGCAAACGGAAGCGCACGAAGACCACCCAGCCACGCCCGCCAGCAAAACACTTCAGCGAGACTGAAGCGAAGAAGAAACTGGGAAGATACCTCTCGCGAGCTCAAGGCTTGGGCAACAATGCCTTCACCTTTGAAAACGAGGACTACGTCGATGGCTTTCTCATCAAGAACTTCCGAATCAATCAGCTGCAAAGAGACAATGTCAACCCGACACTGGAAGAAGTCACGAAGTTTGCATCTGGTGGCGAGGATGGCACCGAGAATCTGGATCTCAACGCCCTCGCCGCGACCATCAAGCAGACAAAAGCCGAAGATTACCTGCCGGGAGACAAGGTGGAGATCTTCCGCGGCGAGCAGAAAGGTGTGACTGGAAAGTCCGTGGAGGTCTATGGAGATGTCGTCAAGATGCGAGTCGACTCTGCCGGTGCTCTACGGGGCCAGGTCATCGAAGCACCGATCAAAGACCTTCGGAAGCTTTTCAGGGAAGGCGACCACGTCAAAGTCATCGGAGGCAGCAAGTACGTCGACGAAGTCGGAATGGTGGTCAAGAGCAAAGACGACAGGGTCACTCTGCTTACAGACAGCAACAACCAGGAGATTACGGTCTTCAGCAAAGATCTCCGTGAGGCTACAGACGCTGGTGGCAATGTTGCTGGCAGCAAGTTTGACCTCTTCGACCTGGTGCAGCTGGACGTCTCGACAGTAGGATGTGTCATCAAAGTCGACAGGGAAAGCCTGCGGGTCTTGGATCAAAATGGTTCGATCAGGAGCATGCTTCCTTCCGCCATCTCGAACAAGCTGGAGAGAAGGAGAAATGCTGTTGCTACGGACAGCAACGGAAACGAGATGAAGATTGACGACACCATCAAGGAGTTTGGCGGCGAGCAGAGACAGGGTCGCGTTCTGCATCTGCACCGCAACTTCGTTTTCGTCCAGAACCGTGAGAGGGTCGAAAATGCTGGTGTCTGGGTAGCCCGACACATGAATGTCACCACTTTGAATGCCAAAGGTGGTCGGCCGGGTGGTCAGAACGGGGTCGACCTCACCAGGATGAACCCAGCCATGAAGCAGAACGGTGTGCCGGGAGTTATGGCACCCCCACAAGGCAGAGGCCGGGACCGGCTCATCGGCAAGACTGTCAAGCTCCGCAGCGGCAATCAGAAAGGCATGATCGGTATCGTCAAAGACGCGACCGACCAGACCGTCAAAGTGGAGCTGCACGCCAAGAACAAGGTCATCTCGATCAATCGCGACCATTTGCAGGTTATCGACCCGCGATCTGGACAGCCGATCGATGACCGTGGTCGTCCAGGCGGCGGCATGCCCGGGAGGACACCGGCGCCTGGGGCTTATGGGCGGACGCCTTTTGGTGGGCCGGGAGCGGAGGGAAGGACACCGGCTTATGCTATGGCTGGGGGTGGGAGGACGCCGACTTGGAAGCAGGATGTTGGGTCGAGGACGCCTGGGTATGGTGGTGCTACTGCGTATGGCGGTGGTGGGTTCGGAGGGACCACTGCGTATGGTGGGCAGACGAGTTATGGTGGCGGGACGAGCTACGGTGGTGCTACGACTTATGGTGGTGGTGGAGGCGGCGGAGGAAGTGTCTGGGGTGGCAATGTAAGTCATGTCCAGCGCTCATCTTGCGTTCTGATCGGATGCTAATATATCGCTGCAGCAATCGACCTGGAACCCCAACCCCTCATCTCGGACACCAGCGCACAACCCTGGCAACAAGACGCCAGCCTACAGCGGTGGCCTCGAAGCACCAACACCTGGCTTCAGCGCTCCCACACCGGGAGACCAGCCGACGCCTGGTGGGTTTAGAGGACAGTACCAGACGCCGGCTGCGTATCAGACTCCTGGCGGGTTCCCGGAGACGCCTGGGGCTGGGTTTGACGATGATGGGCCGCGGTATGATTGATTGTGATGGTGGGAGGGGGTTTGGGCGTTCGTTTGCATAGACTGCCTTGACGGCATGGAGGAGTTCGGAATAGTGAGATTGGGATGAGCGATGGTGAAGTTCGGGTGCTTCTGTAACAATATCGCGTTGGAGCGAGCTGCTCTTCAATCATTTGCTGCTCTGCAATGGCGCTGCTATTCGATCTGCTCTTTTCACCAAGCGTCTACTGAGTGCCGTTGTCGTACATTCTCAAACTCGTGCAAGTACATGTAGAATGTGAGTTTCCTGGAGCTCGTTGGCCAGAGGTAAAAGTCGCCTCTCGGCGAAGCCATCGAACTTCAGGCACTCCTGCTATCAATACGACCTTCTCCAACCAGACTAGATAGCTGCCAACACGACACCCAGCCGCTGTCAGCTGCTCTCAATGCACGGCTCCGCCATAGCATGCTCCGCCGCGTCCTACCCATTCTACTGGTTGCATGCTTGACAACACTGCTGCTATTCACGATTTTCCAGCGAGTGTCATGGCGCGCGTTACCACAGGCCGTTGGACTCGGAGAAGAATATGGGTCCTTGGAAGAGGCTGACGATGCAGCGAATACAGGCTCAGCCATCACAGTCCCTCAGGCGGACGCACAAGAGCCAGCAGATGTCGACCCGAATGCCTGGAGAGCAGGCGGCTCCGAAGGCTTCAAGGAGCCCAAGGTCGAGTCGAAGAGTCCGTATCCTGTTGGACAGCTCAAGCCTGCGGGCAGCAATTACACGAAATGTCTCGTCATGCCGAAGATGACGGGTGAGAATGTGGACTGGGTTGATCACGAGCTTGGGGATTTGGTAGAGGCTGGGCTATTGACGACGGCGGTATATGGCATGGACGATGACAGCATGGAACTGCGTCCACCTCGGAACAAGGGCAATGAGGTCATGGCATATCTGAGCTATATCATTGACTTCTACGACGACCTGCCGGACGTGGCTCTCTTCATGCACGCGCATCGATGGGCCTGGCATAACAATCTCATACTGGGCAAGGATGCGTCGTTGATGGTGCGGCATCTGAGCGCAGAGCGAGTGACCAGAGATGGATACATGAACTTGCGCTGCCACTGGGACCCAGGATGTCCAGACTGGTTGCACCCTGGAGCTATCGATCGCGACTATTGGAAGCAAGAGGAGAGTATCTTCGCCGATTATTGGAACGAGCTCTTTCCTGAAGCACCCATACCCACAGTCCTCGCACAGCCATGCTGCGCCCAGTTCGCAGTCTCCCGCGAGAGGATCAGAGCCGTACCAAAAGAACGCTTCATCTACCTCCGCGACTGGGTCTTGCACACAGAACTCTCCGACTTCCTCTCCGGCCGCATCTTCGAGTACACCTGGCAGTACATCTTCTCCTCCACCCCGCTCCACTGCCCCAGCATGAGCGCCTGCTACTGCGACGGCTACGGGTTGTGCTTTGGTGACGCAGAGAAGTTCGACTACTATTTCGAGCTGAATTATCACCTGACGGGATACCAGAAGGAGCTGAAGCTCTGGAACGAGCAGGCGGAGACGATTGCTCAGGCACGCGAGCAGGCTCATGGTCGGTTCAGCGGGGAGGAGGCGCTGGATGTTCCGGAGGTGGGGAGGAATGTGACGCTGAGGGAGGAGATCACGAAGCTTGAGGAGGCGATGAAGGAGAGGAGGGAGGCGGCGTTTGAGCTTGGGAGGGATCCAAGGCAGAGGGCGAAGGAGGCAGGGAGGGTGTGGGTGGAAGGGGATGGATTTTGATGATGCGTTCTCATACACTTATCTCGCTTTTGCGAAGCGGTGTTGATTCTGCGTTCGAGCGTCATGTATGAAGACAGCGAGCATTTGCTGGATCTAGGAGAACGAAAGCGATATTAAGGTGGAATGTCAGCGCTAAAGAGGCTGTTTTGGCGGCTTTGGTGCGGATCTTGTTCGCTGTCCCGTTGATACTTAAGTCCGACCTTTGTAAGCTGTGGTACACGGATTGATGCCTCGTTGATACTTGCCAGTTGGGTTGTGATTCTCGTCAGTCATCTCTCAACACTGTCAACTGCGGTACGAAACTGCCGTAGCCTCGTACGAAGTCTCGGCTTCGAGAAATGTCCGAGGCGCGACGCCGTCATCTATAATCCAATCTCTGGATCTTCACTTTCATCTCTCACCATCTCACAATCAAAGAAAGGCTCTACATACTTCTTGCGTCTACTGTCTGTAGTACCGTAACCGCTGGACCCGAAAACTCGAGTACCGCAGCACACGCGACCCGTCGGACGGGCACAAGCACAACAGTAGCCCCTTGGCAGCGGCCAAACAAAGCAGGAGATTCCTTGGCCAATATGTCGGCGCCTGTGTCCGAGACGCCGTCCAACAACTCCCTCAAGGATGATGAGGAGAAGGCGGCATCACCGCCCGAGAGCCAGCAGGAGCAGAATTCGGATGCCTTGAAGGCGAAGGACGATGCCCCTCCACCAGCGCCACCTCAGGACTCTGGACCACCGGATGGAGGACTCACGGCGTGGCTGCAAGTTCTGGGATCGTTTATGCTGTTCTTTAATACTTGGGGTATTCTGAAGTGAGTCCCACAACAGCTGCATCCATCATCGATTCCTCTGCTGACGTTGCTCCCAGCACCTTCGGCGTCTACCAGACCTTCTACGAGAGCGGCCAGCTATGGACCGAGAGCTCCTCGAACATCTCCTGGATCGGCTCGATACAGTCCATGATGGTGTTGCTCATCGGCGCCTTCTCTGGACCTGTCTTCGATCGAGGGTATCTTAGGACGTTGTTGATTGTTGGTAGCTTTCTGGTGGTGTTTGGGCACATGATGCTGTCGCTTACACATAACTTCTGGGAAGCACTGCTTGCGCAGGGATTTGTGATTGGGATTGGTGGTGGATGTCTTTGTACGTTACTAACCATTTCTCTTCCAGTACGAGATGAAAGCTAACGAGATCCAGTCGTACCCGCTGTCGCCATCATGCCGACCTACTTCAGGACCAAGCTCGGACTGGCCATCGGCCTCGGTGCTTCTGGGTCTTCCATGGGGGGTATCATCTACCCCATCATGTTCTACAAGCTCATCAACCAGGTCGGCTTTGGCTGGAGCGTACGCATCCTGGGCTTCACCGCACTCGCTACCCTCATCATCCCGATCGTGGTCATGAAGGTCCGTGTGCAGCCGAAGCAGGCTCGCAGTATCATCGACTGGACGGCCTTTACTGACATCCCCTTCATGCTATTCGTCTTTGGATCTCTGGTCGGGTTTATTGGACTTTACGTCTCGTTCTTCTATACCTCGTACTACGGACAAGCGACCGGACTTACCAACGCCAGCCTCTCGTTCTACCTGGTGCCCATCCTGAACGCTGGCTCTGTGTTTGGCCGGACTCTACCCAACCTCCTCTCAGACAAGATTGGCCCACTCAACGTCATCACGCCAGGGGCTTTCATGGTCGGCATAGTTCTCCTGTGCTACCTTGCCGTTGATTCAGCTGGCGGCATAGTCGTATGCGCATTGTTCTTCGGCTTCTTCTCGGGAATCTTCATCGCCCTTCCTCCTGTGCTGTTCGTGGCACTGACGGAGGACAAGCGCAAAGTCGGAACGCGTATCGGAAGTAAGCATACTCACACCCCATACATACCGCTCTTCTCCGTGCTAACAACAGCTTCCAGTGGGCTTCACCATGATCTCCGCCGGCGTCCTCTGCGGCGGCCCAGGAGGCGGTGCTATCTTAGGCCAGAATGAGGCAAACCTCCACTGGACTAAAGTTTGGACGTACGCTGGAGTCACGACGATTGGGGCCGGGTGTATCTTCGTGATACTGAGGTTCATGAAGGTGGGGTTCAAGATCAAGGTGAAGGTTTGAGAAGTGTTTGTTTGTAGGAGAAGATGACGAGGCATAGAGATAGACTGATTTTAGCACGCATAGCGTTGGAGGTTTGTATGGTAATTTGGGTACGCCGGGATTGACAGGACGAGGCGTGTTTTGCCGATACTCAGGCTGTTGAATATGAGAGATATTGTATCTCCTCTCGCGTCTTCGGAGCTGGTACAAGGCTTAAATGTCTTGAAGAGCTGCTATCGTGCTGCTTCTGTGGGAGAGAAGCTTCGCAACTGGAAGCCTGATGGCACATTCTCATACTCTCCTTCTACAAGCCGTCAACTGCTCTGCATATCGCCCAAGCTTACGACAGTGTTTCGTAGTGCCGCATGAGTCTTCACGGTCGCGGAGGAACTTGAGAAATGGCGTCGATGGGCAACGCAAGTCCGCCTACTACTTACTTCACCTCAAACTCTACTGGCTCGGCTGAAATCATGATGGGCTCACCATCCGGATCATCCAAATCCTCGATCTGCCCTGACGGCGCCAACACACCATCTTTTCTCCCCCATCTCCACCATTGGACCTGCTCACCCTCTTGCACCCCATACCGATACCTATGGCCCGCCTGCAGCCCGCCCGCCACTGAGCTCGCGACACGCAGCCCACCGCTAAAGATCACTGGCACGCCCGGATCGAGCGTGCAGAAATACTGCTCGTCTGAGTGCCCTTTCGTACGCGAAAATGGCTGGCGCTGGGGGCCTCTTGTTGTTGATAGCCGCATGGCAGACTCGGTTGTCAAATCTAGACAGGTGAAGTTGTCGCGGCTCTGGGCGAGGCTGAGGTGGAAGATCGTGGGCCAGGTGAAGATGGTGATCGGCCGAGTGGCCTGCGACGTCACCGTTATTGAGATCTTAGGGCGCTGTTCCCAGTTCAATGGGGGTGACTGCAACGGATAGTCCACTGTGCGCTGTTTGGGGTTGCCGAAGACCATGGTTTGAGGCTCGATGGCAAGTATCACTGACAAGGGTGGAGCTGGAGATGGGGATGGAGAAGGCGAGCTGCCAGTCTTCTTTCCCTTTTGACGTCTCGTTTTGTTTCTCTTTCTGTTTCTGTCGTTCTGGTTTGCCATTCTCTGGTCGGTTTTGGTATGCGAACCAGACTTCGTGGAGCGTGCTTGTTAGGAAGAAGTATAAGGCGCCTACGAAGCAGAGCTCGAAGGATCCGTATTTTTATGATCAGGTTTGTCATGAGTAACGACTTGGGAGTTGGCTATTGTTGTTAGGACATATGAACACGCTTGTCGATTGGTCTTTGAAATAGAGCCTCTTGTCGTCAAGACCCTAGTGCTGTCTCTTATGCCTTTGACGAATGGCATTGCTAAGAGGGATAGAAGGGATACTATCTGATCTGATGGTAGGGTGCCTCTTGCTCGCAGTCGCCCTGGAACGCCATCACAAAGCTACCTGGACGGCGGGTGGTGTGACGTTCGAACCGCCTTCACATGCATGTACGCAGGTGAGCTCGATCATGTGCCATGCCAAACACCGAAAGAGCGACCGAACGACCTTAGCTCCCCCATGCTGCACGCACGCCTCTCATGACACCTACCTACCTCTGTATCTCGTGCCGCTGCACCTCTCGTACCACTGCACCTCGCCCTCCACCACCGCATCAAGCCCATGCGCCCCTCGGCCGTAAAGAGTTCGCCGACGTTGCAGTGCAGATGATCCTACTCCCGTCCGAGCATAGCTCCTCAAGCTCCCATGCAGCCTTACGACGCCGGTGCCATGATATCGGTGCATGTGCGTCTTCTTCGAGAGAGCTTCTTACCGCTTTGAACTGTCATACGATGGGGAGCGGGGATGGGCATGCCTTGAATGGACTTGCTCCAGTAGGGCTTGCTGGGGGTCGCTGCAGGTGGTGGAGGAACGTCGTTCTGTCGCTATCGCATGTACGACGTATACATGCGCATGCAGGACTTTACTAGTTCTGGCTCACATGAGGGTAAGTCAACTCTGTCGTATGGCATGTCGACACGTCTGCACCGACGTTGCCCAGAAACTCCTCCAAGCACTTCTCGCGGGCGGCAGGATTCCGAGCCAATCGGGGTGTTGAGGGACAGAAACAACCAACATTTCTAGAAGGGATTCTGTTTGTGATAGGACGACCGTACGATGGCGGTTGCGTACGCACGAGACGACGACTCGACGAGACATCCACGAAGCTTGTCCTCGCTGGCAGAAGGGATACAGTGATACAACTGCCGGTGCCCTCGTGGAAAGATACAGCGGAATGCAGGCCCGATGGCTTCTCGATTGCGAGGCCTTGCAGCGGCATCGATCGAATGCGGTGGAGTGCGTGGCCCTCTCCATACTCGTGAAGGCTCCACTTCCGCTGACTGATGGCAATCTCACCTCGAAGTCGAGACTCGCTCGATGACTCGCAAGAAATGTTGAGAGTGCAATGAGCCTGAATATCAGTCTCCCTCCCTCCCCATGGCTTGGTGGCTTCACTCTGAAACAACTGGGAAACGGGACATAGGGCCGTAAGGCAGAATCCAACCACGTGGAGATCTCCTATACAGGGAGGTTGGCTTACTATTGGTGGAATCGCTGACGTTCGAGAAGGTGTTGGTTGATGAGGGGAGATAGGAGGTAGGGGCCAAAGACAGGCGTAATTCCGACTCTGCGGACAAAGACTCTCCCGAGCTTACAGTCCTGGGATATGAGCTGTTGTATCATCCCAACACACTCGAGCCTATCAACGCTGCGAGAGGCATATATCGATGTCGTTGTCCAAGGCCTAAGGTTTGGAAGGAGCATTTGAGTGGAATAGGGTTTGATATGAGAAAGTTCAAGCGATCCAAGCCGGCGGGGTGTGGACGGCTTCTTCCAAACTCAGAATCATCATCCCCGTCTCTCCAGACTCGACAAGATAGCGTGGGGTTGGGCAGTGGACACCCGACGATCACGTTTGAAAGCCCTAAGTGACTAACATACTCTACGAATCGGTGGTGTCGAGCTTGTATCAAGGTCCCGTTCGATGGCCATCGAGATCGAAATCACCGCGAGAGATTGCTCCAGGATTCTTCTTCACCGGAATGCACGCAGCACGACCTCCTGCACGTCGGAGGCCCCGTGGGAACGGAGTCCTCACAAACGTCCGGGACCGCACCTTGAGCTCCGGTCCTGCAGATTGATTCGCCGCAGCAGTCAGAGAGGGCGGTGGCTTGAGCTTGTCTCACACCACATGTTCCATGCACGTGCAGGGCGGAGGAACGCCCAGTCCAATGGCTGCTGACTGTCACGCTCTCCTACCATGCCATTCCTTGTGCCATCTCTGAATAGGCTCACGGAGAGGCATACCGCGATCAATATGTCGCCGGCTGGGCCAGCACTCACCCAAACGGCACGGGACCAGCGTTACATACACAGTGGAGGACAAGCTTGGCCCCAATATCTGACTAACCCGCTCCATGTCGTCAGTCCTGGTGGTGTGGTGGGTTTCGCTTATCTGCAAATCAAAACACTGCGTCTACTGCGGCACCGCCTGTCCTGATCGTTTTGGATCAATAAGCAGAATCCTTCAGCCCTACGGACGAGACACAATTTGACGAGGGACTGCCTGATTGGCTGCCGCGGGCCTGTACGAACCAAGCTTCTGACAGCGTGGCCTTACCCGCAATCCTGTGAATCCTTCGAGAGGAGCCGTTGCGTGGCCGTGTACCGTAGTGCCGAGTCTCTGGGAGACTGGGGAGCTTTACGGTACGGCCGTCGCGAGGGAGAGGAGTTGGTGCTACCTCCGTTGGACTTGGAGTGGATTTGGCAAGCCGTGGGCCAGCGTGCCGTCTTCGGGGCCGCGCTTCTAGTAGGTTCACGCAAGATAGGGCAGCGAAGCTGCTGTGACAAGGGAGATACCCCCGACCATCGAGTGTTGCCTGGCAATGTCGAAGTACAAACCCCAAGTGACGTCGAAAGATGGTGGCTGCCCACCGCAAAGCAGTCGGTGAAAGAGAAGGGGCTTTGCTTCGCTTATGCAGGACCAGCGCCGTATTGGGCAGGAGCTAAACCATTGCTAGCTAGGCAGGTGCGCTGCGCTGCTCTTTGGGCCTATTTTCGCTCGCTGCCCGCCAAATCTTCACCGACTAAGCCACGCCTCTTCATCGTGCAGATACCTCCCGATGAACGTACGGGCCTGCCGAACGAAGCGAATCAAGGACTCTCCAGTCGATACTACAGGGTGGAGAACCACTGCTGGATGACTACAACGTTACTGGCCCGGCGCAGCGAAAGGTCGCCGTTGCGGTCGGAGGAATACCGCATCTGCAACACCGCACGCCTTGAATCCCCGTTAAGCCCGTCCCGTCCTGCCATGTTCCGGTGAGCTAAGCGTGGGCTTGAACAAGCGTTAACGTTGTCGACGAGCGTGACGCGACAATCGATGCCTGTATGGTAAAGAGGGAAGACTGTCGAGGGCTTGTGCAATTCTCGAGCAGACCGTCCGGCCAACTAAGTACAAGGCTGACCGCCTACCACATGACTGCCGAGCATGCTTACGGGCATGGATTCGTCCGAGTCCTACGTGTTGTGATCTGAGGTCGCCGTCCTCTTTTTAATCAAAAGACATGGAACAGGTGGCAGCCATGACACGCAGGAGAACCCGCACTCGATCCCTGTACCCATGCAGGGGTCACTCTGGGCGGGACGACAGAAACGCATTAGTGTGGCCCGTAGGGCGGTACAGGGTCTCTGGGATCAGAAGCAAAAGCAAGTGGCTCGTGCTCCGCGACGTGCTGCGCATCTCGTTTGGGGCCGAAGCTATATTCTTATACTTAGACCTGCTGCTTCGCCCCGTGCTCTGCCTTGGAATCCTCTTAACAGTCGCGAACTGTCCAAACAGCTATAGTTGACGCCAACATCGCCAACCTCAATCCTGCCTCACCAACACGCCGACCGACAAGGCTGATTCCTTCCTCCACCATCTCGTTCAGGTACCCGTCGATCATCCGCCTGGCTGACTAAATCTCGTCGTCGGTCAACCTCGACAACTGGACGACAAATCACTCGACACAATTCTTCCTTGATTGAACAGACACTTTGTTTGATAGACTGGATTGACAACACACTCTACTGTCCGGCGCATTTACGCCGCTGCTGGTGGGTGTCGAAGCTGTTCTAGAGCTCGCTTAACCTGACGCCTAACCGTTGGAACAGTTCTGGATAATCTCCCTCTTCCTCCTCGAATGCGCTGAATCCTCGACATGGCCACCTTTGCTGAATACCAGTCGCAAACAATGGCCTCCAACAACGACTTCACCCTCTACCCCTACCCTGATCTGTGGAACAACGAGCAGAACTTCCTACCAAGCTCAACGTACCAGGACCAGAACTACCTCAACGCTACATCCTTCGACTCATACCAAGCAAATCAACCTTACGTGCAGCCAGATCAGTACACGTTTGGCGGCGACCAATCCTTTCTATCCAAGCACAATCTCCAACCACCGAGCTCGAATTACTCACCATCACATGCCGCATCGCACTCCTTCGACCTCCAACCCCCGGTGCTCTCCTCCAACTCCGACTCTGGTGCCTCCATCCAAAGCGCCATATCCTCCGCGATCGGGTCTCCCTCCGCTCAAGCTCGATCATCACACGACTGGAGCCAGCAGCAGACCATGAATATGCTGCCTGGCATTGTACAGCAAGACAGCATGAGCCATGATGTGTTCGCGACAACCAGGTTCGACCTCGAGACCATCCCTATCACCGACAAGGGCTGTGTTGGTGAGTTTTCACATATTTCCTCTTCTCAGTTTATCCCGAGCACGCCATCGTTCGATACTTCGATGTTCCCGTCTTCTTCGTTCGACCTTCTGCGAGAGGCTGGCCCTTTCGTACCAAGCACTGGGGACGCCAGCTGGCGGCTGCATTCGAACTCACGGTCAAGTGCAAGCTCTGAGCGCACATTGTCCGTGGTATCCAATCTCACGCCTTTGCAAAGCAACCGCGTCGAGAGTGTGAGTCCGAACGACAGCGTCTTCAAGTCACCCAGGACACCAGCCTCTGCCACCTCTCCAGTGATCGAGCGCGTTAAGGGCAAGCGAAAAGCCTCCGTTGCACCAGCACACCCCAAACGAGCGCGTGCATCCTCGCCGCTCACCCACACCATGTCCTACTCCGAAAGCGACCTCCCAGCACGCCCAAATGCGCCGCCTCCCACTTTCACATCTCCTTTCTTTTCTCAGTCCAGTGGCAATTTCGTCCCACCGCTTGAACTTTCTTGTCCGTCTCCTTCCTCGTCTCGTATTTCCTTTTCAACTTGGTCTTCGTGCTGGCTGAGAAATGAAGAAATGTATGCTGACTTCTGCTCTATTAGATCCTGCCTTGATCCAGCCATCTTACTCGCCATCGCAGTTTACCGGCAATCCGTTTGCAGACATGGCAGCTGCACAATCACCCCGAAACATGGTGTTCAACCAAGGACCTTCACCAGCGCCTTCACACCCAGCGCGGAGCCCACGAGCACCGGCAAGCAAGCTGTCAGGCACCGCATCACCATACATGCGAACACAATCCTACCAACCCTATCCGGTCTTCAACGGATCAAGGCGGCAATCCATCTCCTCAGCCCACTCTCCTCACAGCCAAGCCTCGCACTCCTCCGAGGACTCCAACAAAGGCCTGTGCCCCATCGCGGCGTGCGGCAGGCACGTCAAGGACCTCAAGGCGCATATGCTCACGCATCAGAACGAACGACCTGAGAAGTGTCCGATCCCAACATGCGAGTACCATACCAAGGGCTTCGCACGAAAGTACGACAAGAACCGACATACTCTGACCCACTACAAGGGTACCATGGTCTGCGGCTTCTGCCCCGGCAGCGGCAGCGCAGCGGAGAAGAGCTTCAACCGTGCCGACGTCTTCAAGCGACATCTCACATCCGTCCACGGCGTCGAACAAACACCACCCAACGCGCGGAGGAAGAGTCCCTCCGCAGCTGGCAGCAAGAAGGGCTACGGCCGCGAGGTCTCCGGCATGTGCTCGACCTGCGGCGTCACCTTCGCCAGCGCACAAGACTTCTACGAACATCTCGACGACTGCGTGCTGCGCGTTGTCCAGCAAGCCGATCCCAGCGAAGCCATCAACGAGAAGCTCCTCACCTCCATCGCCGACGACCAGCAAGTCCAAGCGACGATGGAGAAGCACATGCTGCCCACCGGCGTCGACTTCAGCGCGCCCACCTCCTTCGACGAAGACGAAGAAGTCGAGGAAGACGACGACGCCGCCGAAGAAGACGCCAACGACGGCACCTACGGCTCCCGCTCCTCCCGCTCCGGCAAGGGCGCCCTCCGCTCGAAGAAACCGAGTTGACAATCAGCACATCCCCGAGGTGTCTCCAGCCAGCACGTCGGGGGTGGCGACCACGTCTCCAGCGGTGGTGCTGTCAGCAAGCCCGGCCACAGCAAGAAGGGTCTCACTTTATCCAAGAACGGCGTCCCCCTCTCCGGCCCCATGACCGGCAAAGGGTCGAAACGGAGGAAGAACTATCCCCTCTCCTGGGGCGCCGCACCCGAGAAAATGCGCATGCGGAAGCGTGTACTGTGTGTCTACGACGGGCAGAGGCGGCTGTGGAAAGATGACATGATGCTCGATTCCGAGCACGAGGTGCGGATCCCGCTGAACGACGAAGTCGGCGTGAATCGCGCCTGGGTCACCGACCTCGACGTCCAGACTTTGCGCAGGGCGGAGGGGATTCATAACGCGACGGAAGAGGAGAAGGGCCCGTGGTTGGATGAGGGGGAGTTGGAGCGGTTGATGGAGTAGTTGTATTTGTACGGAATGGTTTGCTTGGTTTGCGATTGGAGGGATGGGACGACATGATACCACTCTTGCATGAGCTTGGACTTGACGAGGTTATGAATATCTTACCTTAGCGATATGCCTGCGCTTAGCGTGTGCGAGATGGTGGACGCTCGTTTTGTGCTGGACACATGAATTGAATGAATGGACACTTTCAGTACACTTGCTCGCTGCCTTCTCCGACTTGAATGCTTTCGACTTACTTCTTCAAACCATTGTTGGCATTGGCATGGTCGCTACCGCCCAAATAAGACCACTTCGCCTATGTCCTTGTCGCGCGTAGAAGTTCTGTGTGCAAGACTTTCGTATCCATTGAACGTGCGTTACGTGTGAGCTCCACGCACTGGGAGACAGCATAACAACTCCAAGTCTACATGCCCCCAAACCCATCCCCCTCCCCCTCATCCTCATTTTCACTCCCCCACCCCCCAACCTCCCCACTCCGATCCCTCTCCCTCTCCCCTCTCGCCGAGTGCACGACACTAGTATGCACCCTAATCTCCTCCCCTCCCTCTCCGCTCGAACGCACCGTAAGCCGACTCTCCACCTGCTCCGCCACGGCCTCCAGATCTGCGTCGTCGAGCCCGAAAGCCGCGAACTCGTCGAGCGGTAAGGCGTCGTGGGTGTTGAGTTTTGTGCTTGCGGGGAGGGGGCCGCCGAAGATCCAGCGGTCGTTGCTGTCGCCTGCTTGGCCTTGCGTGAAGAAGGTGCTTCGAGGCTTGTTGCGGGCGCGGAGGTTGATTTGGCTTCCTGGGCTGCTGTCGTCGAAGGCGAAGATTGAGACGCGGGAGTCGACGTGGAATGGGCAGTAAGGGGGGTTGGTTTCGACTTCGTTGGCTTGGGATCCGGATTGTTGGAGTGGCTGTGACGGCTTATAGGTGTTCTGCTGAGGGAGAGGAGGTGGTGAAGCCGGTCGAAGACTCCAGAAACCGTGCGGGCCGGCGGCGGTGCAATCGTCCGCCCTTCTGGCCTGTGAAGAGTCCTTGCCGGCACGGATAGGTGGGAGCTCGAAGTGCTTTTTTTGGTGCTTGTCGTGCTTGAGCCCGGTGACTAACTTATCTCCTCTCCTATACTCCGTTTGAGAAATGGGATGCAAATGCACCGTCCCACCAGCGGCAACAGCCAACAGCGTCCCACTCTGTCGCTTCACCCATCTCAGCGAAGCGTCAGAAGATGCACCTTGCAAAGCTTTATGCCGTATCTTGTTGTCCTCGGAGTGCCAATACTCGTTCGCTCCACTCTTAGCAGCACTCAAACCCTGACTCAAACCCTTCGCCAGAAAGCGACCGCCAGCGTGTCCAGTGCTCGCAGCCGTCTCGCGAAGCCCGGCGAGTGTCGGCATACCGAGTGAAACAGGGTTATTTGCTCGGATGGTGCCGGCTTGAGTGCGAACCTGATGGAATCCGGATCTCAAACTGCCGAGAAAGCCAGGATTGCTGGGTGGTGACATTCCTTGTGAGACACTGACGGTAGCTTGTGCCTTTTCCGGTGCTGGGTTGGTGATTGTGCTTTTCCGCTTTCGCTTTCGCGAGGGTGCTGTTGCAGGAACCTCGTGTAGATGCACGGTCCCATGTGTGGTGAGCATGGCGAGGTACTCGTCGTCGCGAGACCACGCGCTCTCAACAACCACGGACTGGCTACTTCGGGGTATGCGGATGATCTGCTTGACGCAGGGACTACAGATGGCTCCATCATCCTTCTCGGGCGCCGCGTAATCGACCGTGCCGTGCCTTGCTTGTTTTAGATCCCATATTGCCGAAGCCTCGCCAGTGCGGTTGACGGTGAGCAAGCGAAGGCCGTTGGAAGAAATGGAGAGGTGGTTGCAGCCTTCTTCTAGTGCGAACGTGGCCATGGGAGCCGGTGGATACTTCAACTTCAGCTCCTCCGCTTCCAGCAAGGTCTCAAGATCGATGATTGACACCACCGCCGGCTCTCTAGTCTGCCGTCTCGGATCATCAGGCGGAGCTTTAGTCGGCGGGAAATGGTCTTCTCTGCTCGCTGTACGGCCATGTTGCGCAGTTTGGTTTGTAGGATTCACCAGCTCATTCCAGCCTTGCCATCCTATCTCAAGGCCTTTCTGAGAGTACCTGACCACGCCTTGCGCGGCTTGGCGCGAGAGACGGCTCCACGTGCCCTCTGCGTCAACCCCAGCTGTGTCACAGGTGATAGACGGCTGCGGAGGCGCACCATGGCTTGCGAGACCTGGGGGCGCTGGGTTGAGATCTAGAACCAGTGGTGTGCCTTGGATGGAGACCTGTGATGCCGTTGCTGGCGGTACTATAGCTAGCCATCGCTGGCTGAGGCTGAGGAGTGGTACACCAGGTTTGCGATCGCCGTCCTCGGTAGTCTCAGCGCCGTCTGCAGTCGCTGGTCGCGAAGCAGGCCTGTCAAGCGAACTTTGCAAAGAAGTCCAGAACTTGCCAATACACCTGAAGCCTGGGGGTTGATTTGCATCGTTCGACACATGCGAAAAGACGAACACTTCGCCGCTTTTGCCCGAAGCTATGGTGACGAACTTGCCATATGCTGATATCCTCAAATCTCCAACCGGGCCAGGTGTGGTCGATAAATGGCCAACAGTAGGTTGCTCAGCCGCCACTGTATGACTCCTGTATAGCGTGGCAACGTGCTCCTGGGTCTGCAAAGAATAGACTTCTACGGTCGTCTGGTAACGTGCCGCAGCTGCGGAGGCTGCACGTCGGTCACCGGACGCAGAATGACCGTTGCCGCCATCAGTCGCTCCATGAACAACTACCGCCACCAAAGGACGTATGCTCTCCATCGGATCTTCCAAGCATGTCTGAGGTAAGATCTTCGCTCCAACAACACTCCCACGTAAGCCCTCCAATCGTCCTATGACTTCGAACTTGTTCGGCAGCACTCGGAAGACTTCCAGACCTCCTTCAGAGCCTACGAGCAGCGCAGTCTTGGCTCGCGTTGACGAAGTCGAATCGCCACTGTCCGCGAACGTGTCAAAGCAGCAACAGTAACCATCTGACCCCGCAGCTGTCGCCGCCTGTTCCTTCTTCGATGCCATGTTAAGCCCAAAGTCCGGCAACCCATAGAAGTGCGGCTGTGGCATGTGTGGTGGCGCTACTGGTTCGACGAAGCGCTGGTTTGGAGAGACCCGAGTTGCTGGTTCGACGTAGCGTTGGCTAGGAGAGGTTCGAGCAACTGGCTCGACGTACCGCTGGCTTGGCGATGCTCGAGATGTATACGACTCCCTCCTCGTGACGCTTTGCCTGCGGTAGCCGTTCGCCCCTGCGGGCGGTTCAGCTTGACCATATGGCGTGGCGTGCCGAAGTGCAGGCGAAACTGAGCCCACCACTGGTCTCGCTGGCGCAGGACGTGGAGATGGGCGAGGTGACACCGCAGATTCTGCTGGTGCTGGTTTGCTCTTTCGTGCCGGTTGCACAAACTCATCCGCTTTCCTCCTGTCTGGAGATTCTGCCCTTTCCTGCTCTTGGAAGCCGTTTGTGAGCTCTGTATCCCATCCATCACCTTCGTAGTCATTTTCTGGTTGCCGTGCTGTATTGGTCTTTGATTTTCTCCTCCCGTATGCACCATTTGCGCTCCCAAACTCATCCCCATCCAGGCCTTCCGTCCCAAAGTCCATCGTCGGCTGGAACATCATACCCTCCACTCCCACAGCCTCCCCTCCATCCTCGAATCCAAGATCTCGCCCAGCAGCCTCCTCCCCCAATATCACGCCCTCTGCATCCGGCACTGCATCTACCACGCCCTCCTGCCCCTCCTCCACCACCCTCGCCGGACTCCTAGCCACCTTTCTCCCCTTCTCCTTCTTCACACCCTTCTTCTTTGAGTCCTTCTTCCCCTTCTTTCCCACAACCGCCGGAGCGGACCCCCCCTCATCGTCCCTTCCCCCATCAACCCCGCGCGGCGGCGAACCAGAACCAGTCAGATCCACGTCGTCGAGTCCCAGGATGAGGTCTTGATCGTTGCGGGCTGGAGGCGGCATTCAGCCAGCTTTCTCTCTTTCTCTCCTTCAACCCTTCTATCTTCGGCCGTAGGGTTGGATGTGGTGGTGTCGTGGTGATTTATTTGGTATACTGGTGACGTTGGTGGGAGTGGTGGTAGAGAGTGTAGACGTGTATGGGAGTAGAGTCGGAGCAAGAGTGACGTTGTCAGCCGCCGGCGTTCAGGTTTCAGGCAGCGGGGGGCCCAGGCCAGGGCAGCTGATGAGAAGCCGGATCTCTTTCTTTGTGACAATAGCACGTGTCCTCTTGTCCCAGCAGCCGTGCAACAGCAGCAGACAGGCTATCGTCCCTTTCCTCTTATAAGACGTTGTCGTTATCGTCCAAACCCCTCTGATTGCGCGAGGCACTCGACCCTCCTCAGAGTGGGGTGGGGTGGCGGGGCTCTCCCTCTACTCACTTCCAACGACGACGCAGAAGGCGTGGAGAGGTAATGGAAAGGACAGATGTTCGTTCGGCTTATATACAACACTCTCGATTGGATCTCGGTCTGTTGTTCGTTGGGAAGTAGTTCGTAGGTAACTAGGTCGAGCGGCAAGTGTTGACAGATGATAGCGAGGGTAGCGGGACACAAGCAGGGCAAGCAGGGCAAGGCAAGCTGTCTACCCTGCATGAGGCCAAGCTCCACGGACGACATGAGAGGCTCATGAGTCGTGATGTGGTCAGGTGGGCGAGGTCATGCGTGCGTAAAGGTACGATGTATACAATGGGAAAGATGAAGTGGGATAGCAGTTCGGTATACTGGATTGTTGAAGAACTACCTCTCTATGCTACACTCAAAACACCGAAGAGAAGCCCGGCCATCTTTTGACCTTAACTTGACCCTGCCACCCACGATCTTGAGACCACGCCTCGTCTTGCCTTGCAACGCCTTGGAAAGCAACAAGTCCACCTCGCCATGCCATACTTCTAACTCGTTCACCGTCTTCCAGCGATAGCACTTACCTAGCACCAGGCGGCCTGTAAGCACCCCCGCTCCTCGCACCCGGTGGGCGATAAGCTCCACCCGACGACGACGGCGGCGCAGCAGGGCTCTCGCTCCTCTCGGGACCCGACGGTGGTCCACGCCTCTGCCATCTGTCGCCTCCATCGCGGGATTCGGATCGCGGTGGCATGCTCTCGCCGGCCGCGGCTTGCTTCGCGCGGAGCGCCGGCGGGATGTAACCACCTGACTTGTTCGGCAGCGCGGCATTGTCTGTAGCGACACGCTCGTCGGCGACGGGAGCCGATGGTGGTGGTGGTGGTGGAGCTTGGGCTTCGGCTTGTGGTTGCGGAGAGGAACGGGCAGCCTCACGTTCACGCCAGCTTGGCCTGCCACCACTCGCGCCAGCAAGGTTGAGGCGGGGAGCAGTCCTCTCACCTGAGTCTGCCGTGACGGGCTCTGGACGGCGCGCACCGTCCATCGACGGACGCTCACCTCCACCACCGAACCTGCTGGGTGGTGCACCTCCACGCTCTGCCTGCTTCCTCTCCAATCGTCTCTTCTCAGCTTCTTCCTCACGCTCCATCTGCTTCCTCGCTGCCTCAGCACGCTCAGCACGGCGGCGCTCTGCGTCAGCCTTGGCCTCCGCATCCTTGCGCTGTTTCTCCTCGGCCGCGCGTGCAGCCTCCTCTTCCTCGCGTGCAAGCCTCTCCTCTTCCTCACGACGCTGTCGCTCCTCTTCTTCGGCCCTCCTCTTCTCAGCCGCGCGTTGCTCGCGGACTTCACGACGACGCTGCTCCATCTTCTGGTTCAGTTCGCGCTCAGCAGCTTTGCGGCGCTTCTCAAAGTCGGCGTGGCGTGCGTCGGTGATTTCGCGCTTGAAGCTTTCGTACGTAGGTACGAGCCTGCTGAGGCGGTGCTTGAGGGACACGTCTTCCTTGTGCTTCTGCTCCGCGTTTGCCATTGTCTCCGCCTTGCTCGTCTCGTACGCCTTCAGATCTCGGTCACGTTGGGCAGCGTAGTCGTCGGCCAGGTGCTTGATCTCCTCGCGGCGGTATGCGCGCTCCAGATGGTCGATGCGCTTGGCGGTAATACGGACCTTCTCACCCATCTCGTTCTTCTCGCGCTCCAAAGCCTGGAGCTTGAGCAAACGGATGCGGCCGCTGTCGAGCTCATCGATGTCCAGGCTGGAGATGTCCACGCCCTTCACGCCCTTCTTCAACTCCTTCAGCTGCTTCTCAGCTTCCTCACGCTGGACCTTCTTGCGCTCAGCTTCCATGCGGCGACGTTCGCGCTCCTTGGTCTCCTCGGCCAACCGCTCTGCCTCAGCAGCCTGCAGTTCCTGCTGTCTGACCTTCCTCTTGTGCTCCTCATCACGCTGCCGAGCAGCCTGTGCTGACTGCAAGTTCTCCTTCTTCTTTTGGATGACCTCACGTCTTGCAAGCAGATCGGCATGCTCTTTCTCTGCGCCAGCCTCGGCACGCTTCATTGCCGCGAGCCTCATCTTCTGTCGGTCTTCGTTGAAAGCCGGATCGACGTACTGCACAGCGACGTAAAGCGACTTCGCGAGGCGTGATAGCTGAGTGCGGACAATCTCGGCCGGCGTGCTCTGCAGACGCTGGACAGCACCAGACTCGGCATCTGCTGAACCACCGCCAGAGCCTGCGTGGGCAGCCTTGGAGGAAGAGAAGACGTCGGAGTCGAAAGTGAGGACGCCGGTCGCATGGTCGATCCGAATGGACAAGTCACCCTTCTTGCAGCCATTCATGATGAACTTCTCGATCATTGATGCAGACACCTGGAATGGGTCTGGGAACTGCGCAAGCGCAAGCACATCATCGAGCTTGACGTCGGTGTAGACTTGGGACAGCTGCTGGAAAAGGCGGGTGAGGATGACCTGCTGAAGCGGCAGCACGTACTTCTTCATCTCTTCATCGGCGCCGATCTGAGACAGGATAGGCGACACCTTGGCGCAGATGACCTTGGGGTGGAAGTCGGTCTCGAGGATGTTGTAGAGCTGGCGAATCTCAGGGCGGGCGCGTTGCAGGATGTCCTTGCTGAGTAAATCCTTGAAGAGGATAGAGCGGGTAGGTGGCGAGTTCATACCCAGGAGGTTCGTCAAGCGCACATTCTTGTTGTTGCGAGTGGCATCGACATCGAAGAGCGCGCCGCGAGACCGGGTGGTGCTAATAACCGGGATTGCGAGAGCGGAGAGCAGGACATATGAGGCAGCCTTGGACAGGTCGGCATCAGTGATGTTGCTTGGGTTGTCTTTGCGGGAGGTAGCGCCGGAAGCAACAGCGCGAGCTGAGACCTGTAGTAGGTTGTAGTACCGGCTCCATGCTGCGGCGTGGAAGAGATAGTTCTCGCTAACGAGGAAGATGCGCGTAAGCTTCTCGAAGTAGTTGGCCATCATGGCGTTACGAGGCTGCTTCTTCGACAAACTGAGGAGGGTGTGGATGTCCTCAACACTCTTGAAGGCCTCTTGCCATAGCTCGAGTTCGACGGCGACGTTGAGCTGCATGAAGCGGGTATCGAGATGGCGCTGAAGGGTATCAGGGTCGCTGAGGTTGATGGCGTGCACCTGCTGCGAGTACTTGGCGGCATTCTGCAGATGATTGCGAAGCAGCTCGCACAATCTCCTGAACTCAGTCTTGCGCGTGTACTTCTGGCAGAACTGAAATGCCTGGTGAGCAGTCCGCTGATACATCTCCTCGAGACGAGCATTGTTCTTGAAAATGTCCAGGACCGTGCGGTAAGTCTCCCACAGAAATTTGAGCCATGGTGTCACAATGGCCCGGTCGGTGCGGTCTTTGGTTTGCTCTCCAGAAACGGTCGCCAACAGGATCGACTCTGGCGTCTCCATGGCCTCGAGATCTCCCACATTGGCGAGGGTAGCATCAGTAGACTCGCCCTGCGTCGTGATCTCATCAGCCTTCTGCTGCGCATCCTGAACCTTCTTCTCCGCCAACTCGATGAACCTCCTGAACACAGTCTCAATGGTAGCGACGTTGGTGTTCTGGCTGGTGTTCTTGTAGTTGTAAAGCCCATCCTTCGCCGACTTGCCCTTCCTGAGATCCACGCACAGCTCGACGAACAGCAGCATCACCGGCTCCAAGGCCGCGATGGTGCTGTTGCGCGTCCGCTTCGACGTGACATGCTCGTGGAGGACCGAGAGCGCCGCCTGCTGCTGGCCGACTCCGATCAGCTCCTGGGCTCGTTTGAGAGCATTCTCCGGTTTGAACTGGGGTGGAGGAGGCATGCTGGGCAGCCCCCTCGGTTGTCGACTGCTGACGCTCGAAAGGAGGCGTCAACAGGCGAGGGTGTTTGAGTGGTCGCTTGTGGTGGGTTGGTCTCTCGAGTACTGCTGATGACGCTCGATGTGGGCTTGTCAGCTGCTGATGGCAGAACGTCGTCGTGATGAGGTCGTGGTGTGGTTGAGGAAGTGATGTCGCCGGCTGAAGAGGAGAACAATCTCTGCGGGAAGCCGGCACGGGAGCTCGAAATGGTGTCGTGGGGCTTGGCAGTATTCTTGACGGGAGAAGGTGACGACTCTCCCTTCACTTTGTGCGTCCTCGAGATACAACTTTGCCTTGTACTCTCTGCAGTGTGTTGTTGGGGAACACAAGATTCTGGACACGCGAAAATGACTGTGTGTTTAGATTTCATCACAGTGCGTCGAGTGACGCTCTAGCGCCGAACTTGGACGAGGAGCGGTGAGAGGGAGCCTGCATGAGTCGTGGCCACCTACTGGACTCGTGATCGCGACACTTCAGGTCGTGCTATACAGAGACAAGACCAAGAGAGGGAAGAGCAAGGGACAGAAGTCTGCTCAAAGAAGGCGTTCCATTGAAGCCTATGCATTGAAAGCCTGCTTGGCCATATGGCCTTGTTGGTAGGCCTACACATTGAACAAAAACCCTCATGCCCACAAACAGCTTTAGAAACCATTCGTGAGCCAATTTTGTCCTCTCCCACTTCCTGCTTCCATGTTGGAAGATGCCGTAAAGACGATCGTAAAGCATGGCTCTGGGTATCTAAGAATCATCATACAGCCTTCCATACTGCCTGGCGCCGCCCGCTGTCCCGCAAGCAACGGAACCCTACAGCACGCACTCATGCCGTCATTCTCATGTCCTCGTCCACTTCCCTAACCTCATCCCTCAATCCTTCGATGCCAGCATCCTCGGACTGTATGCTCGCAACACTGGCATCAAGATCCGAGACCACATTCTCTAGCCCTTTCACCAACGCCTCGATCTCTCGTCTCTGTTGCATTACGCGCTCCAGCACCTCGACGTTCTCTGCTTGAATGCCGTCCTGCCGCTGCTTCAGGTCCTGGGAGTGCTGCTGTAACGAAGGCGCCAAATGAGAGAGGTACAGTTGCTGCGCCGGTAGAGTGTGTGGCCTGTACACGATGTCAATCGTCTGCGCGACACAAATGCCACGGTTGATCCAACTTACGGCAAAGGAGCACTCTCGCCCTCCTTCGTCTTGCCCTTCCTCTTCCTCGCCTCCTCTATTAACCCGTCAAGTTCGTTCAAGCTGCTCACCACATGTCTGTCTTCAAGGATGGCTTCGAACTCTTTCCGCATGCTCTCGCCCAGTTTCTCGGTGAATTGCTCGTGCAGGAACTTGACACTGCCAGGGACATGTTGCGCTGCTGTTGGGAAGCAGGAGCTGAAGTTGTTGTAGTTGCATGTTTTGAGTACGTGAGCAATCGCGTCGCCGTATAGCTTCTGGAGGGCGGTTGCTCGGGGTCCAGGCGCGGTCGGTATAGGTGGTCGACTGGCTGGCGATGGTGATCTAGAAGATATTGAGCCGTTCGTGGTTTCGGCCGCCATGTCTTCGACTAGAGAATGGCTTCACGTTAAAGATCGCGCTGTTGCCATCGCGTTGTTGATTGATGTCCTACCCGATGAAGTAGTTCGGCCCGGCTCAAACGCACGAGCCAACGCTTGATTACATGCCAGCTCCACGCGCATCGCGACTTTCGTTTGCGACTGCCGCCAACTCTCACTTGGGACCACCTTTCACAGAAGCGCTCCTTCACCACCATTGACAAGCACACTACCCTACCCTTCCGTCCGCATTGGTGTCAGCAGCAACATGGCAGACTACGCCAAGAAGAAGAACGACGAGCTGGCGACGCTGTGTAAGGAACGCGGCCTTGCTCACACGGGCAAGAAGGCAGACCTTGTGAAGCGACTTGAAGACCACGATGCTTCAGCGACGTCAGCCACTACGACCACTGCTCCGGCCATGGACGACGAGATCGACTGGGACGACGAACCTGCTACCGAAGCCGCAAAGGCAGCTACAAGCCAGCCAGCCGCAGACGCTCTGGAAGCTGGAGGTGTTGGTGTTGAGGTGCCGAACCCACAAGCGGTGCCGAACCAAATCGTAGCAGAAGACCCAGCTCAAACCGACGACCTCACCGTTGCCGCCGCCCCTACTTCTGAGACACCAGCCGTGGAAGCCAAGGAGCCAGAGAAGGACTACAGCACCGGCCTGGCTGAGCGCACCATTGACGAAGAAATCGAGAAGCGCAAGGCTCGAGCGCGCAGATTCGGCATGCCCGAGGACACCGACGACATTAAGGCACTGGAGCGCGCGAAGCGATTCGGCACGGCTGATCTGCCAGGCATGATGAACAAGGCTCTGCCGACTGCTCACGACAGGAAGCGAGGAAGGCTGGAGGGCGAGGCGGATGGTGGGATTCGCAAGAGGAGCCGTGGTCCGCTCAGGGGTAGGGGAAGGCCGGGAAGAGGTGGTGGGCGGGAGAGGACGCCGCAGAGCACCAACTCGGGTTCTGGTGGGTACGCGAGCTGGATGTCGCAGGCAGACAAGGACGCGGCGGATCGGAGGAAGGCGAAGTTTGCTACCAGCTGAACGAGAATGAGCAATGAAGGGATTTTACTGTGGTTTGGCGACCCGATGATAATGGCGTGGAAGCGCCCGCTGCTTGTCTTGCGTCTCGAGAAGCTGCTGAGACAGGAAACTCGAGGCTGAACGCGCGATTAGGAAGCTGGCCGATTGATGCAGCTAGGCGGTGCCTTCACTAGCGACGCTGTTCTAGAATTCGAGTCTCTCTATTTACATAAGCAATTCAAGTGCCGCAGGCCAATCCAGTCTATCGAACCACGATCCGGGACAAGCGGTGCGAAGCCTTTCGATCGAGCCCCTTCGTGGCTCTCTTCATGTTATATTGGGGATGGTTCGAGCACTGCGAATGACGCTCCAGTCTAGCAGGTCTGGCCCATGTGTGACAACCGATCGTCATGAACCTCACAGCTTGGCCTTTTGGACTTCCTGCGGTGTCCAGGCCTGAACCTCCTTCATCTCCAGATAGTTCTTGGGAAAGAACTGCGGGCCGAGCACCTTCTTCACTACCTTTCCCGTACCTGTTGACACGAACAATAGTCAGCGATGCTGCCGAAGCCAAGCGAAAAAGCCAGGAGAACATACCTGATTTTGGGAGCTCGCCTTTGATCAGCCTTAAGATCGTAGGCATCTTGTACCCTGCCAACCGGGCTCGCAAGTCCTGTCTGAGTTTCTCTAGGCTCAGATTCGTTATGGGCTCATCTTTCTGGTCTTCTGGCTCTTTGAGAACAACCGCAGCCGCGACTCGCTCTCCGAATTCGAGGTCAGCCACTCCAACAACCATTACTTCGGCGACATACGGCAATGCCAGTATCTCCCGCTCAATATCCAGCGCTGATATCTTGTAGCCTCCAGACTTGATGATATCGATTGAAGCTCGCCCAAGGATCCAGTAGTAGCCGTTCTCTTCTCTGGCGATGTCACCAGTACGATAATAGCCATCCGGTGTATGCGCTTTCGCAGTGGCGTCAGGATCCCAGATATACTTGGAGAACATCTCACCAGCGCCCGAGCGGACAATCACCTCACCCTCATTCCCATCCTCACCAGTCTCCTCATTCCGAAGCTTCACATCACAGCCGGCGAACAGATTCCCCACTGACCCATCCGGCACATTCTCATCCCCAAGCCGGACCTTGAAAACCGCCCCGAACTCCGTCGCCCCATACCGCAACACAATCCGCTTCCCGAGTATCTGCGCCCAAAAATCCGCAATCGGCTTCGGCAACGCCGACGTCCCGCACAAACACGCCTTGATCTCCCTCGCGCCCTGCAGGTACTCCGTCACATTCGCCTTGGACGCCAGTTTCTGCTCAAAATACCGCATCATCCGCATGTAAATCGTCGGCACGCCGGAGAAGACGGTGATGCCGCCTCGCCGCCAGCGCTCCCAGGTCCATTCGGCAGAGAAGGAGCCGCTTTTGAATTCGAGCACGCAGCCGGAGATCAGGCCCGGGAAGAAGTTGAGGCCGATGCCGGTGGCGTGGTGGACGGGGAGGAGGTGCAGCATTGTGTCCGAGGGGCCGAGGTTGTAGTGGTCTGCGACTGCTAGGGCGGTGTCGTGGATGAAGCCGCGGCGCATGACGGCGCCTTTGGGTGGGCCGGTCTGACACGCTTAGCAAGAGTCTTCAATGGTGGGTGGTATTGGCAAGGACGGGAGCGGTATCGCTCGCTTAAGGGGACACACTCACCGTTCCTGAAGTGAAGATCACAACACCCGGCGCATTGTCAGAAAGATACTGATCAGACGACATCTTGATCTCGCTCGGATGAAGCGGCGTGTTATGCAGCGAGGGCGCCACATTCAAACAAGTGAACGAGCTTCCAGAATCCTGGCCTTTAACCAACTTCTCCACCGCCTTTCCTAACTCCATTGCAGCAGAAGAACAGAGCACAGAGACGGCCCTGGACTTCGTGACGAAGTACAACGCCTCTTCAGGCGGAAGGGCGACAGTCATCGGGACAACCGCTGCCCCAACTGCCAGTGCCGCAAGCGTGGCGACGGTGTACTCATAGCCTCCAGCGGCTAAGATGGCGATGTACACTTCCTCTCGATTGTCCAGCTGCTGTCTTACCGCCGGAGATAGTGATGCCAGTACTCGTTCCCGAAAAGCTAGGACGTCTGTGAGTAGTTGGACATGAGTTGCCTCGACACCGGTGTTGTCGTCCCTTACGCATAGTCGTGGTGGTACGGCGTGTGCAAATCTGACCAGGCGGTTGAAGAATGGATGGGCTGGGAAGATGTTGGGCCCGACCTGGCGAGGGACGTGGTAGGTTCGGTCGTCCATTGTTCGAGATTGCTGTCGTTGCTTGGCCATATGTTTTTCTATCGGCGTAGCATCCTTCGTAGGCCTGGATATGTCGTTCCGCGAGTCGTAGGCGGTGTTCGAGTTGACGGCCTTCCGTTCCAACGCTTCGAAGATGGTCTCACTGCTGGATCCAATTGAGGCCTTTTGGGGTATAGAACATTAGATCAGCATCGTTGGCATTTCGATGTTCTTGGATGCAAGTGGCCACACCCGTATCATTCGGGAATAATTGTTTCAGGCATCTCGTCTCCGCACCCCGATCTCGGTGGGGTGTGCCGAGGATGCGTTGGGTGGTCGACTTCGAGGACGTCAACTTGACCTGGACCTAGGCAAGGAATATTGCATTTTACTTGCAATCTAAATCGATGCTACATCTCTCCGATGTCAATATCGAAATTGATATAACAAGAAACAGATAGAGAAGCGTCAGAGTCTGTCGCGACAGGACAGACCCCCGGAGTGATACGAAGACACGACCACTTCAAAGCAAGCTTTCGAAGTCCATCATGCCTGACTTTACGGACAACCTGAAGCCCGCGTCGCCGGACGGCACCACAATTCTCAGCCAGGAACGATCACAGTCCAACGTACCAGAAGACGAACTAGCGAAGCACCTACTCTCACGCAATGACTTCCTCGGCCGCCAGCAGCGAATACTGCAGGTCCTGGAGAAGGACCCGTTGTTCAACAAGTCCAAACAGATGAATTTGTCTCGGCCTGAACGGTACCAGCTTGGCCTTGCTCGAGCAAAGAAGCTCAGGCGCTACCAGGATCAGTATCGTTGGGACGAAGAGGATGTCAGCATGTCGCAGTACTTGTGCGACGATGTGAGCCCGTACATGGTGCACTATACCATGTTTGTCACGACTGTAAGGGAGCAGGGGAGCGATGAGCAGAAGGCGTACTGGATGCCGAGGATTGAGCGGATGGAGGCTATTGGGTGTTACGCTCAGTAAGTTACAATAAAGAAACCGCTCGAAGTTAGTTCTGACCTGCTCTCCAGGACTGAACTTGGACATGGATCGAATGTGCGCGGCTTGGAATGCCAGGCTAGATGGGATCCTCAAGCACAAGAGTTCATTCTCCACAGCCCGACGTTGACAGCCAGCAAATGGTGGAACGGAACAATGGGCAGGACAGCCAACCATGCCATTGTGATGGCTCAGCTTCTCCTACCAAAGTCGCAAGGCTCCAGCGAATACGTCAGCAAGGGTCCGCATCCATTCATAGTACAGATTCGCGACATGAAGACCCATCTACCTCTACCCGGAATCGCAGTTGGCGACATTGGTCCGAAGTACGGCTACGCGCCCATGGACAACGGCTACCTACTATTCGACCAGCACAGGATACCGCATTCCGCAATGCTCTCGAGGTACTCGATGGTCGACAAGAACAACGGAACCTACTTCCAGCCCAAGAACGCCGCTGTAGTGTATGGCAGCTTGACATACGTGCGAGCTCAAATCATCATGCACGCACGACTCATCATGGCTCGCGCTGTTACGATCGCTGTACGATATACTTGCGTTCGCAGACAGTTCTCAGACCGAGACAGCAATGACCCAAAGGCTCCGGAGCTAGCAGTTCTCGACTACCCTACGGTCCAGATACGGATCTTGCCACTTCTCGCGACCGCATTTGCACTTCACTACACCGGAGAAGCAATGCACAGGCTCTACGAGACTACGCGGGCACAGATTGACAAGGGCGACTTCAGCAGAATGGCGGTGCTACACGCACAATCTTCAGGGCTGAAGAGCTTGTGTACAGAACTGGCCGCCAACAGCATCGAGACCTGTCGGCGGGCTATGGGAGGCCATGGCTTTGGAGGTGGAAGTGGCTACATACAGCTCAACAACGACTACCTTTCCAAGCCGACGGTTGAAGGAGACAACTGGATGATCACGCAGCAAACAGCAAGCTACCTCATCAAGAGAATGCAAGCTGCAGTGTCTGGGAAGGACAAGCCGCAGGACGAGATCGAGGAGCATTGCCGTCAGTACCTCAGCGAGCGAAAGAGCCACAGGCCAGATCAGCTCCGCATCTTCGACAAGGACGAGGACATTGTCGAAGCCTTCCGCAGGCGATCTCGGGACCAGACGTACCGAGCGCACATCGAAAGGAACGAGCGCAAGCGTAGCTGGAATAGCTTGTTGATTCAGCTGCGGAAGGTCAGCCATTCGGAGTCGCAGTCAATCCTCGTGGCCAATTTCTACGACGCTTTGAACAGCAAAGACGCCTCGGTGTCGCCAACACTTCGAGCTCACCTGTCCACTCTCTTCCGACTGTTCGCCTTCTACACCATGGACAACGAAGCTCGCGACTTTTCCAAAGCAAACGCTGTGTCCGAGCAAGACCTTGACGCTCTGCCTTCAAAGATCCAGGAACTCATGGCGCAGATCCGACCACACGCCGTCAAGCTCGTTGACTCCTGGAAAGTGCCGGACTTCCTGCTCGACTCTGCATTGGGCCGGTATGACGGCAAGGTCTACGAGGACCTCTTCAACCGTGCCCACAGGCTCAACCCTCTTAACGAGATCACTTTCAACCCGCACTACAAGAGCGAGGAGATCGTGATGGGCGGCGGTGACGATCTGAAGAAGATACTGGCGAAGCTGTAGTCCTAGTCATTCATTCTGAGCTATCTGTACAATCATTGAAACTCGCACCATCTAGATCTTAGCCTTAGCAGGGTGATCCGCCTTCCTCGAATAATTATAGGAAATCTCCCTGAAACTCTTCGCTGCCTCACCTACAAGCTCATTCCTTAACGTCCCATACACCCCCATCTTCGCCTTCGGCGCCCACGTCTTCGCCAGCTCCATTGCCACATCAAACATCTGCTCCGGCTCCGCAATAGCGTCAACGACACCATCCTGCAACGCCTCCTTCCCCGTCCATCGGTGCGCTTCCAGCAACATCTTCCGGGCGATCTGAGGATGGAGCTTCAGTCGTGGGAGCGTGCCGATGCCTGGGAAGTGCAGACCGAGGTTGACGGGCGGCATGGAGAAGAAACCGCGTTTGCTGTTCATTACTCTGTAGTCGTGGCTGAGGGCGAAGGGACAGGCTCCGCCGAAGGTGTGGCCGGTGACGAGTGCGATTGTTGGGAATGGGAAGTCCACGATGGTGGCCAGGAGGGGGAAGAAGCCTTCGGAGTTGGCGTAGGGGTTCCTGTCGGACTCGTCTAGTTCGAGGCCCTGTTGATGTTGTTGTGAGCCCTTGGAACTTAGAGTACTGCGTGTGGGATATGAGAACTTACCGTACACCAGAACTTCGCATCATTGCCCTTCGTGATGACAGCACCCTCACTGTCCGTCCCAAGAATCTGTCTGACCTGGTTGAAGGCTCCAATGATCTTTTGTGCGTATTCTACATTAAGGCGGTTCTCTGGTGCTTTCCGCATGGTAATGACGAAGACGTTGCCATCGTAGCGGTCGAGCGCCAACGTGGGCTCGTTGATGATGGATTCGGGCATGATTACTGGATGTGTTTGAACTCTAGTAGTGATCAGAGCCTTTCGTCTTCGATCACACTAGATTGAGGTGATGTTGCTCTGCTGCCGAGCGTACCTCACCGTCGACATGGGTGGTGCAACCGAGGCTACACTGAGGGGCCGATATCGGTCATCCTCGACTGGTACAGAAAACAGCATTGCTTCATTATTTAGCCAATGTATGAGTGTGAGGAAAGCCATTGCTAGAATGCACGAAAGGTGCCTTCGGGACTGTTCTGTTGAGCTCAGCGAGTATATTGATTGTGAGCTGACGACGACGATTTGCCATGCTCTACCGACGAATAGACTTCTTCCTCCCCCTTCCCTTCCACTCAATCTCCTTCGTGAACGGCCCTCCCCTGCTCCTCGCCTTAGCCTGCGGCTTCTGCTCAGTCCACTCCCCACCACTTAGTAGATTCGCCAGAGCACCATTCTTCGCCAGCAACTCCTGAAATCCACCTTCCTCTGCAATGCTTCCTTGGTCCAGAACGACAACATGGTCAGCAATCGCCATCATGTCCCTGTGATGTGTGATGATGATGACAGTCATATTCATCTCTGTCTCCCGCACCAGACTCTCAATAGTCTGGCGGACAAGGTTGGCTGATTCGACATCGAGCGCCGAAGTGGCCTCGTCCAGGATCAAGACGGCTGGCTTGCGTACGAGTGCTCTGGCGACAGCGAGTCTCTGCGCTTGACCACCAGAGAGACCGAGACCGCCGTCGCCGACTTGTGTATCGTAGCCATGCGGGAGGCTGACGATGAACTCGTGGATGCCAGACTGGGCGGCAGCGGCCTGTATCGCCAACGAAGAAATGTGAGGTGAGTCCGGAGGCAAACCGTATGCAATATTCTCCGCCACAGTTGCTGAGAACAGCGTTGGTGTCTGCGAAACAGGCGTCACGAGCGAACGCAGAGATGCTGTGTCGATGTGCTGGATGCTTCGGCCGCCTAGTATCACATCGCCATTACGGTGATAGGTGCCATCAAGACTCGTGTCCGTGCCGTAGAGGTTCAGCAGAAGGTTGGCAATAGTCGACTTGCCGGACCCGGAGCCACCCACGATCGCCGTCGAAGCGCCTGGCTGGATGTGCAAGTTGATGTCACGAAGGACAATTTGGTCCGGGCGAGAAGGGTAGGCGAACCTCAGATCTTCCAATACAATATCGCCAACAGTAGTGATCCTGGTGTCACCAAGATGCTCGTGCGAGTCTTCTGGAAGGTCCGCTAGGCGCAGCAGTCGAGAGCCTGTGTCCTTCGTGGATCCAATCTGTGGTATGGCGACCAAGATGAAACCAAGATTGGTGATTGTGAAGATGAGCATGGTGAACACCTGCACCACATCTTGCACTGGCGTTCCCGACTTGACCAACCGAGCACCAACATAGAACACCATAGCTATAGCAAAGTTGCCAGCAGAATCCGAGATGCCGTAGAAGAAGCCAGCGAAGAACGATCGCCGCAGACCGACATTCAGAGCGAAATTCGTCGCCTTGGTGTATTTATCGACGAAGTGCTGCTCCAGCGTAAGCGCTCGCACGGTCTTGATGTTGGTGAAGGTCTCCGTGAAGATGGACGCTGCATCTTCTGCTGCACTGTTGCTGTGGCTTTCCCACTTCGCGCTCACGGCCGCGTAGACCTTTGTAACGCCGAAAATGTATGGTGCAGCGATGAGTGCGATCAAAGTCATCTTCCACTGCGCTATCGTAGCCCACACGACGGCCACGGAAGACATCACTGCGGCAGTCCAGATGAGACCGCTGAAGCGACCGACCAGATTGCGTAGCTCTTCTGCGTTGCGGTCCAGATTGCCGGTGAGCCTAGATACGGCGTTCTCTTCCTTGTCGAAAAATGCTCGAGGCTGGTCCAGGATCTTGTTCATCGCTTTCGAGCGGATGCTGTCAACCCACCGTTGGCCCACATACTCGAGGCACATGTGGCTGAAGTAGGTGTGAATCGCATCAACGAATGCGAGTCCCAGCATGATCGTGGAGTAAAGCAGTGCCTTTTTCTTGTCGCCTCCTGGAATAGCATATGTCCTCAGAAGCTTTGACAGCACGAAGGCGAAGATTGGCGAGCCAAAAGCGTGGATCGTCGTACTGTAGCACCCAACAATGAGGACAGCCTTAGTAGACATGTCGATAGACGGCCACAGAGTGGCAAGGAGTTCCTTGTACGACTTGTGTTGGACCACTTGGGCCTCTTCGTCTGGAGCATCGCCCGTCACGGATGTCGTCCCAGACTGCGTCTGCTCCTCAACTGCGACCATAGGCTGTATCTCTTTGCGTTGCCGTCTCTGCCCCGTCGAAGACATCCTGGATTCAGCTGCAGACTTGCCCGCCCTATCGAGCCAGCCCTCAAGCAGTTTCGAGGTCCGCTTTGCACTCGTGGCACTCGTGGACTCTTCTGGCACCGGCTTGAGCGGTCTTGGATCCCACCAGCCAGACGCTCTCTGTGGGCTTGTGTCGGCGTTCTCAGGCGAAGGTGGAGAGGCAGCCAAGCGCATCCAAGGAGCAGTGAAGCCTCCCGCTCCAGGTCCTGGCAGAGGCCTCTTGTCCGGAAACAAGTTGAACAGCACTGTCGCGCGCTTGTTCTCGCTGGCGTCAAGGTGGGCTTCGAGGGGGTCATTTGTGATCGTGCTGAAGCGGTACGTCGGCGAGTCTAGGCTGGAGCCTCTGGTGCGGATCGACTCAAAGGCTGTGTGCTTCCTGGAGTCGTACGGCGACGCTGCAGCTCGCTGTTCAGGCGGCAAGAAGCCCTGGAATGGCGAATCCCTGATCATCTCCATGTGCTTGCGGTATCCTTCTTGGACAAGCTTGCCATGTTCGAGGATGTAGGCGTAGTCATCCGCTTGTATCTGTGAGATGTCGTGCGTAATGACAATGGTCGTCTTGCCGCGCCGCCACTGGCGGATAGCGTCCATCATCAGCCCTCGACTGATCTGGTCCAGAGCGCTGGTAGACTCGTCCAGTAGCAGGACTGGCGTATCTCTCAGTCTTGCTCTGGCCAATGCCATACGCTGTCTCTGTCCGCCTGACATGGATCCTCCTTTGTAGCCGACAACGGTCTCGAATCCATTCGGCATGTCGTTGATCATGAGCTGCAGCAGCGCAAACTCCACCGCTTCCAGCACTTCCTGCTTGCTGACTTTGCCATGGTCACTCTTGCCGAAAGCTATGTTGTTGAACACCGTATCATTGAACAGATTACTGCTCTGCTCTATCAGCGTGACGTTCGTCCGCAGCCATTTCAGGTCGATCTGTTCCAGTCCCACACCGTCCAGCGTGATATTTCCTGTCTGCGAGCGGTAGAATCGTAACAACAGCTGGCCGAGCGTACTCTTCCCACTTCCACTCTTTCCAATCAGGAACGTCATCTCACCGCCCGGGATATAGAGCGTCACATCATCGAGAGCAAGCTGTTGCGGAAGCGAAGGGTACGCGAAGGTGACATTCTTGACATCAATGTCGCCGAAGCATTTCGACGGCGCAACCATGCCTTGACCGCCCTGAACATTGGACCCTCGCTGCATCTCCGCCATGATGGTCCTCAATGTCGACCCAGCGATCTTCCCCTTCTCCAAGAACAGCAGCGTTGGAATGATCCCGTTCAGCGCCTGGAAAGCCCCAATAGCCGAGAGAAATGTTGTCAGAACATCGGCTACGGTCTTTTTGTGCTCCCTGATCAATACGCCACCATAGTAGAAGCCCTGAACAAACATCGATATCGACAGCAGAACGAACATCGCCAGTTGCAGCGCATTGGCGCTCGCCACTCGATAGTAAAACCGTGCAGCTTCAGACACCTTCTTCATGTACTTGTCGTGCTCGATCTCCTGACCGTTGAAACATTTGACCGTCTCGATGGACGTGAAGGCAGAGGATGTGTACTTCTGAGCCTCCGTGAGCTTCTTCTGCTGCAAGTCGTAGCTCCTCTGCATGTTCCTGCCTGCCCACAGCACCGCAACCATGATGAGCGGTGTGCTGGCGATGGAGACCAAAGTCAGATCCCAAGAGATGTAGAGTGCCTGGATCAGCGACAGGATCGAAGTCGAGACCAGACTGACTATCGCGCCGAGCGGCTGTGATGTCGAAAGCTGGAGCTCCCTGATCTGCGCCTGTATTCGTGGGAGTAGGGCGCCGATTCCATTCTTCCTTAGATCGTACCAAGCAATGTCCTTCTTCAGTAGACCGTGGAACAGCCGATCTCTTGCGCTCTTCGCCTGTAGTTCTCCAAAAGCGATCCAGACCGTCATCTCCATGAAGTTGAAAAGCCATGACCCTCCCGCCACCCCAAGCAAGTAAAAGATGTACTTCTTTTCCCTGTTAAAAAACTCTTCCTCACTGATCTTGCCGGTAGCGTAGGACGTGAAACCGTCAAAGAGCTTGCCCTCCACGTAGGCTGATGCAGGAATCATGGCGCCGGCCATCGCTGAGAAGGAGATGCCCAGGACAAGTATCGGGATGTTCGCCTTCGTGGTGAAGAAGAAAAGGGCCCTCCATGGATGCTTCTGGCCATTGTCGCTCGCATCTGTGGCTGCTGTGCTGGTCGTAGATTGCGCTTTGCTGCTAGTAGACCATGAGCGCTTGCCCTTGCGGCCCTCTCGAGCCTTCGCAGAGGGCATCTAGACTCGGCTCCCATGTGTGTAGGTTAGCATGAAGGAGAAAACGTGAGCCAAGAGCTTAAAAGGGCGCAAAGGTAGCAACAAACTGAAGATGCCGTGTCCTTGGTGAAGTGAGGTTGATCGAGAATTGCCTGTTTTGGTTCGTTCAAAGCCGAGCGAGATATGCCGACTACTATTGTTCTTCCATATTCGCGCCAAGACCCTTCTCGTTCACATGCGTTACCGTTCGCAATGCACTTGAATGCTCTTCTTCTTCCACCCTAATCGAAGCAACCAGAGCTGAAAAGAGTCTTGATCATGTGCCCGCCTATCATCGCCATCCACCGCGACTTGACGACAATCTCTCGCGGCCGGTCAGCCGTGCATCTCCTTAGGACCCTGCAGAATCGAAGACACAGCAGTCGCAGCTAGTTGGAGATCGGACAAAAGGCGGATTTGCGCACTTGAGACGACGTGGCCCCAGTGAGCGTCGACCGCGCTTGACATATCGCACCGTAGATTCTCAAGCCTCATGATCTCGAATCGGCTCTCCCTTCACGAAGTCTTCTCACCTTTCGCCTTCTCATGAATCCAGTCGTTCAGACCCGCGCGATTCCTGCATCCTCATGTCAGCGGCCGCACCGAATGCCATACCAACCGCGCCATTGACAGGAACACAACAACATACCTAGCAATCTCAATAGCATAAAACTGCATCCTCACCACTGTCCCACCGTCAGCCTCATCCTCCCATACTCCATACTCCCTCCCGCAGCACCCATCTCACTCACCGAAAATACTCTCCTTCTCCCCATACTCCCACGCCGGATTCGCCCTCACCATGGTCCCAAAATTATAATCCTCCACCTTCTTATCATACTTCTCGATAAAGCCCCTCCACTTCTCCTTCCCCTCCTTACTCTTCATCTGCTCCTCGTCAATCGTGCCGCTGACATCGAAGTCCGGGAACTCCGTCTGGAAGTGCGCGTGGATCTCGTCGTCGTAGCGGGTGAGGCGCAGCTTGGAGCCCGGGAGTTTCTCGAGGATCGACCAGTAGGTTGTCATGTGTTCGACAACTATGCAAGGTTGATTAGAGAGGGTGAGAGGGGTGGTGGGAGCGGGCGGTGGGGCGTACCTTTGACGGCGAATTGCTTCTCGATTTCCTCGGAGTTGGGCGCTTCATCTGGGTTGATGGGGCCGGCGGAGCTTGAGAGGGCCATGATGGTTGGTGTTGAAGTATGAAATATGAAGTGGTCAAAGGTCGTCAGAGGTGTAGAGCGCTCTGATGTATGTTGTCCAAGTATAGTGGAGGAAGAAGTCTGCGAAGGCGCATATGAAAACTTTGTCTTGGCATACGTCGATATGAGATTCAGAGCGAGATAAATCAGAAGAGACGGACGGCCTCGCCAGGACATGACCCTGCTATACACAGGCTATATGCATTATCGCTGCCGCCACATCTACTCCCGTCTCGCAGCAGCAGTGTCGTCGATCGCCCTAATGCTCTCCCCCCCTTCTCCAACAGCCGTGGCGCCGGACAGGCTCTGCGCGTCTGCACCGATGCGACTTTCATCATCACCCTCCCCATGCGCCGCCTCTGCAGCATTCTCGGCATCCAGCTGCGCCTTCGCAGCCTCCCTCCTCATGCGCGCATCCGACTGTCCTTCGGCCTCAGCATGGATACCGGCTGGCATCTGTGGCGGGCCGTCCTCTTCGGCGTCGAGCTGCAGAAGGTAGGTCTCCCATAGCTCGATCAACTGTTTCGCTGTGTCAGCTCTATCGATCCCTTTGAAGATGTAGGAAACAACTCACCTCCTTCTGCGCCTCCACACACCCCTCCAAGAACGTCTCCACCCCACTCTTGAAATCCTCCACCTTCTCCCTCTCAAACCTCTCCAACTCCCCTCTCATTAACCGTCCCATATCCTCAAACAACAACCGCGCCGAATGCACCTTCCTCTCCTGATCCGCCACATCCGCCTGCATCTGCGTCAGCCGATCCTGTTGACTCCGTCCCGCCCGAAGTAACTTCTCTTGCTGCCGCTTGATCTCCTGCAACTTGCTCTCGGCGCTGTGCCATGCGTGGAAAGCGCGCTGGCGCTGGTGGAAGGACTTCTGCACGGAGGAGATGAGGCGGATGTACTCGTCGATAACGATGCCGAGGGTGAGGATGTCTTGCATCGCTTGGCGGGTGTAGAGCTCTTGGATGCGGGTTTGTATTTCACCCAGGGCGTCGAGAGGTCCGGAGAGGGAAGGGCTGAGCTCCACACCTGCCAGTGCGTGAAGGGAGGCGCTGAAGTCGCCGCAGGATTCGGCAAGGGCTTTGCGTTGTGCAATCACCGTGTCCGTCGACTTTTGCAGTGCTTTGAGCTGGTTTTCGAGCGCGTCGAGGTAGATCTTGCGGTCGTGGAACCAATCGTCGTGCTCGATGAATTTGCCGCCACTGCCACCGCCGCCGCCGCCTCCCAGACCGATCGAGCTCATGAGCCCGCCTTTTGACTCGGAGCTTAGGAGTGGGTCCTTCGCTCGATCTTTGTGCTTGATGTCCACATTGAATGCCTCACTCTCCAGGAATGTCTTGAGATCCCCGTCCATCTGTAATACCGGGTGCGCCGCGGTCTTGTTGATCATGCGCTCCAGCGCCATCCTCCTACTCTCGACGAAGTTCGACTCGAACCGTCCCATTGCTTGCTTCTCAGGCGGAGGAGGCACAATGGTGCCAGGGTTGTTGTCGTGTAGGCGCTCATACAGCCATAAGAAGTCGCGGTACCGGCGCACTACGGTGAACGAGGGGTTGTTGTATGCTTTCGAAGTGGTCGTGGTGATCACAGTATACACAGTATGACTGCTTGCTGCATTGCCAACTGTGTGAGGGTCGCCGACTGAGATGTGGAAAGAGGGCTTCGCTGCCTGCTCCACCGGCTGAGAGGAAGGTGTTGCGCGGTCGAAGTGTGGTTGGGGTTGTACTGGAGGCGGTATCCGCGCACCGTTGAGGGAAGAGGCGTCCTGGTCGGATGACGTGATGTTGGAGCGGGTGGATGTCGCTGTACCCGGTCGTGAGGATGTGGTAGATTGCCTTGTCCGTGTGGGCAGCCCTTTCACAGGCGGAGCAGGTGCCGGCTCTTCGGGCGCGGCAGCTTCCAACCCCAGAGGTCCCAGTGGGCCCATGGAGTCATCGAGACTCTCGAGGGTGGTGGACTGCGCGAGGTTGACATGTCGGCGCGGCGCGCGGGTCTTCGAGGGAGCGGGTCGGGAGGATATACTCGAGGTTGGCGAGGTCGGTTCTTGTGCGGTTTGTGAGGATTGCTGGTCTTCTGTTGCTTTAGCATCCACTGCTTGCTATCTTTCACTGCATGGTATTACCTGTAGGGTTGGCATTCTCACTGTCTGTAGCCTTGGCTAGGTTGATGTTCGATGAGGAGCGAGAGGGAACATCTGGCGGCACATGTTAGCGACAGCAATGGCTTATGTGATTATCTGGGATCGCATACCTTCCCACGGTGATCCTCCTTCTTCCATAGTGCTCCAAGGGTTGTCAGTACTGGCTCTGGAAGCCATTTGAAGTCCAGTCGAGCAGTAGGTACATGTAGCTCTGCACTCCCGCTCTTGGCAGCCTCCGAGTGGATACTTGTTCAGCCAAAGTGATTCTCCAATTCTCTCTTGTACTTTAACGGAGGATTTCACGTGCCAGTATGGACAGTCGATGTGACTGTATATACCAGCCAGCAAGGACGATATGGGCTGTCGCGACTTCGTTATCACAAAAGGACGCTGGTATGGTGGCGTTGTGGCGCCGGCAAGCGAGAGACATCACCTCCTCGACCTCGATGACCAGCGACATGAACCTGAACCTACGCCTACACCTACCTTACTGCTACCCTTGCCAGGACAATCTGGATGCTTCAATGGCAATCGGCACCCCAGTTGTAGCCCTCTTGAGACACCGCCGCTACAGTCATGTTCGAAGCAGGTAGGACTGCGCCTTGACTCACACTTCGGAGGATTCGAGGCGCAGGGCATCTATACCAAGACCATATGTATCGTCTCATGGTAAGCCCATTTCATTTTGTGTTGCTCTCTTTCAGTTGAAATCGACAACTCTCTATCACTACCCCCTTCGACATCCCGGACAGCAATACTGCTCACAGAAGCGATGGCGCCCAGGAAGAGGAAGAAGCAGCAGCGTGAGCTTCGCGCACAGAACTTGACCGAATTATCCAAGAAGCACGATCTCAACCCTCTTCTGCCGGCGGACGGTAAAACGGCTCGTCTCCCATCGTACTATCTTGCAGCTTCGCAACCACAGCTGGAGGATTTGGTACGCTCCTCGAAGCAAGCGACTCTCGGAGACCGCTTCCACTCTCTCCCGACTGAGCTCCGGCTTCACATATTCTCCTTCCTCGCCTGCCAACCCGTGAAATGGAAGATGACCCACCAGGAAGGCTGCAACAAGACTCCACCCATGGTCAACGACATGCCAGGCGACGGATCCCCAAACGCCAAGGCATTCTTCGATACCTGCATCCGCTGCATGAGCGCTCACTGGCATACTGTGCTTCCCCTATCAAGGCGCGACAACCCTGCTCGTAAGGCCTGGCGCAACCCATGGCGCAGTCGTTGGGCACCGGAAGTGGCGAATGAGTTTATGGGCTCCGACTGCTGGGATGAGAACTTCCGACCACGACCATGTCCTCAGAGCATCACGACTGCCATTGAAAAGGGGCAACTGCCTTGTTTGTGTGCTCGGAGGCAGAACTTGGAGGTGATGTTGGTTTGTAGGCAGTGGCGAGAGGAAGCAGGGCGGCTCTTCTACTCAAGCAACACCTTCGCCTTCGAAGATGCGGTGACCTTTGTCGACTTCGTGGACAACCTACCCGATCACTGGCGATCGTTGGTTACAAAGGTCAGCATCCTAAAGCACCGACCAGTCGAGTCGTCTGATATGGCGCCATCAACCACGAAGATCCAGTGGATGCTCTTTTCGTTTGAGTCTCCCAGGCAGCTCTCACCACTCTGGTCAGCTTTGCGTCGCCTTCCATCACTATCCCACCTGGAACTGGATGCCCTGTTCCTTACCCGCGCCCCCATCGTCAAGTCCCTCCTTCGCCTGGGACTTCAAAACCTGCGAAGCGTGCGCTTCGTGCTCCGCGAACTTTCTAAGTGGATTTCCGAGCCTCCGGAGACAAGCGATCCACAGTACATCTGGCCCAGATACGCTAGCTCACGCTACCTCACCGGCGGCCTAGCAGAACAAGTCGCAGCAGCGATCAAAGGCCAGCGGAAGGCTTGGCTGAAGGTCACCGGCAACGTGGAGAGGGCTGTAGAGAGAGAACGTGAAGTGTTGACCGCGTTCTTCGAGCAAGAGGCTAATAGAATGTTGCGATTCAACGGCCGGGTCAAACGTACAGCGGCAGTTTTCGACGAAGCACTGCACTATGACGAGAGCGTCGAAGAATGGGCTCGGCTTTGGGATCAATGCGGCAGTGCTGCGAGGCCGGTGTACGCTTACCTTCCCATGCCAGTGCGGCCAGCGATACCCACCGAGTCACCGGAGGGAGACGAGCGGTCTGATGAAGAAGTGCCGTGCGCGGCAGACCTCCCATACCCTGAGAGCGAGATGAGTGACGAGGAGATGGCTATCGATATTTTCGATTGACTGTCGCCGCAGCGAGCGGAGCCGGTGCGCTCACTCCGAGAGGCGAACCGAGGAGTTGCGATACCCTTGAGGCTTGATGTGTCTCTGACACCTTTCGACTGACTGAGAGACCCCAACGACGAGCATGGAAGCAATCTCGGCCGTATCGTGGACTAAACGGTATTGCTTTGTAACCATGGCGGCCGAGTCGGATATCGTTTCGCCGTCGGGTAAGTGTCGCCGTCGCTATGCGGACAAAGTGCGGTTGAGCTGCGCGAGGAAGATGGAGCGGACTTTTGCGGCATATCCACCCCATGACTTATCTCGTGATCGCGATCGAGAGGAGGTGAAGAGGAACGACGGAGGGCGGAGCCGCAGGTGGAGGAATAGCGGAGCAGACCCAAACAATGTACGCAAAAAGCGTACCTTGCCTCTACTACTGCACTCCACATCATACCCTCGTCTACTTGCTCCCCAGGATCACCACCTCTTCCGATCTACCGTCTTATGACAGCCCATCCCCAACAGGTAAGTGCAGCAACGCCAGACACATCGCACAAATTTCCTCTTGCGGTGCATCGCATCGCAGCACGCCCTCGTACTGTACCGTTCCTGTGGTCCACCCCAAGCCGGGTGCCCTTCCGCGGTGCCGGGTGCTGTACGATCGCGAGATCTGACCTCTTGATGAACCCCTCGTAATCAATCTCGTAATCCGTACAGCTTGACAGACCCTAGCAAGCGATCAAACGGGAGGACGTGAGATCTGAAGCTACAGCATCTGACATCCCAGAGGCTTACCCAAGATATTCACTCATCAGGCGAGGAACCTCCATGTGAGAGGCCTACTGCCGCATTAGGAAAGCAGTTCGAAGAGGCAGCAGGCTCGTGGTGGCCATATCGTCAGCAGCCACAATACGCCCATATGATAGCTCGATAGCTCGGGCTGCTGCTTTGTTGGTCACTAACCATGTTCGCCTGAAGTGCTTTGCCCCCGGCAAAGATGTCTTGGAATGGAAGGACCGAGACCGCTGGTCATGCAGGTCTTGACTGGAGGATGCAAGTGGTCACCTTAGTCACTCGTTCAGGCGGCTGTCGCCGGATGAGCTAGAACTACCTAATGGTGTCTCAAGCCTCCCGCTGCACCGTCTCTACTAACGAATGCACTGGAGCCAACTCCGGCGCTCAGCTAGACGACTGGGCCCGAAAGACCGCAAGGTAGGGCTTCTCAAGCCTTACGCCCGTAGCGCGCAGGAGGCCCTATGAACGCTTACCTAAACACACAATGGTATGGCTAGTCTGACAGGGATGGGACCGGCTAACGCGGTCTGGCTCTCTTTCCACATGGGATGGAGGTGTAGGTGCATGGTTACGTGAGCATGTCTATACACCCTGTGCAGTGCTTTCCTGAGCCCATCTACGCTCCTTGCGCACCTACACAGTCGTACATTGCATGCACGCAAAAGTGGCGTCCTCCTTGTCCAAGGCAGAACGTATTCTGCGCCTCGCTTCTGCACGCTCTGAACGTAGCTCCGGTATCCCCGACCCCTACCCTCTATGGCGTCTGACGGTGTCGCGGCGTGAGCAGTATGCGGGCCGCCGTGAGCTGGCAGACGCATATGATCGACGATGGAATGCATGTCTTAGTCCGAGCCAAGGCGCCGGCATTGAAGACGCTTGAGCTCCCGCAGCCTTGGTTCAACTCATAGCGCCACGCTGATGCTGCGAAGCCATTACCGGCGGTCCCGCAGACAGCGCAGCAGGTCGGGGCGGCGGGGGCATGACGGCAGAATGCTCTGCTGACCGCGTGCCCTCATAGCTACTATTCCGTCTCTGGTCCATGGCGCTGAGAGAGGGGAGTTGGACTTTGCCTTCGCCGGAGCTAATGGAGCTGGGGGAGTGGCCGTCTCGTACTGGGCCGGGGGAGCTGTGGTGGGAGTGCGGTGCGGTGTCGTCGTGCTCCGCTGGGCGGAAGTTGCTGTGTTGTTGGAAGTGGGTGTTTTGTGACAGAGGTCGGAATGAGCCAATGTGAAAGGCGTCGTGGCTTTCAGGCTGCTCGGCGATGCGTGGCATTAGCCATGAGTTCACGGCATCAGTGCTCTGTCTTCGCGGCTGTTTGGTTTGGCGGGCGCGGCTCTGCTTCTTACTTGGAACAGGTGGTGGAGGGTGGAAATGCGCACCGAACTGGTTGGCAGGGAGGGGAGCAGGCACTGGCCCCAGTGCTCGTATGAGCTCCTCGGGTGACGACGTGGATGGCGTGACATGGAAGCCGAGTTCAGCAGGTCCAGGAGACACTGCTCGAGCCAGAGATGCCAATGTCGACGTCGCCGTAGATGATCCAATGCTATGCTGCGACACCTTCCGTGACTCTGCTCCACTTGATGGCATCGACGTGTCCAAAGACTGTCGAGGAGCACCAGCTGACCCTGAATATACCTCTTGAGTTGTTCGGAAATCAGGAGGAATGCCAGATTCAACACCTTCAATGACTTTGGTCCTCTTACCAGGCGTTATGCGGTCGTCCTCGTCTTCCAGAGCTCTCCGCACAACGCTCCCTATCTGTCCACTACGACTCATGACTTCGTGCGCCCGCTCGTCTAGCAGCTGGGTGTGGCGTCGCGCTTCTTCCAGACAAAACCGCAGATTCTCGATTCGAGAATGCAGTATTTCGTTCTCTCGCCTAAGATTCGAGACTTCACCCGGCGGAGCAGCGAATTCTGCCGGGCCTGGCCTCTGAGGCGCTTGCTGAAGTGCGTTGGTCTCTCCTTCCTGGTTTCGTCTCGCTGGAGGAGTGATAGTAGAAGCCGGAAGAGGGGGAAGACTCCCCTGCCGATTGCTCTCATAACCAGCCACTCGCTGGGCTAGAGCATGGTTCTCATCCCTCAGCTTCTGCTTCTCCTCAGCATGTTTCGTCTGGAGGCGGCCACCCAGCTCAAGCATCCGCCCCCATTGATCCTTCTCTCGAGCTGCTTCCGTGCGTTCACTTTCGCGCTTCTTCTCGCAAGCATCCAATGACGCTTCGAGGCTCTTGACTTGGTCCGTCAGCTCCTCGACCCGGCTGGTCAGGTCATTGACTTCCTGGTCGGCAACCGAGGTCTTTTTCTCGATCGCTTGGCTTTTTAGTCGTTCCCGTTGCAGCTTCTGGAGTAAGGACGAGTATTCTGACTGCAGTGTGGACAGGGAGAGTGATTTCAGCGTGACTTGATGTTGCAAGTCAGCAATATGAGCGGATGTGGCAGAGCTTGTGGAAGCACTGTGCAGCGAGACTGTAGGCTGGTATGAAGTTGCCGGTGAGCCCATGGACTGTGTCTGTGGTGGCACAACAGATGGAGCGGCAGAAGGAGGATAGGCCAGCGAAGACGGAGATGGTGGGTTGCGCGGTGGTCGCGTTGACATCCCTGGTGACCCTGTTCTTGCATGTGCTAAGCCGGTCAGGTACTCCATAGGCGGAGTAGAGCCAGTTGCGAAGTCCGTCGAAGCCCCTCTCTCGTCCTTTGGAGCTGGGTTAGACGTAGGATGAGGTCCATCGTTAGAAGGCATGATCGACCCTCGCCGCTTAGACATCGGTTGGTCATCGTAGTCCCAAGCGCTCCGTTTCAACGGATTCGGTGGTGAAGACACCTCTGTCCCTGCTGTCCTCGGGTTCGTGAAGCCAGCATACTGCGGGGCATAATGGGAAGATGCATCCCGCATGCGCGAGGTTTCTTGAAAGTCGCATTTCGCCTTCGTCAAGCGATCGAGGATCCATTGCAGAGCTCGGGCTGGGTCATCAGCGGGAACGTCGAACGGCTGTGAAAAGTCAGTATCAACCTGGAACTGCGATTGGAAAGATGTTAACGTACGCGTGCGGTCGGCTTACTGAAGTGAGTTTGCGCCGTCTCGTCAAAGGCAGCCACTGCAATGGCGACTTCATAGATCTTCGGCTTCAGCTTGGTGCACATCGAACACGGCAAGCGGGCAGACATTGGAGCGATCTCAACCTCGTCAGGCTCGTCGTTACGTGTAGCATGCTCATGAAACGACGCAAACGACGGTAGCGAAGTGGTAGTCTGTTGACGAGAGATGGGCGTGCCGATAGAAAACTTGTTGTCGGTGGCTATCCGAGGGAGGTCTATTATGGCACAACGGAAGTCAGTAAGAGGATGGTACAACATTGTCGTTGGAACGAGCTTATCGATATGCCCACCGACGGAGGGCCTGGCCAGAAGTACTAACCTTGTTGCGCCTCAGGTATCTTTAGACTCAAGGGGCCAAGATTGCTCTGTGGTTGTTGTGCACGGTGATCGTAAGGTAAGCTGTGCCAAGGGCTCGTAAACCGTTCATCGGATCGTGAGGTAGCAGTGAGCGGACTCTTGTGGCGTTGGTCTGACCCGCCGGGATAGTTTGACGCATCCGTGTAAGGGTCGGTCAGCGATGGAAGTCGATGTGAGCGGTGGTGCTGCTCCTCTACGCCAGATTTGTCTCCCCATGATGGCGTGAATGTTTGAGAGACGGCCGTGGTACCCTGGGATACCGCGCTCACAGCGGGAGTTGGTGGATATCGTCTTTCATCGGCGTAGCGGTCTTGATGTTGCGTCTGATGCCATCGTCCGTCCCATCCGTTCCATTGGGAATGAGGCGACATGTTCGTCGACGCTATAACGAGTCCTTCCTGGTTGACACGAGCAACTCTCTTCAAGGCCGGTCGAACAGTACCGCAATGACTTCCATCGAACGACAAACAGTGAAGTGTTCAAGCCTGACACCTTATGTGTGCATTCGAGAATTATGCAATAGCTCCCGCAATGACCCAGGATCCAGGATGGTAAGACAGGGTTACTTTGACGTTGGTAAACCCTCGGTGCGCTAGCCGTTCAAAGTTGCGTAAAAGGTCCTCTTTCGCCGCTGACACCACCAGACATGAGAGTGTGGCAACAAATTGCAGGCACAGCAGGGATTACCGGCTCCGCGAGCTTTGCAGATTGTGTTTGCAGGTATTTGCGGTAGAAGCATGCATGTCAGATCCTCGCACTCCGCTCGGGTGCAGTGGTGAATGGGTGGAGGCGTCTCAGAGCAAGCCCTCGGCACGTCGACTCGTTGATTGGTATTCGGAGCTGGGGGACGAGGCGGTTATGATTAACAGAACGGTGCCGACGTCAGGAATGGAAGGTGCATCTTCGTTGGGTGTTTACGAGCCGATGAGCCAAGCGGAGAACCGTGGCAATTAATCACCTCAGGTAACAGAAATATCTAGCTCCCCAAGACGCGCATCCAGCGAGGCGGCCGCGAAAGCTACTGGAGTGCCGTATGATAGCTTTGTCATCCGCCAGGAAATCACTAAGCTCATTCGCCCCCTGAAATATCCTGCCGAACGTGCCGCCAAGCAGCCTGCACGATGACCGCCCGATCTGCAAAGGCCCACGCCGCCCGGACTGTGGCTTTCGTCTCTACCTCCATGTCCGGAGGTGGCCCTTCAGCACTCCTCGGATGGATCGCAACTCGCCTACCTCAGCAGGACAACTTTCTGCGTTCTCGCTGCCATGTTCTTGGACGCCCGACCGCTGTCGCCAAAGAGTGCAGTGGGCGCCTTTCGATACATCTGTGGAATCCAGCCCATCCTTCGGAGATCTGCTCGCGTTCGTCGGCTTTGAGTGACGATCAATTCGGTCTCGAGATACCGGAAAGGCAACACGTCCGCACTCGCCCCGACGTCTCGAAGAGGCATCTGCTGTAAGGATTCCGGAACGCCTGTCGAGTAGCCATAAGAACTGAATCAGATGCTTTGTAGACAGAAAGTCTCATCGCATCGATGGCTCGTATCCTAAGGCCTCGGCGGTCCGCAGCAGGACCCGCTCGTATTGAACCAAACTGGTGGGCACCTGCAGGCGTCCGTTGGCTTACCTAACGCAGTGTAGTCAGGCAAGCGTGTGGTAAGAATCGCGGTCGCACGACCAACAACTACAGTCAGCAAATCTCGGAGAGGGTGTTTGACCGTGTCCGTCGATCTGTTTCACTGCCAGAAGGTCTTGCGTTCATCCTTCTTGTGATACCAAACTGGGCTCACAAAACCCTGGCCGTCGAGCCGTCTGACTTGATTACCGGTTGACTGCAACGGCCGTTTGGACAACAGCAGTAACAGCTCCAGATCCTTCGTACACCCCACCTAGGTGTGATCCGGAGTAATTTGTAACAACCGTGCTTGACCGTTTGACGTTGCATCTCCGACGACGATCTCTCGCGGTTGGAAAGAAGGCTGAAAGCGAGAACGGCTCCACGTTCTCACCTTCTCGTAGAGCCGAGGATGCTAAGCACTTTTGCTTTGTGCGAAACCACAATGAAACATCTCCTCCCATTGTCCTCTTGACATCCGCACTCCCTCACGATCACGATTCACCTCCCTGTTGGCCGGCACCGTCGTCAGGCCTCCTGCAATGATAGCTTCCGCCGCCACTCAGCACCAAATGTCACAGTAATATGGCTTTGCTGGACTTTGCTGCTACCCACCGACCTCACCGTGCCATCAGACTGTTCGACCCGTGTCCTTCATAGGAAGTTAATACCCCGGGCCATAATGCAGGTGCTTGCGCCGCCATGGAGGAAAGAGCGTGGAGACGAGTCGTGAGACCGCAGCGGTACCTGCACCGCATTGCATCCGCCACGTCTTACTCAGATGAGTGTAGTGTGGTGCGGAGCTATGTGGGCGACAAGCCAGCCTCTTCCTTCCAGACTTCCACTTCATCTTCGCCATGCCGTCAGCTGCCATGCGACTCACGCACTTGCGGTCAGCAATATCCAGATGGGCTGGGAGCTGGAGCGGTAGGCTCTGAGAACCGGTGATAGACACGACGGTGCCCGCAGCCTCGAGAGTGCCAAAGCGGCGAAGACCGTTACCTCGCTCGGCTTAAGACAATCACTGTGGCATCTTATCTAGCGTAGTACGGCGTGGCATAAACCATGGGCGCGGGACTGGGCGACGGCACCTTGTGGTTTGAGTGCTCCTTACGCGGTCGGACGAGGAGTCTCCAATGGGCGAGGAAGAGATACACCTCAGGAAGGGTGACTTATGCATAGAGCTCGAATGACCTAGAAGGCCGTTTGCCTGGACGCTCAGAAGCTCGAAGCCCTTCATGGAACGTCAAGAAACCCGGTGTGCGATGGATTGCTCGAAGGCTGCAAGTTCCCATGCTCGTGGCGCTGCCCCTCCTTGAAGATTATTGTACTCAACGTGAGGTAGGGTGTTACTCTTTTCCTGTGGATGTAAGTGATTCCAACCAGAAATACAAGCGTTCTCCGCCTGCCATCGAGTTGTGACGAAGCTCGCAGAAACTAGGACAGCGTTTGTACACCTTTGCATACGTTACTACCCGTCTGTCACCTCTCACATGTTCAATCGCCCAGAACCTTCCATTACAGCACTCAAAAGTTCCACCCGAACGTTGGAAACGTTGGACATGTGAAGACCGAACTCGTTTGGTATCGAGAATCACCAACTTCACGTTTGAGCCCTGCTGCTAAACGACACATCCTTTGGCAAGCCTACAACCTTCGACTGTCTGCCTAGAACCTATCTGCGGCTGTTACACTGGCTCACAATACAAGACAACCAACCTCTAAACAGCTCCCCCTCGCCGCCGGTTTCAGCAAGGTACCACATCAGTCATGGTTTCACGCAGGACAACCAGCATATCGCGGCTGCAGTCGATGAAGAATCTACTTTCTACCATCTCCGACCGCATGGGCACATCGTCACCAGAACATGTCTTAAGAAACACCATCGAGCTCCTCAAGTCAGCGAACCCGCAACTCAGATTCGCAATCGCCTTTCTCACACCATGGGCCCTCCTCGCCACCGCAGTCCTGAAGTATGCATGGGTGGCAAGTTGGCTCAGCGGTATCAAAGACTACGTCTTCAACAGCCTCTATGCGTCAGTCTCCATACCAAGCTCCCATCCGCTCAACAAGCAGGTGCTCGCCTACATGGTGGAGCATGGCCTAGGCAAAAACGCAAGGACACTGGCGCTCACACCCCCAGGGTTGAGTGCATCCAATTGGCAGGAGTTGGACCGTATGTTGGCGCTGAGTGACCCGTACGGTAGGCGGCACCAGGCAGCCCAGGGCCAGAAGTTCAAAGACGATGACCCTGAGAAGCGCGCACTTCGCTATGTTCCGGAGGTTGGCACTTACTACTTCTGGCATCGATACCATCGGATGCGGTTCGAGCGAAAGGCAGTAGTTCAGGAGCAGTACGACGCCAGAGGAAAGCTGCGCTACACTACAGCAGCCGCCGGCAACGAAGAGATCATCATCAGCTGCCTCTCGCCCTTCTCCAGCGCACAGCCCATCCAGGACTTCCTGCAGCACATCAAGACTGCTCCCGCAAAGGACAGCACTACGACAATCTACCGTCCCAACGTCGCTCAGTTGACATGGGATCAGGGCATCACGAGGCCGAGCCGAAACCTCAACGCCGTCACGCTCGATGCCAAAGTCAAGGGCGATCTGGTCCGCGATATCGAGACTTACCTCTCTCCCGCCACCCGCAAGTACTACGCCAACCGTGGTATCCCGTATCGCCGCGGGTTGCTGTTCTACGGCAATCCGGGCTGCGGCAAAACGAGCTTCGCAAATGCTGTAGCTGGCACCTTTGGGCTAAATGTCTACATGTTCAGCTTATCGAACAACTCATTCGATGATGGTGTTTTGGAGGTCCTGTTCGAGCAGCTGCCGTCAAAATGCATTGTTCTGCTCGAAGACATCGACAGCGCTGGATTGAGGCGTGAAGACATGCGTGAGCAGTCGAAGAAGAGGAAGAGGTCGAGAAGGGCAAACAACGTCTACCCGAACCAAAGGCTTTACAACGAGGACGGCGAGCTAGTCGAAGACACGGGAGACGTGAGCCGTGGTGGCGTGACGTTGAGTGGGCTGCTTAATGTGCTTGACGGCATCCACTCGAAAGAGGGCATGCTCACGATCATGACGAGCAACAGCCCGGATACGCTGGATCCCGCGCTCGTGCGGCCAGGCAGGATTGATCGGAAGATTTTGTTTGGATATTGCTCGCGAGAGGTGCTCACGAAGCTCTTCCGTCACATCTTTGAGAGGGCGCCGGAGGAGCTCGTGGAGGGCGAGACCTCGACAACCACTGCGAAGGGCCACGATATCGTGAAGCTATCAGAGGATTTTGCGGATCTCGTCCCAGCTGATCAGCTCACGCCGGCTGAGGTGCAGGGTTTTCTGCTGGTGCATCGGGAAGACCCTGTGGCGGCAGTCGAGGAGGTGGGAGAGTGGGCGAAGAAGACGATCGAGCGGAAGAAGGCTGGTGCGAACGTTGACACCTTTGCGAACGAGACTGGGAAAGCTAAGGATGATCGGTCCTCATCGAGTCCGCATGACTCTGCGGTCGACATGTCCGATCTCCAAGACGACGCCACAGGTTCGCAAGAATCTTCTGAAGCGGACAGCGAAGAACAGCTCCTTGCCGCCAATGCGGAGATCAAGAGGCTAGAAAATGCTTTGAGGTCACGCGTGTATCAGACACCTGGGGCCTCTGCGTTCACGCTGCCGGCGCAGTCGAAGTACACCCTACCAAGTCAACGGTACTTTTCGCCCGCGACGCAGCAATCACTAGGCGGCACAATCCCGCATGGCGCGAAGATGGCAAGTGCGACGGCTGCACATCTGTCATTCGGCGCGCCTGTCCCAGGTTTCGATTTCTCTTTACCTCCTGGTTTTCCTCCCATGCTTGGTGGTGCCCTGACGACGGCCGCAGGCAAGACGAGTGCGCGTGGGCATGGGGCAGTAAGCGGAGAGATCGTGGAGAAGACCAAGAAGGAGAAAAAGTCGAAGAAGCATTCGACGAAGCGTGTAGAGGCCAATGAAGGGATGCTGAAGGGGGACGGGCCACAGGAGGCTGCAACCCACGAGCAAGTCATTGAGTGTGTTGACGAGGAGGATGTGCCGGCAGACGAAGTCCACACCGAAAAGACATCATTGGCTGCTGTGTGTCGTGAGAAGACTGCTGCAGTGGAGGCGCCGGGAGAAGTGGAGGAGAAGGAGAAGAAGGAGGAGATTGAAGAGAAGGCTTTTCGATCTCCAGACTCCGGCATAGAAGGCTAATGGATCAAAATCAACATGATCACGGCGCTTTGGGTATGGGAGCATCATGAGGGACCAGCATGAGCGTCTTCCAGGGCACTTAGCGATACCCATAGCAGAAAGCATTGCTCGGTTTTATTTTCGTGTCTCATTGGCCACATCAGCAGCAACTTTGACCACGAGATCGCGTTGCAGACGCGTTTGACTCACGACAGAACAGTAAAGATATTTGTAGACATAACGAACCTCAGCGAATCTTCCAAAAGAAACCTCATCCTACCTTTCTCGCGCCACCAAGCACACAAACAACACCTCCCCATCACCTACCTCCAACCCAGCTCCTTCCGCCACCCCAAACATGGCTAGAGAACAACCCACCATAACCGCCTACCAATCCCGCGTCTACACCCTCCTCTCGCAAATCCCCGAGGGCAAAGTAAGCACCTACGCCGCCCTCTCCAAAGCGCTCAACTCCAGTCCGCGCGCGGTCGGCGGCGCGTTGAGGCGGAATCCGTTCGCGCCGGAGGTGCCTTGTCATCGGGTCATACAGGCGAATGGGGTGGGTAGACTTTCAGAAAGCGAGCAGTGATGCGGAGATGCTGATGTGTGAGCAGTATGTTGGCGGGTTCATGGGAGAGTGGCAGAAAGCGCCTTCGGGGGTGAACCAGAGCAGGAAGCTGGAGATTTTGGAGAGGGAGGGGGTGGTCTTTGATGGAAAGGGGATGTTGGTTGAGAGGGGGAGGGCGTGGAGCGGGTTTGTCATTGACAAGGCGTGATGCAGGACTGTATGATGAAGAATGGGTGTTAAGGTACATGTAGAGACGAACGAGATGGGAGTTGCATGTGATTGCCAAGCCTGTGACGTCGCGACATGGACTTTCTCGAGATCGACCCAGCATCATTCCTTCCCAAGTGCGCGAGCGGATAGCACATGCATTGAAGACATCGAGACGAACCCACCGTCAGCTTTTACCACCCCGTCAACGCGACAATGGCCTCCAACTACATCCTCCACGTCACCGCCGGGCCCTCCTACTCAGACCAACACGAAATCCCCATCAACACCCCCGACCGCACGCACATCTCCAGTGACCGCATCACCACGAACCTCCAAGTCCGCATCCAAAACTACCGCGGCCTGCCCGCCAACTCTCCCACCACCTCGCCCTACTTCTCCAAACCCCCGCACGAACACGACCTCTACTCTCTCGAATTCACTTTCACGCTGAAGAACGAAGACATCAATGGCGCGGACTTGGTGTTTGGAAACGACTTTGACCACCCGATCCGGGATAAACTGCCGCCGGGGTTCAATCAGGCGTTTAATCTGGTGAAGTGGTTCGTCGACCCTGGACTCTACGGGGATGTGTATGCGGAGGAACCATACCTGTACGGCCCACTGCTGAGTTCGATGAACGTGCTGAGGATAGGGCCGAAGGATGACCGGGAGCAGGAGAAGGTTGAAGAGGTGCGGGCGAATAGAGAGGAAGGTGATGCGTTGACGGAGGGTGGAGATGGGGATGGAGAGGATGCGAGGAAGAGCTTGGGGTTACCCGCGGATGCGGCGGGGAGGAAGAAGATGTTCTTGAATCAGGCGAAGTTGAAAGAGTTTACGTTTGAGAAGGGGAGGGAGTATGGGAATGACTTCTTTAATCCTTATTTGGATTTCAACGGTATGGCATGTGCTATGAGGGCCGGGTGGGAAGTGTGCTGATGTTGCGGCCAGAGTTCTCGCTCAAGCTACCTGGATGGGGCCTGATACCTGGCGTGACGCTACCGATCATATCATACTGGGACGGACAACCACTGAGGTGAGACGCGCTTCCCTGTACATCTGTGCGTTGCTGGCATGTTCGTCTAATGCGCTGACGCGAAGGTCGCACTCGCTTAGGTACGTGATGAAGAAACGTGGCGACCCTGAGCCGCTGTTCGTGATCGTCTTTACGCTGGTCCCGAAGGACAAGGCTGGTCCGGGTAACGAGGGTGAAGCTGCGGAGAAGAAGGGTGACGATGAGGATCTGGATTGAAGAGGGTATGGTTGGGCGCAATGATGAAAGCCGAATACCCTGCAAGGTCCGACGCAAATCGAGACGGCACAGCATTTCTGTGCCGATAAACGCCAGTGCTTCGAACTCGCAGCCCAAAGCAGCACGCCGGAGCACATGAAGCACGGCCAGAAGGAGCTGCCCTCGCAGTTCGAGGGTGCTTAGTGAAGCCTCCGCAAGGAACACACGAGGGCAATGCAGATATGCCGTTCAATGATATTCCCAGAAGCCATGCATATTCTACACTAGGTCTGCAAGGCCGTAGACATAGACTCATAAAGTCATAGCTCATTGCTCACTCCAAGCCCCTCTCTCATCACTCCTTCACCCCATCGTAGCCTTCGAGAAATCCATCTCCGGATGCTGCGCCTGGAACTTCTTCAACATCTCCATCTTCTTCTCCTCGTCGCTCGACGGCTTCCCCATCTCCTTCTGCCGCTGGTCATACATCATCTTCTCCACCATCCCTCTCGTCTCGCCGTCCAGATCGGAGAGCTTGCTGTTCTCGGGCTGGATCTTGGACGTGTCGATCTTGGGCGCAGAGGTGACGACGTGCGGCCACCATTCCATTTTGTTGGCTTTGTCGAGGTGGATGTTGAGTTCTTTACCGCCGGAGGAGAGGGTCTCGAGGGTCCAGGTAGATTCGTCGGGTTGGATGGGGTGAGGGAGGGTGCCCTGTCCGGTCTTTCGTTAGCATGTGCAGATTGAAGGTGGAACCCCGGTGGATGAGGCGTACGTCTATGATGGGCTCCTGGCCCTTGATGCCGGCTTTGAGTGTGGTCTTCGTGATCTTGACATCCAGGTCTCTGCCCTTCATGTTACCCGGGATGGGTGCTGTGAGGTCGAGGTCTCCGATCTGTTGGGTCCATTTGTACGGTAGTTTGCTCTGCTCTTCCAGCTCTTTGACTTTTGCTTCCGCGTCGAGCTTCTTCCGCTCCTCGGGTGTTGGGGAGGGTGGTCGGTCCGCCATCTTTGTGAACGTTGGTCTGATTCAGAAGTTCGAGGTTCAAAAGGTCGCGAAAGTCGCACGCGTTTCACGTGACTGTGATGCTCTAGCGCCGGGCAATCCCGGGCGGACGGGCAGCTTCGTCGAGCTCCAACTTGACATCTCCTTGCGACTACCAGAAGCCATTGCGCCCAATACAGCACTTTTACACCACAATGAACTCTCTTCGCGTTGCTCGCACGGCGCTGCGGGCTCGTCCTACCGCCTTCCGAGCACCCGCCGCGAGGCGTACGTACGCAGATGTTGCGGAGAACAAGGTACACCAGAGAACAGAATATGGGTAATGGGTTGTGACTGACGCTCCCCGTAGATCCAGTTGACTTTGGCACTGCCTCACCAGGTGTGTATACATACAAAAAGCAGACTTGAGCGGAGCATAGCTGACGAACGCGCGATAGTCGATCTACAAATCCCAAGATGTGTATGTTCGGACCACCTGAAGAAAGAGCGAGAGGAGTATGAACAGGGACTAATACAGCGCAGCGTACAGGTCAACATCCCCGCCGAGTCCGGTGAGATGGGTATCCTCGCTCAGCACGTTCCGTCCATCGAGCAGTTGAAGCCGGGTCTTGTGGAGATCATTGAGGAGGCTGGTGGGAGCAAGCAATTCTTCTGTACGTCGCACACACTACCAGAGGGTCGCAGAAATACAGGGATGCGCAGCGGATAGCAGGGCGTGCTCTCAAGGAGCAATAGAGAGCGTTGAGGATAAACTTGCTGACGGATCTTCCACCAGTGTCCGGCGGCTTTGCAACAGTGCAACCAGGCTCCGTCCTCAGCATCAACGCTGTCGAAGGCTACCCACTCGAGGACTTTAGCGCAGAGGTATGTTGCAAAGGCGTTTCTCGCTTCTCGCCGTGCGTACTAAAGCATTTTATAGGCGGTGCGAAACCAGATCTCCGAGGCGCAGAAGATTGCTGGTGGAAGCGGCAGCGAGCAGGATATTGCGGAGGCAAAGATCGAGCTAGAGGTACGCTGTTCCTTTGTCTCTACTTCATGATACCCAACTGACGCTCCACATAGGTGCTGGAGAGCCTGCAAGCTTCCCTCAAATAGACGAGGCTTGATGGCCATGTAAATACTGCTTTGTGTAACATGTTATCCGCCCGGCTTGGATCCCGAATCTCGCGACCGTCACTTCCCAGACTGCTTGGGACGTTTGACATCTTCCCAGTGCAGCTTCCTCTCCAGCGTGTCACTCGCGGCTTCTTGTCACGCGATGCATCGGACTTCTCTTCACGACACTCTCTCTTCACTATCTCGTTACCCGAAACACAGCATCTCATCTTTCTGGCATATTTCCGTTCATTTCCATATTCTAGTCCAGCAATCCTGCACAGCACACGGATCATCGCTGTTGCTCCTCTGGTGCTTGACTCTTGCAGCACCACGACGACCTTCGGAAGGGCGATGCCGACCGCATGTCGCTAAATGCTTCTTTGGCCCATCTCAGACCCAAACGCCTATCTGCTGAGCGCGAGCTGCAACGTGCTTGCGGCCACTGGAGAAAACTTCCGCTCGCTCCGTCTTTTACGCAACACCGCCAGCTCAGATGTCGACTTCGCTCGTAAGTCAAGCCGACTGCGCTTAGCATTCGAGAGCGCTTGAGCCCATTTCATCACCTTGCCCCTTTTGTTCGCTGACGTGTCTAATGCACTGCAGAAAATCAAGCTCGCCGTCGCAGCGCTCAAATCCCGCCTCCCCAAACACAGCTCGGCAGCCCCTGCAACCCCTGCTGCCCCTGCCCCTGCGACGACCCACCACCTCACAAAGATCGACCTCAGCAAGAAGCGATCCATTACAGCATCGCTTCGCAGCCTCTTCACGGGACACTCCGTCCACAGTACTGCGAGCACAACAAGCACGCCTCCACGCGAAGCGAGCGTGGAACGCCAGCCAAGAGATACTGCGACGGCTGCTACACCGACACCAGTCGATTCGGCAACAGCGACAACAGTTGCTGTCCCGGTTACGACGGCAGAGGGAGGAGCTGCAGGAGGAACTTCAGAAGCAGCAGCAACCACACCGACCCCGGTTCCGGAGCCGACGCCAAGCCCGACGGTTGTACGCTCGAGCACGACCCGCGCCCGCGAGCTTTCGCCGGCGCAGGAGCAAGTCTACCCGCAGAGCCACGGGAAGTTCATCGAAGAAGGCATCGTCAGTCAAGAACACCTAGCAGAACCGATCGTGAGTCAGCCTCAGGAGGCGCATTCGTATCCAGCTCCCGCCGCGACGACGACGACAGCAACGACCAGCAGCACGAGCGAGCCCCGGTCGTTGAAGAAGAAGCAGAGCATGGGTGGGGAGACGACGAAGACGGTGCGCTTCAAGACCAAGACCAAGATTTTGGCGGCTTGGACGGCGTTCAAGATAAAGATGATGGTGTAGGTGGCGGTCGTGGAGGTGTAGGTGGAGCTGTGGTGAAGAGTCGAGTCGCGGCCTTGGAGGAGAAGGCGAGGAAAGATGCGGAGGCTGCTGAGGCTGATGCTGGGAGGCAGACGAGAGGTGCCAGAAGCGCTGCGGTTCCGAAAGTGGACGGGCCGGCGCCTGTGTATCCGCTGCATTACAAGCGATTTGCAAGGCGCACGAGCAGTGGTTTGCCAATACTGACGATGAAACCTGAGACCCCAATATATCGGTCACTTCCGGACGATGATCCGACTATTCATGCTCCGCAACCTACGAAGAAGGTTCCTGCCTTTGGAACACCTGAGGTGACATCCAAACTTGCGAGACTTGGTGAGAGTGCAAACAGCTACTTTGCAAGCCCTGCCATTACTCCTGCAGCATTCCTGCAGGGTACGAAGAGTAACTGTGTCCGGCATGGCCGGATACCACCGCCTGCAACAGCAACGAAGAACGACAGACTTGGCCCGCCAGACCTAGCGAGGGATAGGAGTGGCATATACCATCCAACTGGCATATCGCAAATGCGGCAGATGGAAGCTACAAGTCCTTGGGCCGGACCGACGAGATATATCATGACCGCCGCTGATGCGCGGGATAAGGTTTGCCCTGATTGTATGAACGAGCTGAGGATCAAGCGGAGGGAGTTGATGCAAAGTACGCCACGCACCGTTTCGAGGCCTGGAGATCTGAGCAGGATGATCTCGACGCAAACCTTGCGAGGCATCAGCGAAGACGTGCATGGCAATAAGCAGGGTCTTGTCTTGTCGAAAGACCTTGGTGATGGGCTCAACGCTGTGATTGTTGAGCACAAGGGTGACTTGAGGCGAGTTGTGCTCAATTCGCGGCATGGCAAGGCTTCGATGGAGACCATGCAGAGGCTTTCGAAAGAGTAGGCTCTGGTCTCAGACCAGATCCTTTTCGCTGGGTCCGGAACGAAAACAACTTCGACAGACCTGAAAGACCACACGCTCATCCTGGATGCTCCACCGAGAGAACACGACATCCGCAAACCCTCTGTACCGGAACTCCTGGACATGATCGATGAAGCGGCCAACGAGATCCATCTGCACGCCGGTCAAGCGGCCGAACGATACATCAGTCGGCCGAGCTTTGCTCAGATGACACGCAACTCTCTGCTGGGCGAGACCGACTTCGACGCAGTGCTCGCGTACAATGCGCCCTCGGCCCAGGCTCTGGTGGAGCGTCAAGGTATTGATGATCACTATCGCGCTTTGCATGACCGTCTTGCGGAGGCTTCGAGGCGGCCGAGTGTAAAACGGGTTGATGCTACTGCTGTGGTTGCGAGGGTTGCTGCGACTCGACAGCCAGCAGCTCAAGCAGAGCCAGCACCAGTGCCGCCCAGAAGTCAGCCAAAGCCTACGAGTGCAAGCAGACCTTCACCACCTCGAATCATCACAACCAGGCCGACGCTTCCTCAGGTCACAAAGTTCGCGGACGTCTCTCCCAGGCAGACTCCGCCGCCAGAGCACCCGAGCATTCACCATGCACCAGAACTCTCGCCCACTCCAACCTCGAACGGAACCGCGTTCCAGACTGGATCTTCGACCCGACACGGCACCTTCAGCTTCCTCAACCCCTGGAGTCGCAATGCTACACCTACGACACCTACAGCACACCCGTCACCTGCTCCAACTCATCCACCAACTACACCATCACCGACCCCAACGCCAAGTCCTCCCCCAACACACACCGGCCGCGTCCGGCCAGCAGACGAGTCCCCACCGTCCACAACGCCCCAACCAATCTCCTCGGCTGCGAATCCCTACCACCACGCTCCCCACACGCCGCCCGATCTTCCGCATGCAGCGTACTCTGACCCGAAAGTCAAGGAGCAGCAGCAAATCATTCGGGCGGCTATGCGGATGGAGAGAGGAAGGGCGGTGCAGGAGGCGTCGAGTCGGGTGGAGAGGGAGGAGAGGAGGAAGAAGAGTCTTGTTGGAGATGGAGGGAGGAAGAGGGGGTGATGGAAGGTTTGATGTTGGTGTACCTATTAATTGGGGTAGAGATTGGATAGACCTGTCATTTTAAATCGGTTCTATGCGCCCTTGACTTTGATCTCACGACCATAGAATTGTTTTCATATCGAAGATCAATGTGATGTCTTTGGTTTTGCCTCCATCCGAAGTTGAGCACAGACCTCACTTCAATGACCTCAATGTTCATGAACTCGGGACTTTCTCCTTCCATCCATCTACAAGTCCACACACAATCAACAATGGGCTCCTCAGCATCCAAAGCAGCCCGCCCAGCAGGCGCAGCAGCACGACAATACCCGAAACGTGCACCTACAACCACAACAACAACATCCTCCAACGCACCCCCCACCCAACCACCACCCGCCCAAAACCATCAACCCGGCCCAACCGTACGCCCCCAACCGCGCGCCTCAGGCGACAGATCCGAAGCCATCAATCTCGACGCCTCCGACCCGGACTTCGCCCGCTCCTTGCGCAGCCTAGGCCCCGTTCAACCCAACCCAACCATGTCCCCGACCTCCAACTTCCCGCACCCCTCGAACCCGAACAACCCCTCCTCCGCACCTCCAAGTCCTTTCCCAGACCCGCGAAGGAACCCAGCGCTCGCGGTGCTGGATGCGAGACAGAAGCTGCAGGATGAGGCGGAGAAGGAGTTTGCGGAGGCCGGGAGGAGGGGGCATGAGGGAAGGCAGTTTTTGGACGTTTATACGATTAGGCAGGTTTTGCAGATGAGGGATCAGCAGGGGAGGAGCGCGGGGGGTATTGAGAAGGCGCTTGGGTTGAAGGAAGGGGTTGTGGGAAGATTGGGCACTGACGGGGTTGTGGGAGTAGTGGGGGAGGTTGGAAGGGCGGAGAGGGAGGTTCATGTTGTGTGAAAAGGATCGGGGTGTTGTTGGGTATCTTAAGATATCGTTACGGCTGGGTCTGTTCCACCTTCAAGACGGCCATAACACCGAGGTGGTCTGTGATCCATGGCTTTTCGAAGCCGAGATCAATTATCCGCTTTCGTTCGCCTTCATCCTGCACCTCGAGACCAGCGCCGAAGCGTTCGAACTTGCTGCAGCGCAAACTACCGCAGTAAAACACCTTGTCCATGCGACTGGTACCGAAGCGCTCCCGATTCGTCGTCGACGCCTGCTGGCCCCATGTATGCCCGCCTTCAGCATCATCTTCGTCGCCACCGAGCTCAAGATACGCATCCTTCAGACCATTCTCTCTATGCAGCGTGCGGTCGAAGTCCTGGATGGCGTTGAAGTCCCCGGCAACAGCAGCGCCGTCCACAGCAGCATCTTTCATATACTGCGCCAACAACTTCATCTGCGGCGGTCTCATCGCTGGTTCGAACGCCAGACTCTCGAGATGCGTGTTGCACAGCCGCACGGTCTTCTGCTGGAGCAGCACATTCACGAATAGCCCGTCTCGCTGCATATTGGTCTGGGAGAAGTGTATGCGGAAGCAGGAAGCGAGCGGCAAGCGGTTGTCGATCAGCGTCACGGTTCCGTAGTGTCCGCTCTGCCAGTTCTCTGTGCCGGTGTCGGTCAGGGTGAAGTTCTGCTGGACCCAGGTGTCGTTTGCCAGGAGGGTCAGGTCGGAGGCGACGCATTCTTGGAGGAAGATCACACTGGCGGTGCTTCGGTCGAGGGCGGAGATGAGGGTCTCGAGGTGGCGGACGGCTGCGTTCATGCGAGAGTCGGCGAAAGGCAACATAAAATCGATGTTGTGACTTAGTAGTGTTATCGATCTCGTCGTCGAGTTGTCGATATGAGCAGAAGAAGTACTGTTGTCTGGTCCGGAGGCGTTCCATTTCCGTTCTGAGGATGAGTAGGCGTAGCAGGGCTGCTTCCACGGCTTGTCATATTCCCATGGCACAGCGGTACGCTTCTTGGCTTCTGAAGCCTGAATCGATCGCTGAACGAGCTCGTCCATGGTGCTGTGTCTCACTGTGATGTTGTTGACGGGACGGTGGAGTTGTGGGAAAAGGTGTTTGATGCGGGGGGCAAGAGCTCGCATCAACTTCATGCTCTTTCGAGTCTTGACCAATTTGCGACTCAAATCGCGTTCGTAAACATCCTTCAAAGATTGATGTTAGGTTATTGGATGACGGCAGCCTATTTTCAGTGACTCATAGCATGGTCTCAGGTTGTACGACAGGTCGTGGATTGAAGTCGTGAGAGGTCTCGATCGCAGGCAGACCGCTGCTCTCTGGACACAATTGCTTGCATAAGGTACACAGTCCGATTTTTAGGAGTTAACGAGATAAGTTTGCGGTCCTACTTAGGACACGCAAGAGTCATCCCGTGGCATGGCCTCCTCTTCTGTGGACCCAGCATTCTCCATAGCGCTCCCCAAAGCTGAGCTCCATGCCCATCTCTCTGGCAGCATCAGCCCAACAACACTTCATGAGATATGGTTGAAGAAGCGATCGGAAGGCCAATGTCTGGACCTGGAAGATCCTCTCGCTGCTATCAAGGCAGGCGGAGACGGCTTCGTTGACATTGTTTCGTTCTTCCCGCTCTTCGACAAGTACATCTATGCTCTTTGCAATGATCTTGAGAATGTCAAGTACGCTACGGAGAAGGTACTCCAGGACTTCAGCAAGGATGGCGTCCGCTACCTCGAGCTCAGGACGACTCCCAGAGCGTGTGTCGAGACTGGGATGACCAAGGAACTGTACGTGGATACTGTCAACGAGACTTTTGCTCGATGGAACCATAACCATACCGGCCAGCTTGAAGCCTACCCCATACTTTCGATTGACCGGCGTATGTCCGCTGAAGAAGCAATTGAAGTGGTAGATCTGGCTGTCAAGTACCAATACCATCCCAACCAAGATAAAGGAGGATACGTGGTAGGTGTAGACCTCGGCGGCAATCCAATGAAAGGCAATGTCTCCATCTTCACCGAAGCCATGGCTACAGCGAAAGCGAATGGTCTGGGCATCACCATTCACTTCGCGGAAGTCCCCCAGTCTTCAACCGAGGAAGAGCTCAACACTATCCTATCCTGGCGGCCAGACCGGTTGGGACATTGCATACACGTTCCACCACTAATCGAGAAAGTGATGAGGCAAAGGTCAACCGGCCTCGAAATGTGCCTCTCCTGCAACGTGCTCTCTGGTCTGACGAGCGGAGGCTTTGAGAGGCACCACATCAAACAGTGGGCTCAAAGCGACTGCCCGATTGCACTGTCGACGGACGACGTAGGCATCTTTGGCAGTCCACTGTCGAATGAGTATTCACTTGCTGCAAAATACCTACACCTTTCACGGAAGCAGGTTATAAGCCTGGCTAAACAAGCTGTCCAAGCTTCGTTTGCTGGCCGGAAGAGGATGATGCGGCTTCTTGACGAATTCGAGGCCGCCTTTGATCAGGATGGCTGAGGTCCCTTCCATGGATACAATAACAACATTGTATTTCCATAATAATTGCCGTGGTGCTATGAAGCCATCCCTGGCAACGGTCCCATGCAGGAAAGCCGCATGCCAATGCGAGATTACACATTGCAATCCCTTTGTTTGTACACAACCTCGCAAACACCACACACAACTTTTCCATTTGAGCCCGCAGACGCCGATCCAGACCACCAAGTTCTGCATCAGACATTTTCAAGATGGCTAAATTGAGGACCGTCACTCCGAAAAAGGGTGCGAAACCCAAAGGCATCGACACGCCTGAGTCCGCTCCACGCCGTTCGGCGCGAGACACCACACCTTCTGCGAAAAAGGTCGCCGCCGATGCCCTGTCCGCAGTGTCGAAGGTCGTGAAGAGTGTCACTCCAGCAAAGTCTACGCCTGCTAAAGCGAGTACCACGAAAGCTAAAGCCACCACCGCCAAAGCATGTCCAGCTAAGACGACACGCGCCACGACCAAGAAGTCCCCAGCAAAGGCCGATGCTAATGAGACGCCTGTGGAAGAATCGCCAGCAAAGTCACGAGGCCGTCCCAGGAAGGCAGCAGCGACAGAGCCATCCAAGGCTGAACCCAGCGGTGTCGCGAAAGATACGAAACCCATGCGCTTTCGCAGAGCTGGCGATCCTTTGGCTACCGAGGACAACGGAGGCTGGATCCCTATTACGAAGAAGGCAAGCCCGGCCAAGCGAGGCGCAAAGGCGAAAGCCACTGGCGATAAATCCTACAAGAACCAGGAGACCGTCGATGACGACAGTGAAGATGATGATGGCGGTTTCATGGGTATCGTGCAGTCGATCGAGGCGCTGAGTCCGCGAACGCCAAGCCGTCCCCGGAAGGAGAGCCCTTCTCGTGCGGTATCCCGAAGTCCTGCACCCAGAGGACGTCGGCAGAGCCCGAAGAAGACGTCAGCAGCTGCACCAAAGAGCCCAGTCCGAGCGACCAGCAAGTCTCCGAAGCCACGGACCGTAGCCAAAGCGCGATCGAAGAGCCCGCAGAAGAAAGCGCAAGCAAACGTTCTGGACGAAGACTCTGAATTCCCGACCAAAACGCGCTCAAAGAGTCCCGCAAAGCCGGCGGCCAAGAGCCGCTCGAGGAGTCCAGGCAAGCGAGCGCCCGTCAATGTTCACTTCCAAGACGAGGAAGAATGTGAGCCAGAACCGGATTTTGCGGAACTTCCGCCCAGCAGACGTTCTAAGAGCCCATCGAAGCCGAAGACGACTGCTTCAAGCGACGATCCCTCTGTCACAGCCAGAAAGCGTTCTGAAAGCCCAGCGAAGAAGGCAGGACCGGGACGTCCCAAGAAGCGACCGACGGAGATCTCAACACGCACACGCTCGAGGAGCTCGGCATCCCGAAGCCCGAGTGTTGATGCCGCCCCTGAGAATCTCAAAATACAGAAGACGAGGGGTCTTGGCAGTCCCGTGAGAATCCAACAGCCAGGCGCAAACGCATCGCGCACTTTCAGTCCGCACAAACCAGCATCGCAAGCCGGTCTACCTCAAACAGCCATGAGGCCACGCAGCCCCAGTCCCGACAAGGCCGGAAAAGGCAAATCAAAGAGCTCAACAACAAACAAAGCACGATCACCGTCCCGCAAGCCCGACTTCTTCACCTGCTTCAACTCAAACTCGATAGAAGGCAAGATTTTGCAGCGCGTCGAAGCAGAAGCCTTCAAATTTGCAAAAGCGAAATTGGCAAAGAATGAACCCTTCCGCGAAGTCCCGGACTGGAAGGCTGAGCACTACGAAGTGATTGCATTCAAGCGCGGCTTGGATCGGGCGAGGAAGGAGTTTGCTATGCGCACTATCGCGGGTAATGAGGAGCAGCACCAGAAGAATTCACCCAAGAAGCGATCGAGGTCGAAGTCGAGGTCGAGGTCGCCGAGCAAGAGCAAGAGCAAGGGTGAAGGTGGGAGCGAGCCGCCCAGTGTCAACGGAGTGGATCCGCCTTCTGAAAGCGAGGAGAGTGAACTGGACGAGGACCGGGACTTCGTCTACGACGCTCAAACTGGCCCTGCGAAGAGGGTCCCGGCCAAGCGCAAGGCAGCCGACAGCCTGCCATCTCCGCTCAAGAAAATGGCTCGCACGCCCAGTCGCGGCAACAGTCCCACGAAGCGGTCTCCGACCAAATCCTCACCACCAAAAGCCAAAGGCAAGCGCAAAGCCGCCACCACCAGCGAGCCCCCTCCCCTCGTCCGCGAGGGCGAGTCCTCAGCCCCGAACCGCGGCCCCATCCATTCCTCCACCAACCCGCAGTTCGTGCGCGGCATCGACAACAAGCGCAACCCGTTCTTCGAAAGCATGCCGGCGCCCGAGGTGTGGCATAGACGCATGCCGCCGTACTTTCCGTTCGGGGAGACGCCGTATATGGAGCAGGTGATGAGCAATCAGATCAGTGCTGATCTTGCGAAAGGTGAGTTCTGCCGTTCGTTCTAAGGAGGTGTGGTGGTGTCTGTGACCAAGCTGACACTGTGGTGTAGGCGAGAAGCCCGCTAAAGAAGCCTCGGGTTTGAAGTCTCTTTGGGGGTGGTTCGGAAGCAAGTCAAATGCTGAGGCCCAGAAAGTCGAGAGCACGGCCCAGGACGGCGAGAATCGAGTTCTTCCAGGACAACTGCCGTCAGCGACCGACGCTGAGATCAAGAGGTTTGCGACGCAGCTCCAAGGGCAGAGCAAGGGGCAGAAGCGCAAGGCGTCCGATGAACAGGTGGCGGCGCCGTCCTCCAAGGCGCCGAAGAGGCGGCGTGGCCCGGGGAGTGATGAGTAGGAGGATGATGGTATGGTCGGTGGTGGTCTACAGTAGGGTACTGTCGACCTTCCGGCCGAACTGCAGTGGAGCCTGTTGCATGGGGGTGGCTGTAGTCTATGAAGTAGTAATGCTGTAATTATTAATCTGAATCCTTCACCAGCAACTCTCTCGCAATCTTGCTCTGTGCCCTGATCTTCGGACCATAGAACACTAGTATCCAAGGCACGATAGTGAGAAGAGCAGCAAAGCCGCCCAAGAAGCTCGCCGCGCCTCCGTATGTGAGGCCGCGAAACATGAAGGTGGTGTAGATGGGGAAAGAGCCGCCGACCATATTGCGGCAGAAGCTTTGGGATGCGAGGGCGGAGCTGGCATATCTGTTGTTTCTTGTTAGCCACGCTCAGCGTCGTTGATGGATGGTGGGCGTACTTGTGGTAGCAATCAGCGAGATAATTAAACACCGCCAGATATATGCTGAAAATGCCCATCGTCGCGACTCCAATCCCAATAACCGGCACTATCCAGTGGATGTCGCTGAAGCAAGTCCATCCGAACCAGAAACATCCAATCGGCAGCAGCGAAGACTGCACGCAGCAGAACAGCAACCGACCTTCAGGTGTGCCCAGGAATTCCCTCCATTTCTCGTTCGTTACGTATTTCCGGGCCAGTGGTTCCTGGTAGATACTGATAACCGTGCTGATGATAGCAGCAATGCAGACGGTGGCGAAGACTGCGCCTGACTGGGCGACGTTGAAGCCATAGCGAGTAGAGAAGATCAAGGGCACAGCGCCGAAGAGGAGGTAGAGGACGGCCCAGGCGAAAGAGATCCAGAGGCTGAAGAAGAGGACCACAGGTTCTGTGAGGAGGAGGTGGAATGGGCGGTACAGGGAGACGCTGATCATTTTGAACAGAGAGGCTCGTTCTTCGTCGCTGCGCACTTTCCATCTGATGCGCTGGGGTGAGCGGTTGTCGTGTTTTTCGGTTGATACGACGGACTCGCTGCTGGAGCCGGGCATGGAGACGCCGTAGTAGCCGGCTGCTTCGAGCTCGTCGTACCATTTGTTCAAGGCCTTTGCTTTTCGAGATAGTAGGACGGAGCCTCGGGATTCTCTAAAGAAGATAGCGACGAAGATCCAAAGAAGACCGCAAGTGATGACTTGAAGTCGGAATATCCAGCGCCAAGTCGTGTATTCGCCGATGAAGCCGGAGACCAATGGCCCAAGGCCGGTGCCAGAGATGGCGCCACCAGAAAATAATGCCATAGCCCAGTTCCGGTCCTCTGCATGGTAATAGTCTGATATAACGCCGCCGACCATGGTGCTGAACGTGCTACAAGCGACGCCGGTGAGGAAACGTGCAACGAGCATCCCAGCGAATGTAGGCGTGAGAGCGCACACAAGCTGGAAGACAACGAAGAAGAATCCTGTGATAACGAAGACCGGTCTCCGCCCATTGATCTCAGAGAAGGGTGCAAGGAACATTGGTGCTATAGCGAAACCCGCCGTGAAGATTGCAATGCCGACTCCTGCTACTGGCTGAGAGATGTTCCACTCCTCCATGTACTGCTCATTACCCGCAGCGTACGCACCAGCGGTGTAAGCCGTGATCATGGTGGAGAGACATCCCATCCAGGTCATGAAGCTCTTCCTGCTCGAGGGCCATTGGAAAGGGTTGGTGTACTGTTTCAAGTCCGGGCTCGGTGGCGGTTGCTGTCGTTCGCTGTCCAGAGAAGCGGATTGCGTTTGGTACCATGGTCGTGGTAACTCGGTTTCGAATGTGAAGTAATGCCATTGTATCTCGTCGTCAGATCCTAAGCTCTCGTGGGGTGACGAGTCGCTGCTGGAATCCTTCTTCAAGTGGCCATCATTGGCGGTCTCGGCGTTCATGGTGATGCCTCTCTGCGGCGTTCCGTCTGGTCTGCCCAGCTGTCATAAGAAGTCGTGCTACCTCACGCGACATGCAATGAAGACGAAACTAAAAACGAAAATATGTACAGAAACCCAGACACCATGAGGAGAAATCGAATATACATAAAGAGGAGAGTCATGAGTTCTTCAATGCCCCCCTCCACCTGGCCGAGCAAAATCCGGCCGCCGAATTAGCCGTCAGGCCGTGCTATTCCCGTTACTGTAATCTTCAACGGCATCTGGGGAACTCCTCTTGCTCCTGTTCATCTTCCAGGTTGTGTTCTCACCTTCTGGTCTTGGTATCGAGCTGCGGCGGACAGTGGAATCGGCCTACTATCTCCTAGTTGAGAGTGTGTCGTCTCGCAGACCATCCCACAGACAATGACAGCCCCCCCGAAGAGATCAACGTGGGTCTTTTCAGAGGCTGTTGGGTTGTGGGATTTTGTAACCCCGGCGCTCACGACGCCTCTCCACTACTTCCACTACTTCCACTCCCCAGCCCCATCCCAAAACCCCCCACCCCAACCACCCCGACCCCTACAACATCACCACACCCACCCCACCCATCCTCCCCGCATCCGCCACCCCGTCCCCATCAACCCCACCCCCCAACGCCTCCGTCCTCCAATTAAACAGATAAAAATTCAACTTCCCATCCCCGCGCTCAAACTTCAGCTCCTTGAAAAACAGCGGGTTATCCAGCAGCGTCAGCGCGTTGAAGACGTGGAAATTCGCCCTTTTGGCCTGGACGATGGCGTCGTGCATGAGGGCTTGGAGACGGGAGGCGAGGTTTAATTGGATCTGGGCGGCTTTGGGGTGCGGGCCGGAGGTGGGGGGGAAGGCGGTGTCGGAGGCGAGGTAGTAGAGGTAGGCGGCGCGGATGGTTTCTTTTTGTTGGTTTGATTTGAGGACGGTGGACTGGGGGATGGGTTAGTGTGGGTTCGTTGAGTGTAGGATGTGGTAGGAGAGGACAGCTTACTTCGAGTAGGTAGTAGGACACAAAGTCAGAGATACCACCGCCTTCTTTATCCACCACCCAGCTCCAGACGACGTCCTTGCTCGCGTCAGAGCACAGCCAGTGCGCGATCTCTTCTGCTGTCCACTCTTGTCGCAGCTTGAAGCGCTCCAGGTATCGCACAAGCAGATCCCTCACACCCTCGATATCGTCAGGCTTCATCGGCCGCATGCCCTTGATCTTCGTCTGCGCCGTATCGACTTTGTACTTGTACTTCTGCCTCAGCTCCGTCGTGCCGGGCGGTACATGGCTGAAGCCGCACTTGTAGAGGTGCTCCCAGTCCAGCGAGCGGTGATAATATCTGCACGTGCTCACCGGCGTAGGCAAGATCGTGCCAGCCGTGTACAGCGCCTGGTAGATGCCATTCAAATAGCATCTCCTCGTAACCTCCTTGATCATGACGGGCGCCAGTCGCTTCCCGCGCAGCTTGTGGTGGACGGTGAGGAAGTTGATCTCGGTCGACTTGAACTTGTGCTCGCCCACTTTGAGCGTGACAGGTATGCCGGCGATGAAAGCGACCAGTCGCCCTCTCTTCCCCTCCGTCGTCGACTTCGTCCGCACGCCGATGTGCCATTCTTTCTTCCACCCGGGCGGCTTCAGCGCCCACGAGAGGAACGAGACGCTGTACTTGAAGCGGAACGAACCGTCGGTATCCTCCACGTAGTGACCGTCCAGTAGCTCGTAGAGTTCCTGCAATTCACCCTTGTCCTCGATGTCGACGGTAGACCACTCGAACCCCTCCACCAGCTTCTCGGGCTCTTCCTTCGCGCTCGCTCTGCAGACCTTGTCGGGCAAGATCGGGCCTTCGGGTAGCGACTCGCTCGAGCTGTCCGTGGTTTGCAGCAGATTCGGTGGTTCCTTGAACTTGGGCACCGGCTGCGTGTTCCAGAACTTGTAATCCTCTGGTGCCTTGCCTTCTTGCTTCTGCCCCTGCTGCGACACAGCAAGCTGTTGGAGTAGCGATTGTATGTTCTGCACCTGCGCTGGCCTCGGCGGTTGTTGTGCGCCTGCTGCTGAGTCCGCTCCTTCGCCTGATGTTGCTGCCTTCTTTTTCTTCTTCTTGGGCTTCTTCTTCTTCTTGGAGGGCTCTGCTGCTGTGCCTGCTTCTACCTCGCCGTCTTCCTCGACTTCCTCCTCAGCATCCTCATCTGCGTCCGCTGTGTTCTCTGCAATGTTTGAGGGATCCTCTAGAGCTTTGTCTGCCACATCACTCGCGATCTGCACATCTGCTGTCTTCTCTTGCTCGGCCGCCATGGTCGCGGTCGATTTTGCTTTCTCTTCCTTGCGTTCGCACCACCGCGCACTTCACGGAATGTTTAGTCAGGGACTAGAATGGGAGGTTCCTTCAAATATAACGGTGTCGCGTGGCCGCACGAGCCTCGTGAATGTGGGGTAAGCATGTGAATTGCAGGTAACAGTTCGGGATCAGAACATTGGGTCAGAGCACGACAGTTGGTAATCATCTCCATTCCTCGTCCAATCTATATAGACACGAAGGAGATACATGCAAATCTCTGCCAAAAGAAACTGTCGTGAAAGTCGTATTTGAGTCGCCCATGATTCCATCCCAACTCCTCCTGCTCGCACCAGTGGTATATGAACACAATCAACTTCCAATCCGTATTCGCATGATCTTTCCGACTCCAAAAACCAGTTGGAGTCGCGATCCTCCACCTCGTTTGCGTCTACACGTAATAGTTGTTGTGCCTCCGGCTGCTCGAGTGATGACTCCTCCCAGAGCTTCTCGGACGGTTGTAGTCCCTGCTGCCGCGGTAGTCGCGGCTGCCGGATCGTCGTCGGTTGTGCGATCCTGAAGAGCGGTACTCGCGCTTCACAGTCGTGCGGTCGTCGTTCTTGTGGTGGCGGTGTACGAGGAGAGCGAGGATCTAGAAACGTTTGTTAGCTGGTTGTCCTTCAAGCGCGAGGTTGCTGAGGTGTACTCACAAAAGTGACAAAGAACGCAATGATGTCGATTATCCCCAGCGCAAAGCTCGCCTTCAACATCGCGCAAGTCTTGTTTACACCCCAGTTAAAGTAACTTCCACTCGTCGTCACTCCCGCATTCAAATTCCCGCAATCCTGACCTGCAATGAATCGCATCACCACCACACCGCCGATGAACGCCCCGACGAAGCCCAAGTCGATGAGGGCGACGAAGATCGCATCATGCCTCGCGCGCAGGTACGCGATGAGGGTGAAGACGATCCATGCCAGCGCCAGCACCGAGACGATGAACAGAATGAGGATGTAGTTGGGCGTGAGCTGGTTGACCTTGACGTATTGGTGGACGAACCAGGCCAGCATGCCGACGATAGGGACGGTGATGACGAGCTCGAAGATGCGCCATGAGAGGAAGAGGAAGCCGGAGATGGCCATGTCGGGCTGTGGGTGTCGGGTATGTTGGGGTGGTGGGTTGGTGTGAGGGAGGTGGGGGTCGTCGCACGACTGTCGGGAGGTGATGGGTTACCGCAGATGTCGGGTGGAGGGTGTTGTTGTAGTTGTAGTACGGCGCGGATGCAGTAACCGGTTTCAATGCGACAAGACGGGAGGTGTTGGTAGTTGGTGATGTAAAGCTGCAGCTGCCCACTTCTTCGGCTTCCGCGGTCGTCGCTCTTGATCAGATGAAGGCTGACTCGACGAGGAACAAGTGCGATAGCAATGCACAAATAGGAATGAAGGTGGGTCGACAAGGCGATTGTGTGTGTACAAAGTCTAAGACCGTTGGGGTGGTGAAGAAGTGGTTTTATTATCATGTCTGCCTCCACGATAATACCGATGGCTGGTCCCCGCCATCTGAACCATCCCAGCCATTTCCACGTGAGATTGCGGAACCGGGAAGCGACGACCGTTGGAACTTGATCTTGACAGCCCGTGACGGCAGCCTAATCTAAATACCAAGGTCTTGACCCTCGTCTACCGTCCTCGGAAGCGTGAAGCAAGATTTGTTCATCTTGGTGTTGTGAAAGTGGCAAGGCGACAAGGCAATCCTGGAAAGCGGAGCCGGAAGACGCCGAGATCTCGACCTTGACCTCGACTTCACCTTGCGACATCACGAGTCAATTCTTTGGCAGGAGGTCGCTCTCGCTGTGTTGAATGACAGGACCTAGGTCGGTATAGCCGTGCATACGAGACAAGTCAGCGTTGTTGACCATGTCAACCAACTATCCACCCATCCGACTCAGGAAGCCACACCATGGCCTCGTCCGACGATGAAGCGTCGCCTCCTCCTCACGAAGCATCATCTCTCTACGACTGGCCTGGTAGCAGCAATGGCGTCACCCACACTCCCGGAAGTATTCACACCACCGGTCTTCCTGTGCTACCACGCCCGTCTTCAGACAGTAGCTTAGAAACTTCTTCATCCTCCGGCTCCCTAGATCGACCCAACCGCTGGCCAGGGCCCTCGAGCACCTACCACGACTACATCCAGCCTGAGCGCGCCTTGCTACAATCACTCACCCAACAGCGCGCCAACAATCTAAGCATCCACCTCTACAATGCCCACGCGCTCAAAGCCCGCGTCCGCGACCCAGATGTGGCCACCTCAGACGTGAAACCATACCACAGCAAGAAACGATGGGTCCGACAGAACCCAGACGGAAGTACCTCATGGCACCCGAAAGGCTACTGGACTGCCTGGCCATTACCGGCCGAGGGCGTGCCGAGGGAGCGGGAGCAATTTGGAGTGCCCTGGGAGGATGTCCTGGACGCTGATGGGTGTACGTTCAGGATGGAGGAGGGCTGGAGGCCGGGGAGGGAGATGGAGGAGGAGGTTTTGGCGATTATGTTGAGGTTGGGGAAGGAGAAGTGGAGGGAGAAGGTCGGGGAGGAGGAAGTCAGGGATGAGCTGAAGGAGGAGGATGAGGCGATCGAGGTGGAGTCTGCGATCGAGGTCGAGTCTGGAAGTCGAAACGAAGAGGGTGATGGGGATGACGATGTTGAGATGAAGGTGGAGAGTGGAGTTGAAGAAGTTGAGGACGACGGAGGTGAAGGGAGCGACCAGGGCTTCGACGGGGAATTGCATCAACCGTATGTCGACCCTAAGTTCCTCGCAGACGATGATGAAGCCGCGCGGATATTGCAACCGATGGTCTCGCACATCATGACCAAACTCGACGACCTCCTGCTCGGCCTCCACAAAAGCAACAAAGGCCGTCAGCGCTCTCATCACGGCACACCTCGCTCGCGCTCTCGACAACGCCGCTCGAAGTCGAGGAAGCATAGCCGCTCGAAGTCCAAAGCACGTACACCAATCGACGAGGACGGCGATGAAGACATCTACGGCGATGGGGACGATGATGCTCGTGCCGCCGAACCAGCAACCGACGAAAGCTCAGAAGAACGCACTCCTGGTCGCAAACCAAAGCGCGACCGCGCCCTCAACCTCCGCGACTGGAGCGAACTCCTCACCACAGCCTCCATCACCGACTGGTCCCCCACCGTCGTCCAACGTACCGCTCAGCGCTGCGCCGACCTCTTCGGCGAAACCACCGGCTTCGGTCTCCTCGACACTCCCGCTGCCCAGCCTCACGTCGACCTCACAGCAGAAGAAAACCGCGACCAAGCTGCCGACGAAGCCTTCATCATCAAAGACGACCCCGAAGACGCGATAAAATGGTGGTACTGCCCCATCGCGACCTGCAAACGCAAAGACGAGCCCATGCGACACGGGTTCCGATGGCGGGAGCATTTGAAGCGGGTGCACAAGTATTCGACGCGCGATGTGGAGAGGATGGAGGAGGCGGGCGCGTGGTATGTTTTAGGGGGGAGGAGGAGATAAGGGATTTATTTCTGGGGAAGGTTGGGCTGTTTTTGGACAGGGCTATAATGTACTGAGCGTGCGCGTGGATCTGTTGGTACTGGGTAAGGTACGCTTTACTCGGGTTTGTGGCAATCGAGCAGAGACCTTCGAGCATAGCTGGTGAGTACCTACCTACAGTAGGACCGCTTGGCATCGGGTGCTCGACGACACAGATATCCGCGAGCGCACAGGAACACGAGCGCAACCATCGATATCGACATAATTTGCAATGCTTCCTTCGAGCAAAAACTCTACCTCCCAGTATATCGCTCGTTGTCGGGTAAACTCCAATTTCCTCTACTTAGAAATAGTAGGCCGATGAACTCCGCCTCCAAACCGTGCATGATGTTCAGACCGAAGGATGGACCTTCTACACGGCAATCATACTCTGCATCTTAAGGCTCAGTTGGAGAATTGTTAATAGCACCACAAATAGAGTCCACGATGGAGGTAGCTATATGCACAGTATAAGGCTGCGCAGCCCTAGCCAGCATTGCAGCCGCATAGTAAATCGGGCAGGAACGACATATAATCCCTCGACACTTAAAGGCAAGAACGAATAGCTACCTTAACGATCGATAGTACAATTCCAAATGGCGACCTCACTTCATTCCCATTCACATTCGCAAGCGTCGCTCGATCGTGTCTACTTGCTGGAAACTTATCCCTTCACCCAACCGCCACGCAAACCCTCCATCATGGACACCTTCCTCGCAAACCTGCATAGCAAGGTGACTACCGCCTACCACGCCCAGGGCACACCCCTCGGATCCGCCGAGAACAGCACCCCTCCCTCCATCGACGAGAAATTTCCACAAGAATTCACCTTCCCGTCGAGCCGACAGCCCGCACCAGAATTCCGCCACCGCGCTCTCGCGCTCACGGCAGCGATACTGGGGTATACGCTCTTCGCCTACGACAACACCGTCATCGCCAACGTGCGGCCGAGAATCGTGCAAGATCTAGGCAATACCGCTGACCTCCCTCTCCTCTCGGTGGCGTACAACCTGGCTATCTTCTCTGCGAACCTCTTCTGGGGCCAGTTGTACCGGAGCTTCGATGCGAAATGGCTATTCTGCGCTGCGGTGCTGGTGTTCGAGATGGGAACGGCGGTTTGTGGTGCTGCGCCGAGTATTGGGGCGTTGGTTGGTGGACGGGTGATTGCTGGGTTGGGAGGTGGAGGGATTTATCTTGGGACGATGACGTTTGTGACAGCGATGACGAGTGGGGGGGAGAGGCCGAAGTGGTTGGCGTTGGTTGGGGTTGGGTATGCGGCGGGTTTGATGTGAGTATTCACTCATCTCTTGGCATCTTAGTGTAGTACTGACTTCCAGCAAGCGCAGGTCCAGTCATCGCAGGCGCATTCGCGGCAAGCGACCCTACCTGGCGCTGGAGCTTCTACCTCTTGCTTCCAATCGGCGCTGTCCTGGCTGCTGCATACCTCTTCCTGCTGCCTAGTCTCCACCCACCAGACGGCGAGCGCGGCGGTAGTCGACTCCGACGGATCGACTATCTCGGGTTCCTCTTCTTCACCACGGCCGTGGTTGGCTTCAACCTCTTCCCAGCGTTTGGTGGCTCGGAGTACAGCTGGTCGTCTCCCCAGGTGGTTGGACTTGCGGTCTGCTTCGCTATCGTTGTCGTGGCTTTTGCCGCGCAGCAGTATTTCTGCCTGCTGACCTCTCGCACCAACCGTTGCTTCCCAGGTCACTTGCTGGGTTGGTGGGAGATGTGTCTGCAGTGGGCTGCCATGTGCATGGTTATGTTGAGCATGGTAAGTCTCCTTCAACCATGAAGCATTCGACACAGGAGCACAGCTGATCTCAAAAATGTTCGCTGCTTAGTACGTCCCGCTCTACACCATCCCACTGCATCTCCAGTTCGTCTTCGGCGACGGCCACTCATCAGCGGTGTCAAGCTGGTGCCGTACGTCGGGACCATGGTCGTGGCACTGCTGGCGAGCGGCGGACTCATGCGCAAGCATCCGTTCTACATGGCCTACTTCCTGGTGGGCGGTCTGTTGATCGTGGCTGGCGGGGTCCTACTGCATTTCGCAACCCTGAAACGTGGCGACGGGTATCTGCTCGGTGTCAGCGTGCTGGTTTCTGCTGGTTGCGGCATATGCGGACAGACGGTGTGTGCACCGCAAAGTTCTTACTATACTCACTGCCGGAATGCTGATTTGTGATGCTCAGGCTTTCTCAGTCGCCCAGTGCAAGGTCAAGAAATCAGAAGACATTCCCGCCGCGACAACATTCATCGGCACAGCGCAAGTCGGCGGCGTTTCGATTGGACTCGTGACTTCAAACTCGATCTTCGTCAATCTGGCGACTAATCGCTTAGTCGACATCTTTCCTGACTCGCCGCGGAACGAGGTGGTGAATGCAGTGACAGGAGCGGACTCGTTGCTGCTCGAGACGCTGGCTCCCGCAGCACGTCGGCATGCGCTTGAGCTTGTGAAGTCCGCGGTTCAGGATGTGTATTGGCTCGTGGTGGGCAGCGGGGTCGTGCTGGTTGTGTTGGCGCTTTGTATGAAGAGAGAGCGGCTGTCGTGAGGCTCAGAGTGAGTACCACGGACCCCGATGCGCTGCAGGCAAAGCCGTGAGAAATGTGCGGAGTTGTAATACGTGCCTGTAAGCTCAGGGATGCTTCGCAATAGACTCATGTTCATGGTTTCGTTGTTGCTTCGGCCATGATGCGGTCCTGTTCCAAGGTAAACCTGGCATGAATTTCTTCACCGCACACTAGATCGATGATGTCCACTGCAGTCTGTCCAACAGAGTTGCGCGGCGACACGGATGCGCCAGCATGCAGGAGAGCGCCCATAGCTTCGCAGCTGTTCGTATAGATTGCGTGCCTGCTCATAACTTGAGCGTTAGCCACTGATACTAATGTGAGTAGGTATCAGGCGCTTACATTAGAGCCGTGTCGCCATACGAATCGGTCCCATCAATGTCCATACCAGCCTCGAGAAGCACTTTGATACTTTCCACATGGTCATGCTGTGCTGCGAGGTGAAGTGCATTGTACCGGTAAGGATTGGCGGAAACCGCAGGAGCACTCAAAGAGGCGCCCGCCTTAATCAGTGAACGTACACAGGCCACGTGGCCCCGGCGCGCTGCTTCCATGATCGGTGTAAGGCCCAAGGCCTCATTTGGGAGGTCCACATTGGCGCCGTATGCGATTAGCAAATCTAGACATCTTGGGTTGCTCTCGAATGAGGCCGCAAATAGCGCCGTCTCGGATCTGTTCTCTTTGTCTGTCGATTGAGCGTCGATGTTGCTCGCGTTGCGCCTCAATAAGCATTCCAGACAATCGAAACTGTGTCGGTACACAGCCACCGAGAGCGAGCTCAGGCGACCTTCGGACCAGTCCAGCCCAATAAAGCTGTGGTATTGAGGCTGTAGGCGCAGAAAAGTCTCGAGCCACTCTGCGTGGTTGAGTCGGGCCGCCTTGTGGACTGGATTGTTTGCAGCACGGCCACGTGATGATATCAGCTTATCAGCAGCCCCAGCTTCCAACAACGGTTCAATGACACGAGTGCGATTGTACCGTGCCGTGACTTGAAGTGGGGAGTAGAACGTCCGACGGCTCTGAGCCCTCGCGGATCGCCTGATGTCTGCAGGCGTCTCTATTTGAGAGCCAGCACCGGTAATGCCCGTCGTGTTGCCAAAAGAGCCTGCTGCATCCAAGTACTTGACCACGGAGTCTGCAACGCGCGCGAGTTGTTGGGTAATACGGGACGGATTTAGCGCCTGCAGCATGATAGCAACAACAGCAGAGTCATCGCTGAAGCAAGCAGCATGTAGCGGTGTTCCAAGAGCTCCAGCTGGCCTGTCGACTCCGGCCCTGCTCGCAAGTAAGATACGCACAACATTTGCGCGAGCCTTCATCGCAGCAAGACCTAAAGGAACTCCCCACACCTCATCGAAGGCATTTACGTCGGCGCCTGCATGCAGCAGTGCTCGCACCGTGTCTTCGAAGCCGGAAAATGCAGCCTCATGCAGAGCAGTGGTGCCGTAATTATTCTGGTAGTCCACGTCGGCGCCATCTCTGAGAAGCTTCTCGACCCGCCGCGTCTGGCCTTCCCCAGCAGCGCGGATCAAAGCAATGTTGCGGGTCTCTCTTTGCTCGATGTTGTCGTCAGCTAGCCTCAGTAGCGGCGGGTATACATTCGTGTAATCTGCGAACAGTCAGCAAGAAGCAACGTGTGTGTTGATGTGTCGCAGGTTTACTCACGGTTATTCGTATCCCCATAATGGTTCCCATTGTGCTGTCGCGAGTTGCCGCCGGCGCTGACGTCGGAGATGTGCAACATTTAGGAACATCGTCTCCTCGTAAGTATATACGCGAGTGCCTCCGAACTCCCGCAGCCGCCCTTTGTCACTCGCAAAGTAATAGAATGAACGGTAGGAGGTAGGAAAGCAAAAGAGCTCAGCCTTGTTGGTGGCGTGAGGTCCAGACGAAACCAGCTAACCCATTTCAATACTAGCAGGAATTGCAAGTGATCAATCAGCTTGCACGTGATCGATCAGCTTGAAACGTCAGTTGCATTTGAACTCGCTGATATCGAACGCACGCTGGGAACAATACACCCATAGCACTCCACTGCACCATCTGCGCCAGCCCAATATTACACGCCTAACAATTGCAGCCTCCAGCTCCACCAGCAGTATTCCCAGACTCCTGCCTCGTACCCAGATCGACACCCGCCGCCCGCCCAGCCGGTCCTCGCATCCCCCTCTGGCTGGCTTGCTCGATCGGCAGCTTCTTCGCAATCGCTGTGAACAGCTCCTTCACGTTCTCCGCCGTCTTCGCACTGGTCTCGAAGAACAGCAGGCCAGATTCCCGTGCGTAGGCTTCGGCGTCTGCGGTGGGTACGGCGCGCTTGTCGGGTTGCTCGGCGACAAGATCAGCCTTGTTGCCTGCGAGCGCGATGACGATGTTCTCGTTGGCTTGGCGTTGGAGCTCTTTCACCCACGACTTTGCCTTATCTAATGAGCTCTGTTCCAGATAATTAGTATGTTCCATGCTCGTGAGGATTTTGAAGCCGTACAGCTTGTGTGATATCGTAGACAACGACTGCGCAGTTCGCGTTCCGGTAGTACATGGGGGCCAGTGATTTGTATCGCTCTTGGCCTGCGGTATCCCATATCTCGAACTTGACCGTTGTTTGCTCGTCGAGGGCGATAGTTTGTGTGAGGAAGGCGGCGCCGATGGTGGATTCTCTGTAGTCGTCGAATTGGTCCTGAGGACTATGTCAGCTCTTCTGCGCAGCACAGCAAATGGGGATGCCGGCCTACCTTCACGAATCGCAGAACGAGTGAACTCTTTCCAACCGCGGACTCCCCTTGATAGTGTCAGCACATTACCAACGCCTATACAGCCAGACCGTACATACCCAGCAACACCAGCTTGAACTGCGCAAAGCGAGCGCCGCCTGGCCGACCGCCTTGTTGTACCCTGCTTGCCATCGCCAGGGATGCTGTGCTGTTTTCTCCTCTTGATAGTGCCCTGGCGCAGTATAGAATGCGTAGAAGTTGGTCGCTGTGTCGCTGAGTCAGAGGTGCTTGATATCGCTGTAGGTCGGACAGAGTTGTTGTGTCTTGTTGGCGGTCGTCGACTTGGTTGCTGAGACAAGGTTGCGCTTCGGAAGTAGGCGCAAGCGGAAGCTAGCACGTGCAGCGCAGTTCAACGTCACTCCCAAGCCTTCACGCGCCACTGGACACTGTCAGGCGCGCACAGAAGACACAACTTTCATATCTGGGGCTACACAAAGACAAGGATAACAACAAGACTCTATACATGCCCTCATAGACCACCGACAACTCGCCAAGATGAGTGCAATGCTCCCATTCCGGGACATCAACGTGCACGCCTCGTCGACATACTATGCCTTCTCGTCTCCTTCATCACCGAATGCGCCAACGCTCATAGTCGACCGGCCGTCTGGCGACTTGCGACTCAACGATGGCAAGGTCACGGGCGGCCATCGTGTCTCCAGCATATCTGGCATCCTGGGAATCATCAAGCTGCGACTAGGTACGATTTCAACGTATTTGTCCTTAGGAACAACATGCTAAGGCTCCGCAGACAGCTATGTGATCGCAATCACGAAGTCAACGCCCGTCGGACGGTTGAAGGGCCACCAAATCTACAAGATCGTCTCGACCGAGTTCATGCCACTCCGGGAGCGTAAGGTACGGGATCCGGATGAGGACACCTACCTCGCATATCTGGAAAATCTGATCAAGACCGGACCCATGTACTTCTCCTACTCCTTTGATCTCACCAATAGCTTCCAGCGGCAGACTTCGAGCGATGCCAAGCAACCACTGTGGCAACGTGCAGATGACCGCTTCTTCTGGAACCGCTTCGTTTCGTCCTCTCTCATCGACTTCCGGTTGGGCAAATCGTCGGGGAGGATGTCTTCTGGACCGCAGCCCGATGTCGACCCTTACATTCTGCCGGTCATGTTCGGAATGATGAGCGTCACCAATACTTCTGTCAAGGGCAACAGCATGACCTTCGTACTGATGACGCGAAGATCCAGACATCGGGCGGGAACTCGCTACCTCTCACGTGGGCTTGACGAGCAAGGACATGTGTCGAACTTCAACGAGACCGAGCAGACGATCATCCTCAACGACAGTGCTTCCAGTGGACCGACCAGCTATGCTGGAGACCAAGGCTTCGCGAATGGCAACCCAGTGGGCGGCAAGGAGACTCAGGTGCTGTCCTACGTCCAAACCAGAGGCAGCGTGCCAGTCTTCTGGGCCGAAGTCAACAGCCTACAATACACCCCAAAACTCACGATCCGCGGTGTCGAAAGCGCAGCAGGTGCCGCACGCAAGCACTTCGATGAGCAAATCTCCCTCTACGGCGAGAACTACATGGTCAACCTCGTCAACCAGAAAGGCCGAGAAGTGCGAGTCAAAGACGCCTACGAACAAATGGTCAAGATCCTCCAATCCTCGCCCCAAGAAGACCAAGAGTCCGGCCGCCGCTCCAACGAGCAATTCCACCTGATCGACTCCAAGGACTCTCGCAGCTGGTACGACCATCTGCACTACATCTACTTCGACTTCCATAACGAGACCAAAGGCCTCAAATTCCACCGCGCCCAGCTCCTGCTCGACCAGCTCAAAGACGGTCTCACAGCCGGCGCCTACTTCCACGGCATCGACAAGCCCTCCGGCGGTGTGGATGTCCGACGTAGACAGACCGCCGTCGTCCGCACGAACTGCATGGACTGTCTCGACCGCACCAACGTCGTGCAATCCATGCTCGGCCGCTGGACCCTCACGCGCATGCTGACCGAACTCAACGTCATCCGCGCCGGCGAGAGCGCGCAAGACGATCAAACGTTCGAACACCTCTTCCGCAACGTCTGGGCCGACAACGCAGACGTGGTCTCAAAATCGTACTCCGGCACCGGCGCGCTCAAAACGGACTTCACGCGCACAGGCGAGCGCACGAGAGGCGGCATGGTGCAGGACTTGAACAACAGCATCACGCGCTACGTCCGCAACAACTTCTACGACGGCCCGAGACAAGATGGTTTCGACCTCTTCCTCGGGAACTACCACCCCGACACCGCCTCCATCGGCTCCGCGCAGCAGTTCGCCGATCGCAGACCAGTCGCTGTCCAAGCGGTGCCGTATATGCTCGGCATGTGCATGTTCTTCGTCGTCGTAAGCGCGGGGACGAGCCGGATGCCGGACTCGACCGTGTGGCCTTTGCGGCTGTTTACGCTGTGTTGTCTCGGCGTGGCGGGGTATAGTGGGCGGTTTATGTGGAATTATGGGGGTTTGTATGTGAGTTTCATCCACCCTTGTCGTGGTGTGATGAATGTGAATGTGCTGACGTTGTGCGGTAGGTCAACTGGCCTAAGCTCAATACGCCGCAGTGGGCTGTGGAGGCTTACCAGGACACGCTTGAGCGTGCGCGCAAGGATCCGCTTGTTGGGTCGTTTATCGGGCGCAGCGCGAGCGAGTCTGGGAGTTTGGAAGAGGGCAAGAAGCGCAGGGAGTAAGAGTGTTCTCGATCAGTAGGGCAGCAGCGCGCATGGAAGAGAGTTTGATGGTTACCACTGCACCACTTCCAGCTCAATAGACTTGCAACGAGTATGACTTTCCCAAACGTCAACCATATACTTCCCGTCACTATATACACCTATACATGTATGACATGCAGCAGTCTATGCGACTCCACCAACGCTCTACCGCTTCTCGACCAGCAACACATGCAAAGCGGCATACCCCAGCACCAAGAACACAGCGCAGAAAATCGCCAAGCCCGCCGCATCGTCCTTCAACGCGAGATTGTTGAACCCGAAGCTCGACAGAATCGTTGAACCGGGGACTTGAATGTCCAGCCCGTACTTTTTATCTTCGAGACTGAGCGTGCGCACTTCATTGACGATCATGCCTTCGAAGGCGAAGTGGAAGATGGATAGCTGCATTGCTCCATCAGCACTGATCTAGTGTTATTAGAGGGGAAATCGAAACTCACCTGCTGCAACCACCTCGCCGGCCCCGGAATCGTCTTATGATTCAACAACGTGCCCCCAAACAACAGACTAAACAACATCACCAACACGCCCAACAGATTCGCCACCCCCTGGTTCTTGACGCAGATGCCGATGAACAGCACCACCGTCGCCGCCGCGAGGTTGAAGAGCACGATGAACATTATAAACTTCGCGAATTCGGGCCAGTGCGGGAGTAAACCCGTCATCGGGTACACGATCGCGCCCATGACGATTGGTGGAAGGATGCGGAGGGGCACGATGTCCAGGACGAGTTTGGCGAGGTAGTAGGAGAGGGGGTGGTAGTACCCTTTTGCGCGCTCACGCAGGAAGAGCAACCGCTCCGGCGCGAATACAGTCAAAGAAGTTAGAGTAGAGAAGCCGAACAATGCCAGCAGGAAGAGGAAGCAGCCGAGCCGGTTCTGGAAGCCTTCGATGTCGTCCGTGAGGCCGTAATACAGGTAGCCGGTCAGCACGGCGAGGACGAGCGCCGTCGCGTAGTGCGTGAGCATGAGCAGCGGGTTGCGGTAGAGGTTGCGCCAGGTGCGGCGGGAGAGGATGAGGAATTGGGTTGGGAGGTGGGGTTTGCGGTAGCCGCGGACTTTGAGGGGGTGGGAGAGGGTGCCGTTGGGTTGCCCGCCGCCGCCGTTGGGTTCGGAGGAGGGGGTGGTGGTGGCGTGTTCGATGGAGGCGTGAAGGTCGGAGGAGACGGAGGATTCGGCGAAGGCGGCGACGAGGTGGTCGAGGTTGGAGGTTGGGATGTCCGCGGTCGGTGGGAGGGCGTGGGAGTCCGAGAGGCTGGGTGGGGGTTGTTGACGGAGGCGGACGGAGTCGGGGTCGCGTTCGAGAATGCTGTCGCCGGCGCTTCGCACGCTGGTGGGCGTGTGGGTGTTTTCGGAGGTGTCGCGGCGGCTATATAGCTGGCGCTCTTGTTGTTGGCGGACGCTCGATTTCCTGCTTGCCTTTGGTCGGACAGATGATCGATCTTCGATGCTGCCGCTCACGCTGGGCACGCTTTTGACGGCCATGGTCGAGCTAGCTCTGGTCATTCTGCCGTTCTCAATCGATGATAGGTAGCTCGGGTCGTCTTCATCATCATCCTCAGACTCCACTGGCGTACCCGCATGCATCGTCAGGTCTACAAGGTAGTCGGCGATGTTGAAGCCAGGTGGACAAGAGTAGCCGATGCTATCGAAATAGCTCTGGCACCTGTTGAATGGTCCACTGTACACCAGTCGGCCCTCAGCGAGCAGCATGAGCTGGTCAAACAAGGCCACAATGTTCGAGCGCGGTTGGTGTATGGTGAACACGACAGTCCTGTTGTAAGTCTTGACGAGCGTGACCAGGCATTCCACTACGTTGAACGCATTGTATGCATCCAGACCAGAAGTAGGCTCGTCCAGGAAGAGGATACTCGGACTTGTCACCAGCTCGCAAGCTATGCCCACTCTTCGTTTCTCGCCACCGGAAATGCCACGACCTGCACCTTCTTCTGAGTCGATGAGCTGATGTCGGATGTTGTAGATTCCTAGTTGTCTCTCGACATCTTCGACCTTCTGCTCTTTCGCATTACGGCTCATCTCCTTGGGTAAGCGGAGGAGTGCCGAGTCCAAGATGGTCTCATGGACGGTCAACGTAGGCAGCATGGCATCGTCTTGGTCCACAAAGCCGATGACACTTCTAAAGTCATCATTCGACACCTTTTCACCATTCAACCAGAAGTCGCCCATGGCCATACCGCGCTTCTTCTTCCGCGCCAGAATGTCCAAGAAAGAAGTCTTGCCAGCACCGGACGCACCCATGATGGCCAACAGCTCCCCCGGATGCACAGCGCCGGCAATGTCAGACAGAATCTTCTTGCCCTTAAGCTCATAATGAACGTTCTCGAAGTACAGTGCAGCAGGCTTATGGTCAGCCAGCAGCCGCGCATTCTCTTCCTCCTCATCGGTGTCCAGCCGAACACGTCCATATCTCGCAGCACGTCTTCGATTCAACAGAAAGACGAGCAGTATGACAGCAAGAATGAAAAGCGCAAGTCCTGCAATCACACCAGCGATCAAAGGCGTATTGATCTTCTTGATCGGTCGCTCGTACCCAGGCACCTCGGTGTTGTGCAGGCATTCGCCACCACGGCAGTCAAGGTAAATACTCGGATCGCCGAAGATCTGTCCGATCAAGTCGTTCATGTTCGGCTCCGAGAAGACACTGCCATCTCTGTCCGACCCGCCATCTGTTTTGATCGTCTTGAAGGATGCCGGGCCCTGGATGGACTGCTCCAGGAAGTCTGTAAGATCCACACCACCCTTTGCGCCACACAACATGCGATCAGGTACGCACTTGCATTTGAGGTGCTCGCACTTGTACGTCGTGGTGTTTCTGTTGTTCGTCTCCTCTCGCGACCATTCGCACTCGTCCAACGCACAGTAGAAGCTTTCTTTCTGCTTCACCCAGAATTGAAAGTTGCAATCCTTCCTCGCCGCGTTGCAACTAAACGTCGCCTGCGGAATCCCATCATGCTTCAACTGATCCACAATCTTCTTGTTCGTAATATTGCACATCTGGAAGTTCTCGTTGACTACCACGCCATCCGTATAGCACACCGCATTATCCTTCTGATCCCCCGGCATGAACGGCCGACACGCATCGTTGGTCTGGCAGGTATTGCAGTTGACACCCTCCCAGCCATCCTTGCACTGGCATTTCTGCTTGTTGCGCGGAGAGCGGTTGTTGCCGTCGGCGAGAGAGCCGCAGAGGGGTTTGCTGCAGTCCTCGCCGCCAAAGCCTGGCGGGCATTCGCAGCGGCCGCTGGCTTGGGAGCAGTTTGCGAATTGCTGGCAGGTGAAGTCGGAGCGGTTGCAGTCGAAGCACGGCGGGCAGTCTTTGGGCCGGTCGTCGTAGGCGGAGAAGATGTCGGGTTGGGAGAGGAGGGCGTCGTTGGTGGAGTAGTAGAGATCTGAAGGGGAGTCGGCGTACGCTATCGAGGGTAGTGTTGATAACGCCACCACGGCGGCGGCCTGGAGGAGTTGTCTCATCGTGGATGAGTGAGGTCGAGTATACAGCTGAGGTCGGGCCTTGATAGGCGAGTAGATGATCACCGCATCGAGTTGACTGTGAGATGGTCGAGGATGAAGCTGTACAGAAGAATGTACAACTATCTCCCAGAAGTTAAGCTTCGATCGGACAGGCACGTGGTAGAGGTAGCTAGTCGAAGAGGGAAGGTGTTGTCAAGTGGCGGGCAAGCTGCGGCTATACAGCGCCGTCGATCCGTCATTCACTTCCTTCTCGGCGTTGACCATTCCGAGTACTATCGGAAAATAAGTACATCGAGGCCGACGACGTCTCGTCTTCTTTGGTCGTATATCGAGGTTATCGCACTTGTTGTCGCGACGCCGGGGTTCCATCGTGCGCTCTATCGAGGCTTCTTGGATCTAACCTCCAGTCCGTAGGGCGTTGGTGGAGCAGAGCGGAGTAAAAGCAGGTACAAGAAGTTAATGCTTTCCTTCATCTCGTATCATTGTCTCTTCTGACATATTCAATCATTTTCGTGTATACGTCGTCCTCCAGAAAGAAGATAATAGACCACAATGGCGCCTCCACCACCATTCCACGTCGAGCAGGTGAGTACACGAGACATACTGAACAACCAATTCCCTCCACTAACAGACTATGTTTAGTGGATGGACGACCACGAAACAACGGCCAAATACAACCTTGCCGAGACCTGCTGCGCCAGTATCTCCATTGACGAGCTCCTCGCCCTCTCCGAAGACAAAAAGGCTACGGTTTCCAGCGTCCTCGACTCCTCCGCCATCCAGAACTACGGCGATATACCCGGCTCTCATCCCCTCCGCGAGAACCTCAGCCGTCTCTACTCAAGCAAAGCCGGCTCTCCCCTGCCTCCCGACAACATCCTCATCACCCCCGGCGCCATCGCGGCGAACCACCTCGTCTTTTACGCTCTGCTGAGTCCGGGAGATCATGTGATATGCCACTACCCAACGTACCAGCAACTGTACTCCGTCCCAGCCTCCCTCGGCGCAGACGTGTCGCTCTGGCACTCCGACCCCTCCAACGCCTGGCTCCCAGACTTCTCCGCCCTCGAGTCCCTGGTCACGGACAAGACCAAACTCCTCATCCTCAACAACCCGCAAAACCCCACCGGCGCCATCCTCCCTCGCCCTCTTCTCGAGAAAATCGTCGAGTTGGCCGAGAAACACAACATAATCATCTTAAGCGACGAAGTATACCGCCCACTCTTCCACAGCATAACACCCCTAGACCCCAACTTCCCGCCCTCAATCCTCTCCCTAGGCTACCGCAACACCATCGCCACGGGCAGTCTGAGTAAAGCCTACTCCCTCGCCGGCCTCCGCGTAGGCTGGGCCGCTTCCCGCAGTCCAGAAATCGTGGCCAAGCTCGCGAGCGCCCGGCACTACACCACCATCTCCGTGTCCAAACTGGATCAAGCGGTCGCTTCGTTCGCGCTTTCGCCGGAAACGATCCATGCGCTGTTGGGAAGGAATGTCCAGTTGGCGAAGACGAATTTGGAGGTACTGGATAAGTGGATCACGAAGCATGATGAATACTGCAGCTACGTCCGCCCCGTGGCGGGGACGACGGCTTTTGTCAAGTTTGAGAGGGAGGGGAAGGCGGTGAATGCGAGGGCGTTGTGTGAGGCGTTGCAGGAAAGGACGGGTGTTATGTTTTTGCCGGGGGATGTGGGGTTTGGGGAGGAGTGGAGGGGGTATGTGAGGGTTGGGTATGTTAATAGGACGGAGGTGTTGAGGGAGGGGTTGGAGGAGGCGAGGAAGTTTATGCGGAGGGAGTTTGATGAGGTGCCGCTTGCGGAAGAGTGAGTGGATGAGGAGGGGGTTGGGAGGGGTGGTGGTGAGGTTGGCTACTATGCATTATGGTTTGTTGCTACGTAAATCTGTTCAAATGCCCGGCATCTTGTGCTGTTGTTCGTGACAGCCAGAACGCAAACGCAGTTGAGAAGCTTCAGCAAATTCATCTCACCTCCCAACCAGACAGACATGATCCGAACACCAGCACATCGTAACCCAGCTTCACAGCTCAACACTCAGCCCCTAGATCTCGACTCAGCTGTTCTCCTCAAGCAAATCGCAAAACATCATCTAGCGGTGAAGATTGAACTTACGCCATCCCCGTGATCGTAACGAACATCTGATCCTGCACCTGCAGACCCCCGGCCGTGCTAGGAAGAGAAGCCGGCATAGAGAGGTTGTTCTGCCCGAACGCCGTGCCGTAGTTGTATGGCGGCTCTCCGAGACTATCATCCCGTCAGCACTGTTCCACCCCACCCCACCCATCATAAAGAGAACGAGAGAACAGAAGACATACCACCGATCCCGATACACCCTCTCCACCATCATCGTCCGCCCGGTCGGCCCTCCCACCAACTGAAACGCCACCCGATCATCCGCGCAAAGCACATATCCCCCCTGCGTCGTCCCGTTCACCAAGTCCCCGTAACACACCGTCTCCAGGCGCAGTCGGTGGTTGTAGTCGATGAAGTTGAAGCGGACCCAGGGGGTGGCGGCTTCCGGGGGCGCGGGCGGGTTGTAGATTGTGATGCCGGTGAGGAGCCAGGGGCAGTTGAAGAGTTTGTGGGGGCAGTTGGCGGTGACGGCGGCGAGGGAGTGGATGGGGGCGCCGAATTTGGCGAAGGTGAGGGGGCTGGGGAGGGCGGTGGTCAAAGCGAGGAGGGTGGTGAACAGGGCCAGGAAGGCGAACATCTTGTTGGTTGTTGTTGGGTTTGCTGAAGTGGCGAGACGAAGTGTTCCTGGTATGTACGGCCTGGCGGCGGTGGTTGTCTCGAAAGAGGCGGTCTCAGTTCGGAGTATAATCTCAGGAAGCCCTCGTAGACGAGTAAGGTAGAAGTAGGAGGGAAGATTACCTCAGGACGATGAAGATGCTATAACAGACTTACAGAGAATCGCGACGTGATCGCCTTTTACACCGAGCCCACGCGTCTGTCGGCTGGGCACGGCTGATCAAGAGGCAGGAGTGATGTACAGAGGCCACCCACCGCCTTTCTTCCACCCACCTCGGGATCTATCACTGGACTTGTAACAGCAGAATACGAGGCCAAGGCAACCCCTAAGACGACCGTTAGCGCCGTTGAAAGAAGGCGTCGTCGCGCAGACGAAAACTTCCACTCCAACGTCATGGCTCCTGGGTCCGATAGCAGCCGTTTGGAGGCGGTCGACTGCGAGGACGTCGCACACGTTGCACCGGCTCGGGATGTTTCCAAGATTCTGCTGTGGAGCTTGTACCACCCTCGACCTCGTCCGAGGGCGATAGGGCTGTGGCGGTGGTAAGACGAAGCGTGTTCTGTGATCATTACGCTGTGCGCAAGGAACGGTGAAGGATTTTTCGAAGGTGCTACACTTACGTACGCGCGAGGAAAGGGTATCATGCTTAACGCCGTTCGCTCAAATCCATGCCACTCCATCATTCCGATTTCACAATCAGGTTCTCGCTCGCTTGAACACGCTGTGCCCACTCCGTCCAGCTGCCGTCGTAGACTTGCCGCACGCCATCACCGTACCCTGCCTCCGCCAGGGCTGTATCAATCACCGTCGCTGTCACGCCAGTCCCACAGCTCGAGATAACGGGCTTATTCGGATCCACGCCCTTCTGCTCAAACACCTTCCTCAACTGCTCCGGCGACAGATACGCCTTGGTCTCCGGATCCAACAGCTCGGGTACAGGTATCGACACAGCGCCCGGCATATGCCCTGACGACAATCCAGGCCTAGGCTCCGGATCGGTACCCTTAAATCTCCCTCCCGGCCTCGCATCCAGTATCTGCACATCCTCCCTACCCTCCTTATTATGGTCGAACGCCACATTCCTCACATCCTCAAACCCAGACACTCTACTCCCATCTAGCTGCGGCGTCGGATACTGCGTCCGCTCGAACTTCCCTTGCTCGCCTCCCTCCACCGCATACCCCTGCTCCACCCACAGCTTGAAATTGTTCAGCAGATACACCGCCGGGTGTCCGAACACTTTGAACGTCCATGCCACCCGCGGCGCGGAGAAGATGCCTAGTTCCGCTGAGTCGTAGACTACCACTGTGTCGTCTCGGTTGATCCCCAAGTCGCACATCGCTTCCTGGAACACTTCCGGCGAAGGCAGCATGTGCGGGTACGGGCTAGAGGTGTCGGCGACTTTGTCTAGGTCGAAGAAGCGCGCGTTGTGGATGTGCGCTTTCTTGAATACTTCGTAGCCGTTGCGCTTCTGTGGATCGTTGGGGAGGAACCATGTCCCGCAGACTGGGACTGTTTTAGGGGCTGTGGAGAGTTTAGACGGAGCATTGGACTTGAGCGCGGCGTCGAGTTCGGCGGGCGTAATGAGGGTGCGATCGTGGGGGAGGGTGCTTTGGAATCGCGTAGCCCTGTAGGTTGTTGGCTTAGCGAATGCGCTGGGTCGAAGGAGGTTCCGGCGGAAGAGGAGTGTTGTTGTCGCCATGGTCGCGAAGGTGGATGGGTCTGGTTATCGCAGGGTGTCGACGTACATGTCTGCGGCAGCTGTGCAAGCTATCTATGCTTTCTTTTGATCGGCGCAAGAAGAGGAGGTGTTGCAGATTGCAGGCCTGCTTCCCAGGAATGCGCGTCGAGGCAGAGCTTCGAGAGCTAAGGTTTCGTGCCCCACTTTTCCACATGCAGGGCTCTTTCCTGTTCGGGCGGTAGTGCCAAACGCGCCTTCAACTTCATCACCACCTACAACACCACCACACCACCACTCCAACACCATTGCAAGAAGATGAAGCCAAGATGAAAGTGACCTACACATCCTACACCGCCGTCGCGGAATGGAAATGGGATCTCCCAGCCGAAGCCGACGACACCTGCGGCATCTGCCGCGTGCAGTTCGAAGGCACGTGTGCGAAGTGCAAGTACCCTGGTGAAGACTGTCCGATCAGTAAATCACCCAAGTCTTCCCTCATATCATGCGTGTGTTTTTGCTGATGGGGATATGCAGTCATCGGCGCCTGCACCCACTGCTTCCACATGCACTGCATCAGCGACTGGATCGCGTCCGAGGCGAGCCAGGGCAAGTGTCCGATGTGTCGGCAGGTGTTCAAGGAGAAGATCGCGAATGCGCCGGCGAGTCCACAGGTCAGGACGCCCGAGGCGAGGGTGACGAGGGCGCAGGCGGCGGGGAGTGCTGGGGCGACAGGCTGAGGTGGGAGTGGCATGTGTGTGCGCTCGATGACGAAGCTTTAGGAGGCGAGCGAGTTTCGGTAGACCCGTGTGATAAGCAAGGCGCTGAGAGAGGGATGCTATGACGGGCGCGGGTGTTAATGAGCACGCTACACAGAGCTATCTACCAAGGTATAGAACCACTGACCTCAATACCCCCGACGTGCCATACTGAAGAGTACCGCAGACTTCAAACCAAAAGTTTGTCCACGAAAATACTCCGGCTATCGCGTATTGCTGCCGCTTCTCCCTCCCTCTCCGAGCTGCGGCGGCTCGATCGAGAACCACCACCATCTCTACCCCGATCCCCCGCCTGTCCGCTGGACGTCGCATCATCCGACCCCCGATCGACACGCTGTCCCCCATCATCTTTACGACTTCAACGCTTCAACTTCTCGCGCCGGCCGGACGACTTCTCTGCAAAGTGAATGTGACCCTGGGGCCTCGGGGATCCGAAGACCTTTGTAGGACCCAAGACCGGCGGTGGCTCCCTCTCGCTATCGATGGTCCCGATGAGTTCTCGTTCAGATCGCTTTAGGCCTTTGTCGGTCCGCTTCGACGTGTGGCCCTGCGCTGGTGGACAGCCGAGAGCGGTGAGGGGGCCGATGGCGGGTGGTTTTGGGGACTGGTTCGACTTCTTGCCGTCGGATTTGGAGGTGCGGCTTGAACGGCGAGGGGTTGAGGAGGACATTTTGTTCGTGTGGTGTACAGGTTGACCAGCGTGTTCCTCTTTCTTTCCAGCTGATGATTCCAGAAGTGTTGGCGGTGTGTTGATTTTCTGGAGTGGTGTTCGGTAGTGTGGTAAGTACACAAGAGGTCATGGCCATGGGTCCCTCTATACCAGCCATTGGCCATATCTGCTGGCGGTGGAGTGGTGAATAAGTGTTCGACGCATTCACTAGAATCACACGGCGAGAGTACAGCACTCATCTCCGTGCAGCAGATGGACACTGGACACGGCCACCCTTTCAGCCCAGCACTCCCTGAGGCTCAACCTACCGTAACCTCTGCACCATCACTGCTCAGCACTGGCGTTGCGTCACGAGCTCCACCCTCACCAAGCGTCTTGCTCCTTGCTACTGCCGCCTGGATGGCATATCCACGACGATCGACTCCCCTGGCCGGAGGACCAAGTCACTCGATGAATAGCTACTACGGCTTGAACTGCGGCTACTTGCCTGCGATCGCTGCGGTACATTGAAGCCGGAAGACATCGAGCCCTGTCCGCCTCTCAAACTTGCGGCACGGCCTACATCTCGCTCCGCCGAGCTCCGCGACTTTCTTACTTCGTCACCTACCTGGTCTGGCGAGAGTTCCAGCGACAGCGAGGGACATGGAGATACTGAAGCTCGTCGCACGCCTGCGGAGACCTCCCGAGAAAATTGACGACTACTTTGATGAGAATGCTCGGATTGTGCCCTGCTCCTTGATACCGATGGTGGGTACGGTGAACTTGCATCGACAGCGTTGTCGACATCCTCAGTGCCGGGGTTTGGTACGCCTTCGGGCGGATTACGATTGTTGGTCAAAGACATCCTGCCTTCATTTACCTGGGCGGGCCTCTGGCACCCTGAAAAGTTCTGGGTGCGGATGCTCCTCGTTGTCAGGATTTACCTCATTATCCGATCGGTCTGGCATACTGGTAGATCTATAATCATCTTGCGACTCGCCCTCATCATTGCGCTCATCTTCTACTGCTGGTAGATCTTGATGCCGAAGAAGCTCCTCAACACGCTCCTCAACCCTATCGACAAGCTCCGGGTCGCCAGCAGGACTGTCTCTAGCAGGATCACCCCTTTCGTCCTCAGAATCCGTCTGGACTTCAGCTTGCCGTGATGGCGGTTCGTCGTGTCGCTCCTCTGCGGCCGCTGCACCTCGCCTACCGTTCTCTTCAGGCGTCCCGCCGTCCTCAAAGCGCACTCTCTGCCGCCGGGGGCTTCGTCGATTTCTAGGCTCATGGCGTGAGCGATGGCCTCTTCTGCGATGATTTGGCGAACCAGTCTCGCTTGACAACTTCCTATAGCTCCTGCGGTGGCCATCATTCCGGTGCTCTTCTTGGGAAGAACGGTGGTTACGGTGCTTACTTGCCTTTGTGTGCCTCCGTTGGCTTCTGCGATGTTCTGGCGAACCAGTCCGGCTTGAGTGCTTTCTGTGACTCCTGCGGTGGTCCTCATCTCGATCTTGCCTTCGGGAAGAATGATGCGTATGACTCTTATCGGGTTTCTCGTGCCTCCGCTCGTCACGATCCGACCTCCGGCTGTGATGGTGACTTCGCTCGGATTGTCTCGGCTTATCGCCTGGAGACCCATGCCCACGGCTATCTCTACCATTAGAGTCGTGAAAATGTCTTCTATGGTGTTTGCCATTGCTTACCGGCCTATCCGCGGTGGGCCTGGGTCCAGCCTGCGGTTCTCACATCTTGGCCCCGATATGGTCTCCTGTACTCGCCCGCCGGCTCTGGCCGCCTATCGGAAGTTGCTGTTGACTGTACAATCGTTAGCCTCTGATGCTTCCTGTTTGTCAGTCATTCGGGAGTACTTGCTTGAGATCCACTACTATCTCCCTCGCCGCTGCCAGTCGGTCCACTTAACGACTCGTTGGCAGAAGACTGAGCGCTTGGCTACGGCCACCTGGGAGCCCACCACCTGGGAACCCAGCGCGCGGCCTGCTACTCCCAGGGAAATCCGACTCCTGGAGAGTCATCACGCCGACGACCCTGATCATCTTTGCGGCCTCGATGCTTTCTTGAAGACTTCTTGTGCCGACTGGACTTCTCCTTCTCTTCCGTGAAATAGACATGACCCTGAGGACGAGGACAGCCGAACACCTTTGTTGGACCCAGGACTGGCCGAGGCAGCTTTTGTGTATCGCCTGTCCCGACAACTTCTCTTGTGGCCCTCCTTAACCCTTGGTTGGTTTCTTTCGTGGTGTGGCCTTGCGCTAGTGGTAGCCCGAGAGCTGCAAGCGGCCCAATCGCTGGTGGCTGGTTTGTTTCTTTCCAATCGCCTCGAGCATTGTGGCCTATGGGGCCTTGGGTGCCGAGTAGTATCTTCTTCCATAAGCCGGGCATGTCGACTTCGGTCGACTCAAGCTGCACGGGAAGCTAATACCGTGAGAATATCTTGAAGGTTTAAAAGAGGGAAATAGCTGCAGGTCGTATCTTGACTTCTCTTATTCAACCGAAGAGGGCCATGTTTGCTGTGTTTCGACTCGGGCATGACTGCTCGACGGATGCGCTGGAGTCGTACGGCAGGTGGGCAAAGCATCGTACAGCAGCTGGACACCGGACACAGCAAGCTATTCAGTCACACATAGTCTGACGCTTCAGTGTACGGCTACACCGGTCAATCGTGCGACAGACGACTGTACTGTTGGATCTGTTGCGAAGGCATTCCACAACGCATCTGATTATATCCCCTTCAGGACAGAGCTTTGATAGCTATTAAGGCTTCACAATGAGAGTTGAGCTTACTGGCTACCTCCAAAGGATTTCAGCAGGCTACCAGAATGCAGTAGGTCTCCCACCTTTAACCGTTGTTGAGCAGATACTTCATCCAGAACGTCAGCTCATCACTGTCTTCACCCCGATCTTTGACCTAGTCGTTACGCCCTCCCACACTGGAGCTGGCGTTCGTGCGAATGGAAGTTTGACTTCCGCCTGGAGAAGTCCCTCTCGGTCGGAGGTCCTCTCCATCCCCTGGAAGCGCTTGCAAGGCCTGGTGGAAGGTTGAGATGTCCTCAGCGCCATCTGCAGCATCATGTTCGGAAATTGAGGAGTGCTGAGATAGCGGAGACTGATTTTGGTCCTGCACGGCTCCACCAGTGCTCCGTTCGGAATCTCCAGGCGTGTCCCCGGAGGTTCTGTCGACTTCAAATTCACCGGCCTTGTCATACTTGATCGCCATGGCCAGCTGGTCCACAGCGTTGACGTTCTGGCTCTGTCGCCTCTTGCCCTAGTATCGATATATGTCGCCATGTCCATTGGCTGTGGAGGTTTTGACATCCGTCTGAGTTGTATGCTGGTTGAGCTGACTCGGCACACGCTCGGTGCTCTTGCGAGTCTCGGCAGCTGCTTCCCGCCTCTGGCGCTGACGAACAAAAGCCATACTGTCGGCCAGGCTCTGGGGAGGGGTGTGATCCGCATCTGGACAGCAGTCACATCTTATCTCGACCGGTACAATACCATTTGGGCTCATGTTGTACGCCGGCGAAGTCGATCTGTCACGCTGTGGCTGTTGAGTGCTAGGTCGGTCGTCTCTTCGGTCTGGCCTGTCGAGAAAATGATAGCTGTCTTTCATGTTGAGTGGTGCTGGATAATCTGTCGTGGGCGGTGTTGGAAGGGTGGTGAAGCGTCAGAGTGTGGTGGCTTGTATGTTGAGAAGAGTGGCTGATTTCTGGCGCAGGCGGTTGCACTTATACAACCGTCGAAGACCTTGACAGCAGTCATGCAATGGTGTCAGTAGGCAATGAGGAATATTGTTCTGAACCCTCCAATTGTCGTGGTGAATGTCATCCGCGCCCGCAGCGTTGGAAGACATCAACATTGTATGAATGATATGTTACCGTGTCTGCGCGAAAATATTACCAGGCCGGAGGTGTTGTCTATAGATTCATAACTCTAGATAGGCAGACCATCAGTCGACCTTGTATAACATACCCCCATGCGTTTGTGATAGGGCAGGTCGTCGACTGTCCTGGTGCTCTCACGACTCCATCCGACGCCTTGAACCCAGAACCTCACATCATCGAACCATTGCCTCACACGATGTTGTCTTGGCAGCTTCGTCGCATTGTGAATACTGCTATTCATCGTGTAGAGTCCTTCTGTATCTGGGGGAGGTCCATCTCCGACAGCAGCCGCAGCCTCAGCGTTGGCGACGGCCATCAACTCGTTCATCCGATGCCGCATTTCTGTCATGGACGCTGACACACGAGCGAGGACAGAGTTCATGTCGTCGACACTGGCGGTCGTGCTGTTGGCGAGCTCCAGTGACCGTCGCTGGTCGTTGAATGCAGTGACCAGTTGATGCACGTCGCTGTCTGCTTTCGTGATTGCATCGTCCAGAGCGTCGTGTAGGGGTAGAATAGGACGGGCATCTGGATCCCGTGTGCAGTACTGTAGGTAACATGGCCAATTGTTGGACTCGTCCAGAGGATGGTCAGCGTCGGGACAACAGTCGCATCGCTGTTCTGCTACCGCGGGATCGTTTCTTTCGTTCTCATACCGCCGATGCTGCTGAGTGTCCTCCCCATTCGACCGTTCAGCAGCACCGTCATCAAAACTGCTGAGCTGTCTGTCCCCATGTCGCCGGCTCACTTCAGGACTCATGTATTCGTGCGTACTTTGCCGCTCGTTGGCTCGAGACTCCATGACAATGCTGTCCGGAGACGCCGGAGTTGTCGACCTTGTCCGTAAGGCGCCTTGACTTCTGGGTCTGTGATGTGATTGCCTTCTCTTACAGCTCTCCGCTAAGGAGCAGCAGAAGGATTTGACGTGTTTTGGAGGCAACCCGTTGAAGTTCTCCGTGCGAATGGAGGGTGCCGATAGTAAGAGGTGGATTTGGACGTTGTTATTTATGATTTGGTTTAAGAAGAAATAGAAGATTAATTATCGGCTTTGGCACCCGTGAATGCCTTCCTGACAACAATTAAAGTGTGTACGAACGTAGCACAAGACTGTCAGGCTCACCACAGAGCCATTCCTTGACGGAAACGAACCTGATCCTCCATCCAAAGAACTCCAGGCTACTGAGGCCCCGCCAAGCTGTCGTTGTTATAGATCACCATTCCATGGAGTGAGACCACCCCATCAGCCAGCCCTTCCCGGTCTTCTCTCGATGATCCGGTACTCAATCAGCCTTCCACCAGTTCTTGATCCTCCATAGGCCGACATGCCTTCACCACCAGCATAGGAGAAACTCCTCGCTGGTTGATGAGTACGTGGACCACCCGTCATTCGTCTTGACATCCCCGACCTCTGCGTGGAAACATTACTGATCGAGTCTTCCGGTCCCAGCGTCTCGGCATCAAGATCCGGCTCTTCAGCGAAAGGCTGTGGGCCGCCGGTGTATCTCACAAGTTCGCGACCACGACCAGTCACAAAAGAGTCGGACGTTCGCCGCGACATGCTCGATGGCGCACCGGTATGCCTCGCAGACTCCTGCTGTATATTCTCACTTGCGACAGCTGTGTACGAACTGCTGCGTTTCGAAGTGCTTCTGCCAGGAGCCCGGACACGACCGACATACTCAGGTCGCCGGTCCCACTTTGAAGCGCCAATGGTAAAGTAGTCGGACTCTGGCATGCCTGGGACGTCGAGCGTGCGGCGGAAGCCGGTCATGTTGCTTGTTGTGCTGCCACAGACGCTATCGCCGCAGTCCGCGTTGTAGAACGATGGGATCTGCCGAGAGGCTCGGACGCTGGTACGGGACATCCGAGATCGAGATGTTGGTGCGGTAGAAGTGGCGGGCCTGTATGAAGAGCCTTGTCGACTCTGCCCGCTGTAGCATGAGGAAGCCGGCGAGTCTCGTGGCATGATTGCAGGAAGCGGCTCGGTACTACTTCGAGATAGCTTAGTCTGCTTGGTCAAGATGTTCTTGTATAGCTTGAACTCCTGGTCTGAAACGGTGACTTCAATTGTGGTCGAGACTAATGACGAGGACATCTTACCATCAAAACGAAAGAAGGAAACAAAAGGGTGGACAAACATATACAAACACTTCAGCAAACCTGCCTTGGAACTCCGCTTGCTCGAAGCCTTTCTCCCTTGCGAGGCGGCCATTCGCAGCAATAACGCTTACCCAGCATATCATCTTGTACTAAATAATGAACAGTAGAAGCGAATGGACGATGCAGCAAAAGCCCAACCGAAGCGTGGTGGGTTGCGATTCGCTGCACAATTTTCCTGCCTTGTTGCCTTGCGGACTGGTGGCGCTTCGAAATTGTGAGGCTTGAGCTCCAGTGAGGCTTGAGCTCCAGCGAGGCAAATTGAACGCGCGCAAGTTCAAGGTTGGGCTTGAAGGGAACAGCACCAGCGAGTAGACGTCCCTACTTGGGAGAAACAAGATTGCGATGTTGATGAAGGCTGCACTGTGCAGCTCTTTCAGTAGGAGGCACTAGCAAAACATTCCACCTTGGATCCACGGTTTCCAGATTGAGAGATCCATGGTATCTAGATTGATGCTCCCAAGGTCTGGACTTGTCGCGGAATCTGGAATGTAGAAGTGTGGCGAAATATAACCATGGAGTGATGTGGACCCCGACAACCTCAGATATGCAAGAAACATCGTGAGGGTCTGGACGCAGAATCAACCAGAGTGCGGAGGTGACAAGGCTCGGCTAGATGCAGAGTCTTGCATGTACCAAAGTAACGCTCACAACCCTCCAGCTTGTCTATGCATGGTTCTTCACAAGCACAGCCTTTCGCACATCAGCACGTTAGTATGAATGCGTCTTCTCGAGGCATGCACCACTGCACCGCGCTAGACGGCCTGGGGGTCCAGATGGAGGCCACATCGTATTACGATGTCCGTGTGAGGCCGTGGGATATCCGCGAATAGCGAGCCTCGTCGGTTCGAGCGAATGCCTCGCATGCCCTGCATTGTCCCGATCCTGCCCGCTGTGCTGTCAATATGCCAACCGCACGAAGAGAAGGTGGCTTGCATCAGAAAGATACTCGTGCTCTGCTTTGGACAAGATTTGCTGAAAGGCATGTTGAGCCCGTGGGGCCGAAGCGGCAACTCATGTTGTTGAGGCATCTCAAGATAGACACTCGCTTCAGTCAACGTCAACCTTCCGCTGAGCCCGCCCAGCGGAGGCTGCGGGTGGCGCTCATTCCACTGCAGAGGCACTTCCACACTCGCCGTAGCAGAGAAGATTACGCTCTCCGCACCATTGCTGCCATCTCTAGTAGACCAATCGGTTGAGCAAATGCTGGGCACGTTCTGCTCGGCTTCAGGCTCTCCAGCAGCGGCTCTCCAGCAGTGATACCGCAAAGGCTCGCAAGTGACGCTGGGCTGCGACTGAGGAGGCGCCCAATCGACGTCCCTGACCTCTGGAGGAGCTCTTGTGACTTGAGCCACCCTTCTCTGCACAAACGAGTCGACGATGAGGTGCTTCGTACAAGATGAGAGAGAACTGGGAGTTTGGAAGTGATGTCGAAAGAAAGCAGGAGTGGATCTTTACCAAAGCTTGGCGCTAAGATGACTCGTGTCCCGTCCCAGGAGAACAGACTACTTAGTGCTAATCAAGACCAGATTTAACAGTTACCAAGACCGTTGATACTCTATGTCGACCTCAGGTGAGGTTGTGGAAGGTCGCCAACAGCCTTTAGAGTCGCAGAGCTGGTTATGTTCTAAGCATGCGAACGGCCGGCGAGCAGGAGTCGCTGGCAAAGACTAATCACTCAGCATGCGAGAGAAACCGGTCATCTCATGCTGAGACCCAGGGCCCTTCATGCTGGGTGCAGACCTCCCGACCAGCGGCTGGATGTTCGCGGCAAAGACTAGGTGTGACAGAGCGTGCAACGATATACCCAGCCTGACCAAGATGCCCACCTACATCCCGCTGTGGCGAGCGCACTCATACCAGCTCCATGAACGCCGGAGGCTCGAGCAAGGTGTGGTTTCCTTCTTTCTCTTGAATCTTTGAGCGTAAAGACGAGCTGATCGTGCCGTTACTGCAAGATGGAGGTTCGAACGAGCGCGACCGGACAGCCAGCCATTGGCCTTGACTCGAGCAGAGTCAGGAAAGCGAGAATGCTGAAAACGTCGCAAAATCGTAAAAGACTGTCCGAGGCGATTGTCACTCAATGCTTACCTGTCGCAGCATGCGGCTGCCTTCTTCGCGAGGAGACACGATGAAGCAAACCAGAAGCTTGCGGCTTGCTCTTGCCCTGCTCTATGCCTCAGGTACGGCCAGTCCAACACAGAGAGGCTGTTCACCATTGTTGTCGCCAACCGAATCGCGCTGGAGTATGCACTGAGACCACGGTACGCGACAGATGGCCAATCGGACGAGGCAATAAACACTTCCGCAACTCCCCTCTCTACCCGAGATGTCGTCGCTGTTTCCCGCTCAGTCCGGAGTGCATCATAGCGGCGGTCGATGAGCGGTGCAAGGTGTGTGGCCGACCATCTATGGCGGATACGTTCGTGCGGCTAGACGAAGGCAGGCTCTCAGCACCGACCTTCGCGGATACTTCCAACGGCGATCGAATTTCAGCATCAATGATGCCTGCGGCATATCTTATCACTGGCATATCGACATGCTTCTTCCAAGAATGGAGAGAAAGGGGTGATAACTACGATAACGTTTCAATGCGAGTGGATGTTTATTATACTATCTTCAATCAATCAATCGGAGTCTCTTCGTACCTTGAGAGGAGCTCTCAAACCGGAGGTACCTCCTACAGGTACCGTCCAAGACCGCTTTCGATCACCACGAAGACGGCTGAGCGGTGCAGGGCTAAAGCCATCGCTGTCGCTGCAGGCGCCCGCATCCGCTAACTCCAAGCCAAGCGCGTGAGGCGGCATCAAATCCACCCAACGCATCGTGCGGCTGAAATGCCTCTTCAGCCTTCTTGGCTGTCGTGCATAGAGTTCGCCTGCGAATTTCCGCTGCAAGGCAGACGCACGTAGTACAGGGATGATGAAGTTCTCCACCCAATTGATGCTGGTACTTCATGCATGAGCAGGCATCATGTCCGCAGAGTTGGAGGCTGTCATCCATATCCATCAAGTCTATGACGTCCTGTGTCGCCCAGGCTCGCATGTACGATCAGAGCGATTGGTATGGTCTGCCGTCAATATTACTCCACCTATCATTGATCGGCCACATCTTACATGCATTTCTGTTCGCCTAAAGCAACCCCGTCAATCGCGTTGTCAATCCAGATCAGCCCGAGGGCTTCCAGACGTGGTGGCGGGGCTCGAAAGCTACACACGTGGGGATTTGGCGGCCCCAATCGAGCTCATGCAACGTTTGCGGAGAAATATGAATACAAATCTTGCTTGTTCCTGGACGGGAGGCGGCACACAAGCCTAATGTCAACCTTGGTCCAGGTTCGCAGCACAGACAAATCGGGTTGGAGGGCAGTCCGCAGCGGAAAGGCGGAACAATGCATATAATTACCATTGTCCCACGAGGGTAGGTCAAATAACGCAAGGTTCCACTCAGTCTTTCTCACTCGCCCTCGCAACCGCACATTGTTGTCTCTGCGCGCTCACTCTCGCGACGACAACCCATTCATTCACTTTCAAGGTCCCTCACACTTTCACTTCCGCTTCCACAGCTTCCTACCCCAACCACGAAAATGAAGTCCTTCTTCACCGTCTTGAGCGCTATTGCCTCGCTCGCCGTCGCAGCGCCGCACCACGGAGGCCACCACAACAAATGCATCTCCCAGTCTGAGGCCGAGACTTTGGTCGCCAGATACGCTGCGGTCATCGCCGGCCAGCCATCCGACTTGGGCGGTCCTGTGAAGACTGCTCGCGCCATTGCCGCCAAAGGCTACAGTGAGCAGTCCGACTCCGCGAACCAGCTCGGAGGCCTTCCTGTACGTAAACACCACCTCGCAATTCCACCCGCCCTGTGACTGACAAAGCGCAACAGCTCGGCAGCTTGACTGTCGCAACCAAGAGAGACTGGATCTACGAGTCGCAGAACAACCCACCATTCCCCACCGAGACCCAGGCCGTCTACGTGACAGACTGCAACAAAGTCACCTGGCTATGGATCTCCCCCAACTTCGGCAGTGGCGCGTACCCGGTGCAGGGCATCCATTTGCTCACGACGAACGATGACTGCAAGCTCACGATGGTTAACTTCGAGTTCAACAGCTTCGCTGCTGCGCTTGACACTGGCTATACTATCTTTTACGCCAACGGGACTCAGTACGGGGCTTAGGAGGGGTGTTATTGTTGATTTGGTCGATTTGTAGTTTGGATTTAGTATCATGAATGAAGGACCTGATAAATCATCACCGTTTCCAACGTTCTCCGTTCCTCCTACGTCTACCACAGCCTGACCGTTGTTAAAGCTGTTAGTACGCATACCTTCACTAATCGAGCATGGAGATCGGCAACAATCGACTACAGCGACAGTTTATATTGTTTGTTGGTTCATTTGTAACACGACGATGTTTGGCTGGCGCGAAAATCATCAAGAGATACGCGGGTGAACCACAAACTAGGGAAGCATTCAGGGTGTGGTGGGTTTACGCAATTCTTTCCAAACACACTCCATTGATAGGATGAAGACATTACTGTATTGGCTGTGCTTTTACATGCATCTACAAATCAGCCGTCCGTCGACAGCAACGAGCTGTATCCAAGTCCCAACCTCCACAAGCTCATGGACTAGGGAGATCACACGTCCCCAGTCCTGCTCTCACTATCTTCCATCTCTTGCGCTGGTTGTGCCTCCTCCTTCTCTTTCGCCTTCCCAGCGCCAGGCGGTCCCTTGAAAGGCGGATTCCGCTGCCACGTAAGTAAACTGAACAACAGACACGCTGCAGCGATGTACGTCGCCGTCTGCATCTCAGATGTAAACGCATCGGCGTAGACCCTGGAGACCAGCTGCTGCTCGTTTTTCGGAAACTGCTCGGCTGCCAACGGGGACTGGTAGAGGGTGCTCAGCTCTGACGGCGTGAGCGCGCGGTTCAAGGCGGTGGAGCCGCGAAGGTTTTGGTTGAAAACGATGACGCCTGCAGCGAGACCGATGCTGCCACCTAAGGTTCGCATTTGTGTGAGAGCGCCTTGGGTAGCACCTTGAATACTCGTCAGCATGGATTTGATACTGCGGAGATGTTACAAAGGGCATACCTATCCATCTCGGCTCAGACTGGAATTGCACCGACATCGTCACCGAGCTCATTATCTGACCCACCCCCAAGCCCAACGGTACTTGAAAGCCGTAGACGCTGCTCGGTGTTGGACTTGTGCTTCCAAGGCTGATCATCAAGCCAAAGCCAATCAGCTGGAGGACCGCGCCGGCGATTAAAGTGTAGGCGGTATTGTTTCGCTTTGAGCTCAGCTTGCCCGTGATGATGGAGCCGATGGAGGAGCAGAATAGCAGTGGCAGCAGCTTCAGACCAGCGATGATTGGACTGCTTCCGTCGACAATCTGGAATCGTTGGGGCAGGCTAATGTTTGCGATGAAGAATGTAAATCCTGACAGGAGAGTCGACCTAGTGCATCTTGTTAGCCACAGCGATAGTGCCGTGAAGGGAACCTTACATGACTGTGCCTCCAATGACTCTCTGCGTGACCACCTTGACCGGGAAGATAACCTGGATAGTCCAGTCTGGGTGCTCGGACAAGAACCATTGCCACCCGATGAACGCCAGGAAGCACACCGGAACCAGTGTCAGGCAAGCTCCAATCGCACCGCTGTCCCACGCGAGCACATACGTCCCAGCTTCTTGCATGGCGAAGACCAGCAGAATGGAAGCCGCCAGCAGCAAGATACTCCCAGCAAAGTCGATGCTCTTGAACGCGGCTTTGGTGAATTTCTTCGGGCTGTTGTCCTTCGGCCACGCAATGCAGAAAGCCGCCAAAGCAACACACCCAAGAGGCAAGTTGATATAGAATATCCACCTCCACGTGGTAGTACTGCAGATACCACCAGAGATCAACGGTCCAGCGACGCCGCCGATGGTCAGGGTAACTCCAATCGCCGCAGCCACCAGTCCATTCTTCTCCGGCGGAACGGCGTTGAGGGCAATGATCATGGTCATGGAGTACAGTCCACTGCCACCGATGCCTTGGAGAGCTCGGCAGACGATGAGTCCGACCATGCTCTGACTGACGGCGCAGCCGAGGGAGGTGATCATGAAGATGATGAAGGAGGCGATCTCGATGGCTTTGCGGCCAAAGATGTCGCTGAGGCGGGAGATAATTATCGCGAAGGCTTGAACCACGTTAGCACATGGGAAGTCGACCGTACTAAGAAAGCAGTGCACTCACCCATATATGTCAGGAGGTAAGCCGTCACGACCCAGGTTGATAGAGCGTAGTCGTCAAAGTCATTCGCAATACTGGGCAAGGCCACGGATACAATCGTCGTATCCAGGAAGCCTAGGAACATGCCAGCCAGTACAGAAGCGACAAGTAATCCTCGTCGCCAACCTCGCACATCGATCGCGGCGGAAGGTGGCTTCGCATCTTTTGGTGCTTCCTCGCCCGAACGCTCCTTGGATCGAATGATCTCAATCGATCCAAACCTCGAATGCCGCCACGCAGCTTTGGGATCTCCAGGCACACCGGACGTTTTGATGAACGAAACGACGGGTCCGCCATCATCTGTGAAGTCGAAGTCGCACATACTGCTCGGATACAGAGTCGTTGCAGCCGAAGGACGGTTCGCAGAGGCGCCAGCTAGTTGGGGTGAAAATTCGGATGGATCTAGAAAGGATTCCTCGACGACGGGCCTGTGGTTCCCAATGGTGTCTTCGGATTGCATGGCACTCTTGCTTGTGTAGGGAGTGAGGTAAGATGGCGTTCGTCGCTCATAGGCGAGGTCTCCTGTCGAGCCATCGAACTCTGGGAATTGTTGGAGAACATCCTCTCGCTCGTCTTGCTGTCCATCGAGCTGGCCTTGGTTCTTTGATCTGCCTCTGCCACATACCCAGCATTCGCGCTCTGAAGAGGACTCACGACGGCAATTCCAGCATAAGGAGGCCATGACTTCTCCAGATCAGCGGTATGGCGAATGTAGTTTAAGTGATCCTCCAACGTAGTGCACCAGTAGAGCAGACCGATTCAGCAATGGCTACGTGGTTGTCATATCGAGCCTTTGTGCTTTACCATTCTCGAACAACAACCACATGCCGCGTACCCAATTAGAGGCGTGTGATGGTCCATGACGATTGCTGCAAGCCGTAACGGACAGCCTTCCAGTCGGGTCTGCGATCGGCACCCTGAGCTGCAGCACATAGCAATCGGTACATCTCCGACGTATCTGGAAGAGAGTGCGGCCGTGGCGGGTGATTTGGAACTCAGAGTTCTTGAGATTCTCCACAGAACTGCCCGATCCCTGCGAATGGCCGTTTAACAGCCCCGAAGTTGGAGGCTTGGCAGACGGCTCGACGTCTGACTGTATCCGGACGTCAAGATATGCCCCTTCGGTCCCTTCGTGCAATGCAATGCAGCATCCACTCCTTGCGCGATCAGCATTTCAGCCTCGTGCGGCCTCCGATGGCGACATGACATCGTCTACGTCAACGTTCTGCCCAACTCGGCTACGGAGGTAGGTGCTGGCTACATCGACTGGGATCCGGTACTACCACCGGCCGCGGCACTGTTGTCGCACTCGTCGCACTTGTCGCACTGGAGGTCGTCGTTCCGCAGCATGGACCAGATACCGGTAAACTTACACCATTTTCGTTGTAGCTATGTGATGATGTATCGGGCCCGAGGAGCCGTTCACGTGGATGCGTTCTCGTCGTTCACAATCATGCAAGGGCGTCTTCGGGGAAGTTCGTTTGCCTTGGTCACGACTTCCGGTCAAGATACTGAACGATTACACTCATCATTGCAGCACTGGCGCCGAGTCAGCATTGCTTTTGATATAGCCGATTGATCGATCAATCTCGTCCACTTCCTCTCAAGCTCAGCTTCCGCGACTACTCAACATGGCTTCCAACAGAGACAGCGCAATATCCCTGCCCTCGTTGAACACGAAACTGAAGATCGACTTTTCGCAGCCTTTGGAGGGTACAGTGGACACTGGAGTCATCAAAGGCAAAACCGCAATCGTTCAGGATGGGGCAACTGGTCTTGGACTCGGCATTGCTACAGCGCTCGCTGAGCAAGGCGCCAACGTCGCCATCTGTGGGAGCGACCCGAAAGCAGGCGAGGCCGCCGAGACCGATCTGAATGGTCGCGGGCTTTGTGTGAGCTACTTCAAGACCGACTCGGGCGATTGGAATTCGCTGTTATCGACGTTCAAGCAAGTGGTAGCTTGGTCTCGCGACCAGCTGGACATCGTTGTGACTACGGCTGGCATTGTCACCCACAACATGCTTATGTCGGCTCTGCCGCGAAACCATCGACCTGGCGCTGATCCGCCCAAGCCTCCAACGAACGTCCTTGAAATCAACTTTCTGGGTGTTTACTACACGACCTCGTTGGCGATATGGTATTTCAACCAGCTGGAGTCGAAACGACTGGATCCGAGCTTCAACCCACAGCTTCTCTTCATCTGTTCAATGGCAGGGGTGAGTTCCTACGCACTGCTCGATTTGAATATGCGATATGTGCTAACGTTCACGTAGTACGAAGGTCTCGAGTTCGGCACAGACTACGCAGCCTCCAAACACGGCGTACGAGCGATCTGGAAGACTACCAGATGGCCTCGACAGAGCATGGCGCAGTATCAATCCAACTTACTTGCGCCAACATACGTGAGCAAGAAGAAAATCGCTGGCGAGTCGGAGCAGAAACTCAGGGAGCACAATGCCCAGACAAACGACATTGCGGACGTTGTTGCTGGAGCACTGCGATGTATCTGCGACAAGAAAGTACAAGGGCGAGCGGTAGGGTGTGTACAGGGATCTACGGGTACTCCTGGACGGCTCAACTTTGATCTTTGCGATGACTTGACAGGAGGGAGTGGTGGAAAGGAGTTACTCGACAAGGCGGAGGACATTTGGCTGCCTTCGAGTGCTACGCTCAAGGAGGACTCTGATTGTGCTGTTCAGTGATCTGTATTTGCATTAGTTCCGAGCTATCTAGAATGGTTTAGGTCTGTACGATGTGGTGATGGCATATGAAATACCCCTTGCTTCGAAAGATCGTTGCGTCGATATGGTGTTGCAAATGGCTTGATCTTCAGATTCCGACAGAGTATGCAAATAAACAAACCTACGATCGACAAACTCAAAGACACATGATGAGCCGTACCGCGGACCCTCTCGTCGTCAACGGTGGATCATACCTCAGGTACGTGCTCTCAGCCGGAGCTGTAGGTCGTCGGCAAACTGCATGGCTGCATCCCAACCTTCCAGCAAACTGCTTATCCAACGGAAACGATAACCACCTTATTTTGGCAACACTCGAAGATCCCAACCCAATGCACACGCAATGGCTAGCGCCGGGCTGACATCCATGATTCCAAGGGCCCAGCTGGGAGGGGACTCAGGTGCGTCGTTGTACGACTACGGCAACTCGACGGGCAGATCTATGACGCGACCTGCGTTCTTTCTTGGGTGGATGCAGGCATTCACGACTGCTCGAGTACGTCTTCAATGGTCGTCGGTCAACGGATATTGCAGGACAGCGGCCGGGTGGAGTACTGCTGCAGCTTACATCTGAAGATGGCATATATGATGGTGATCTTGTAGCCGGATCAACAACGTTCATATGCTTCGTTCAGCCTTGAGTAGATTCGATCATAATAACCTTTCTCTCTTGCCTTTCCTCTCTACAGAACTTCACCAACAGTCGGTTTGACAAACGTTTCCAGCAACACTTCTTCGTCATCAATTGGTCGCCATGCCTTCGGTCTTGGTTAACAGCTTGAACGAGCTTGCTCGACAGCCTCCGCAAAGTGAGAAAGAGAAGAAGGAGGTGTATGATGCCGCACTTCGATTAGCTTGGAGCCTTGAGTCGCAGCAAGACACCGCGCAACGTCTATACCATGGCGTGAGTCTGTTGATCGATCAAAACACAACCACACAGTGTCTAACGTGTATCTCCGACGATAGCATTTGCCACTGGCAACCGCCCAAACGGGCATTGATCTTGGACTGTTCGATATTTTGAGCAAGCATTCGGGCGACGCATTCAGCATCGATGATCTGGCAGCGAAGACTGGTGCTGAGCCAGAACTCCTCAGTAAGTTCTACCAAATATACAGCTTCGAGGCTGAATCCAACTGATTCGAACCAGGCCGTCTCCTCGGATTCTACGCCGCCCAGCAGATGGTTCTGCAAACGCCCCAAGGCACATTCACCGCCTCGCCCATTACTCACAACCTCTCTCAACCTGGCACCGCTGCCGGCATCAAGCATTAGTACGCAACGGTCCCTTCCCTTGGCCTCAGATCGATCGGTCGATTGATTGATCAAACGCTGACCAACCTCCAGCTCTCTCACCATGACACCGGCTTACCAAGCCATCCCCGAGTACCTGTCCAACACCCGCTACGCCAACCCAACCGACTCTGCTCCATTCAACCTGGCCTACAATACCGACATGCGAGTTTTCGAATGGCGCAAACACAACCCCAAGAACGCCGAAGCAGGCCAAGCCTTCATGGCCGCCCAGCGAATGGGCCAACGCAGCGTCTGGGATGGCCAGACATCGGTAAAAGAGTTTGAGATGTCGCCCGAGGACCTTCAGAATGGACGGGTCATGATGTGCGATGTGGGTGGCGGTCTTGGTCACCAATGCGTCGAGTTCCGGAAGTACCGTCCGGACCTGCAGGGACGTATTATCACGGAGGATTTGGAGCTGGTGCAGAATATGATCAGCAATCGTGAGGAGCTGAGCTCGATGGACATCAGCTTGCAGACCCATAATTTCATGGAGGAGCAACCGATCAAGGGAGCGAAGGTTTACTACCTGCGGAACGTTATTCACAACTGTGAGAGATTATCTGAGAAGACCAATTCCTGTCCTACGCTGACATCAATCGTTTTTAGGGAATGACGAGCCTTCAAAGACGATTCTGTCGCAAATCTCCAAGGCTATGGCTCAGGATTCCGTCGTTATTCTGGACGAAGTTGTCATGCCACACATGGGAGCTTCATGGAAGCAGACCAGTATGGATTTGGCAATGATGACAATGTTGGCAGCAAAGGAAAGAAAGCAGGATGAATTTGAGAAGCTGCTCAATGGTGCAGGGTTGACGATCAGAGAAATTCGAACTTACGACGAGGATTACGGCGATTCTTTGATTATTGCTGAGCTACTTCCGGCGAGGGTTGATGAGAAGTTTGAAGAACCAGCAGCGGTAGTGGAGCAATCTCCAGCGAGGGTCGATGAGAAGTTTGAAGAGCCAGTAGCGAAGGAAGAGTCGCTTCCTGCGATGGTTGACGAGAAATCTGGAGAACCAGCAGCGGTGGTGGTGTAGTGTCACCAAACTGGAGGTAATGGAATGTAACGAATACATCAATGGTTTAAGGGCGCGGAGTATGGAACGGCAGCTTAACGAATCTCTTCTGGTTGATGAATAAGAACGATTTGTATTAGACATTCATAGAATTATTCGTATACCAATCTTCGCTGCGACATTGCTTTCCAACAGATAGAGTCACACCATCACGCTCGCTATGGCATTTGGCCAACATCATGGGACAATAACTCAATTCCCTCATGTCACGCTGCCGCGCACAACAATGATCCATCTTCCAAGGCAATGCCGAGGCGGAAAGAACCAAGAACCTAGAACCTAGGAGTCTAGACAACATGGACCCAACAGTATTGAACGGCGCAATCCGTCGGACAATAAAGACTGCAGGAACGAATCCCATCGACGGGGCAATAGTGAAAGACACAATGGAGATCCGATGCAGGTCCGTCGTTGACGCGACTACATTCGACACGCGAAGCGACATTCCATGACGGAAGTGGACAGACCGACATGCAGGCAAGGTGCAGGGTATGAGCTGGACACTTCCGAGAACTCCAGCCCGCTGCAGGTCAGACGGGACAGAGTATTGACAGTGGCACAGTGCTGGCACGGATAGACAGCCGGGAGGACGAGACACTTGGCCGACGAGGCACAGCATAGATTGGCGTTGCCGTCGTACAATTATTCCGGAGGCTTGGGAGATTTGGAAGGTGCTCGTTCTGGGTCGTTGATGACGTTGACCATGTTTGGTGCCTGCATTGGAGTCCTCGGCGAGTAGCCTTTCATAGTCTGGACGGAGGTCATCAGTTTCGGAGGATAGTAGTTCGTATCGGCGTTGATTGTTTCTGAGCACAGAATCTCTCGTACACCTCACAGCACTCGGTTCTAATCAGCAAACATGCGTTCGTTCAACGCCATTGCCGTCGTTTCGGTCCTCGCGACATACGTCTCAGCGCTCCCGACGTTGAGCTTTGGATTTGGTGCAGGGAATGGGTGTCTGACCAAACACACTGCGCACGAGCTCGTGAACAACTTCATCAAGCTCACCAACGGAGATGCGTTCAACGAGGATTTGGCGAGAGCCTTGATCACGGAGGATGTCGTGGACACTTCTGGCTCCGTCGCATCGATCATCAACTCTGGTAACCCGCCTGCTGCCTCCAAGGCGCTCCAGTGCAATGCTGACCATATCTCATCGACCAGGTAACACCGGACCTGTCCCACTGCTGGGCCCAACTCTGGCGAACCGCACTGAATTCATCGCCGCCAACTCTGCGCAAGCGACTACGCCATACCAACCCCTCAACATCTACTGGACTTGCGACGTTGTTACCTTCCGCTTCGTCATTCCATTCGAGCCGCAGCCTGTTCTGGGTATCACCATCCTGGAGACAGTCCCTGCTCCAAAGGGCTGCCGTTTCCCGTTCCAGATTAAGCAGGTATGCGATCCCGCTTACGGTTGCTCATTGACCTTCTGAAGCTCACAGAATTTGCAGGTCTTTGGCGAACTGAACAGCTTTGCCTTCCTTGTCGACTTGGGCGTCTACGAGCCCATTGATCCTCCACCGCCTCCGCCGCAGAAGTAGGTCAGTCATCGATCGGAATCTCGGAAACGGCATTGCGAGCTGGCTTGTATGACACAATGGATTGTGGAATGGTCATCCCAGCCAATGGCTTGAATGTTGTGCGAGAGACATGTCATCCAAGGGGTGGAGTGGCTTGCTGGAACGTCAAGTTGGATTCCGCGGAGGGCAGAACTCCAAAGGCGATTCATAGAACAGCCACAAAGCATAGTATCCAATGTTTATCCTTCGGACACACGTCCGATTCCTCTGTCTCCGATACGTACCTCCAACGGCTGAAGTCCACTTCAAATCACACGCTAACCGATCCCCCACCGCGCTAGCTGCAGTAAGACAACGGCAGGAACGGCAAGGTTGAAATGCACGGATGGGGCTGGAAAAAAAACGTGCTCTGCCAGCCCTGATGATCACTGACAGCAACGGCTGTTCGTGGCACGGTGGCGTATCGGAGAATCCATTTCTGACAGGCACGGGTGGGTCGATGACGGCTCGATAGATGGCGTACAACAAACGTCCAAGATTCACGTTCTGCCAGGCCAGGGTGTGGTTGGGATCGCTGGTATCGCGAGGCGTAATGCATTGTTCATGGGTCGACGGCTTGGACGGCAGGCAGCAGGCATGTGAAGCTCTCCCCTTCTCCATCTCAAAGCTCTCCCGTTTGTTTTGAATGCAAAAGAACTTTGGTGTACACAACCGGCGCGGCACAGAATCATCCCTTCCCTTCGTTAGTCAATCTCAATGGCGCGCTGCAAAGTCCCCGCGATCAGCATGTTCCTGTCTTGGTATTATCTCATTGCAATCACATGCGTAGCTGCTTGTGGTGAGGATCCTTTAGAGACCTTTGGCATCCATCGAAGACACGATGACTTGTCCGCGAAGGGCATACTCGACAAGAGCATTGAGGCTTTGGGTGGACAGAGCGCGTTGGACAACCTGAAGACAGTCTCGTCCCATGCATTGTACGTCCATCAATGTCCTTGACACAAGCCAGACGCTAATATATCTGCAGCATATGGAGATCCTTCAGCATCGCCGAGAGCAACGTACCAGGAGTCGCAGACACCGGCATCTCAGTTGCCGGTGAGCAGACCATCTCCTACGATCTGAGCGACCCAACACAAGTGGTCCAGCGAATCGACCGCAAAGATGTTCTGGGAGACTACTGGACCTTCCAGCGAACGCTTCTGGAGATCCCCGAGTCTTCCCTTGTTGTGAGAAGCGGGCAAGATGGATATGCATGCTTCGTAGATGGCAATGAGTTCCTCTTCGCACCACCAGAGGCGCCGTTTGGATACGTCGATCGTAAGACCTCCTCATCGGTCCCATTGCTTGCCATATGCTGATATTATGGCCTAGCATTCTTCGCCTACATCCTCGTCCGCGACGCCTGGCGCTTCTCCCCCGCCATCGTGCGCAGCCTCCAAGCCTCTACCGGCACCCTCGCAACCTCCATGGTGCAAATCAACGACGCCCGCCTGCACCCAGCCGTCACCGACGACTCCCTCAACCTGACGGTCATTTTCGACCCGGAAACCTACCTCCCGGCCCGCGTGCGCGCTTACGAAGACCACCCCATCCTCGGGCCCTCAACGAACGACGTCCTGCTGTACAACTACACCATGGTGGACGGCATCAGCCTGCCGCAGAACATCAAGCTGCTGTACAACGAGGACCTGATGCTGCAGGAGATCCAGCTGAACAACTTCAAGATCAACCCCTCCTTCCCTCCAACGCAGTTCCAGGGCCTCCCGCCAGCCATCACCAACCAGACCGTCTCCGGCGCCCCGCCATCACCGGCCCTGTACCCCGAATTCGCCACCCCAGCGCAGATCTTCGAGTTCTCGCAGAACTTCTTCTACGCCGGCCCGTACTCTGGCACGCTCCCCGCGCTCAAAGTCGTCAAACCCATCGACAGCCTGCCGAACCTCTACCACCTGACGTTCAAAGACAACACCGTCTACCGAACCGTCGTAGCGGTCTTCGACGATGCGATCATGGTCACGGACGCGCCGCCCCAGCAGAGCCATCTGGTGATCCAGTGGGTGCAGGAAACGTTCAACCGGTCGGTGACGCATTTGCTCGTCACGCACCATCATCACGATCACAACCTGGGCGCGGAGGATTATGTGGCGATTGGAGCGAAGCTCGTGGTTCCGGAACGGTTTACGTATTACTGGCAGCAGATCAAGGGGGTGGAATTCATGACAGCGAGGTAAGTCCTACCCAACCCAAAATCCAAACGCCTACATGTACCTCTTTGCTAACAGTCTGGATCGTAGTGAGGAACAACCCTTCACCCACTCCGACGGCAAAATGCAGGTCCACGGCATCTGGCACGCCGTCGACGCCCACAGCGCCGACTGGATGTACTTCACCTTCACCACCGCCTGCGCCTCGGCGGACGCCGAAATGGGCATCGTGACCGCCGACGCGTGGAGCCCCGGCGTCGACCCCTTCGGCTACGGGCAGCGACCCGTGCTGCAGTGGCTGGCGATTGCGCGCATGGACGGCGTGCCTAAGGAGCACACGGAGCTGCCGATCCATGGGGATCCGCAGCCGGCGAGCAAGCTGTACCCCGAGATTGGGTATGAGTATCCTGAGTACACTGTTGGGGATTTCTTGGGTGGGGCTTGTATGTGTTAGGTGTAGCAATGTGGATATGGATAGATTATAATCGACAGCCTTGTACACTCGATTGTGTTTACGATAATCGAGGAATGTGTGGGAAGTAGTAGGCCCGGTCCATAGCCATGCCCACTGTACTCCGTCATACTGATTAACACGAGGGATGTTCGCGCTCCCACTCACGCCGATGCCTCCACGACAACGTCAAGACATAGCATAAGCAGTCCCTCCCCTTCTCAGGATCGGGCAAACGCAACTCTCCAACAGAGAGTCGATATAAGCACTTCTAAAGCGGCACAACCGAAGAGTAAGCCATGGAGAGAGGCTCGGTTGCAATTTGACATCCGTGCTAGGAGGTATGATAGAGCCAGAGCCCCGAAACAGAGGAAACGGCCTCTGAGCCGAACACCAGCGACTTGTGATGGCATAGGGGATGTTGGACAAGAGCTTCGCTGAGGGTATGCACACTAGAAAATACAGTCAACGATAGCAGAAACGTAGGCTGAAATGATACTAGAGCTCCACGTGCACAGCTTCTGAAGGGCTAGCAGCAGGCGCCGCCGCGCCCATCTTACCGCTGATCTCCTTGACGCCGTCCTTCATCGCGGAGAAGGCGAGGTCGAAGCGCGCGCCGAAGAACCAGGCTACGCCGATCTGTTGGACATGTCAGTATCGCCTTCTATTTCTGTACCGCGAAAGCATTAGAGGGAAGTGAAGATACTCACCATCGACCCTGAGATGATAACCAGCGTCGTCACCACCGCCAGCATGATATAGATCATGTCCTGCCTCGACTCCGCCTCCTCCCGCTTCCTCCTCTCCTCCGTCTCCGGGTCCACGGCGGTAGGGCGCTGCTCTCCAGACTTCGGCAACGTCCGCGCCGTCTGCGTCGGGAAGATGCTCTCAATAAACTTCTCAATATTCGCACACGCAATACTGATATCCAAGAAATGCGGATCCTGCGGCCGGTTCTTGCGGTGGATCTTCCGCGCGTACTCGCGGAAGATATCGCAAACCAGTTGCAAGTTCTGCGTGGACTGCGTCATGAGGTGGCACGCCTGGCCCTTGGTGATCTTGATGTTGCGCTCGAACATGGTGTAGTTGTTGAAGCAGAGCTCGAGGGTGGCGATGGCCATGCTCTGCGGGATGGCGACGAAGTTGAAGACGCTCTGCTCGCGTACGCCGGCCATGTAGAAGAGGCATTCGTCCGCGCGGCGGAGGGCGATGAGCACCATTTCGCTCTGGCATTGCAGCGCGAGCTCGCGGTTTTCGGGTAAGAAGAGGTCGGGGAGGGATTTCACGTATTTGGACCAGACTTCTTTGGGCCAGAAGTAGCGCTTGTCGACGTTGTCTTCGTGGATGTCGCGGATGATGTTGGTTTGTTGGAGGAATTGACCCATGCTCTCGATGAGCTCTGGCCGTTGAAGCAGGACGGGGTTAGCGAGCTTGCCTTCGACGAACATGCGGGTGCATCCCTCGCCGACGAGGCCGGCGACATAGTGGCAGTATTGCTCGTAGTCCTGCACCGTCTGCACACCCTCTTTGTTGAACGCGGCGTCCTTGCAGTAGTCTGCCATGCCGTTGCCCATCTTCTTGGCGATGTCCTTGATGATGACCTGGTACTCCTTCTTCATCTTGTTGAACTCCTTCGCCACGCAATTGAACTCGACGAGCAGTGATCTATCCTTCTCGTTCGGTCCACTGCCGTCGAACGTCCACTCCTCGTCCTCCAGATGCTTGTGGAAGTCTCTCAGCAAAGGCTCTTTTGGGCCAATGTCGATGGTCATGTCATCCTCAATGGTGTCTAGTCCGCGCAAGACCAGGTAGAAGACGGTCATAGGAACCAGCAGCTCGGGGTGTAACTCCTGGATGACCGACGCAAAAGACCGCGATGTCAGTTTGAGGAAGTGGAAGCATCGTTTCAGGTTCTCGCTCTCCTTCGACTCGTCGCGCTCATGGACCGGGTTGTGCCAGACGGACCACTGCACGATTGACCGCAGCTCGCCCACGTGGAAGAGGTAGTACGCGATGGTGTTGAGGGACGGCATGGTGCGAGCGGTCAGGGAGGGGTGGTGGAGGAGTTGGACGTGTGTGTACTGCCGTTCAGACTCCGTCCGAGGTCATTGTTGAAAACGCTTCCAAAATGCCACCGCAAAGCTGACCAGTAGAGCGCAGTCGCCTGCTCGTGAAATTGTTCGTGGAATGGTTCGATGTGAAGGATCTCGGCCCGCCTAAGCTGTGGTGCCGAGCCGAGTGATATAAGGCATCCGTAAGGCATACCGTCACTTCACCACTTAGGAAGACGGAGACCAGTAAACCAAGACATTGTATGAGCTAGGTGAAGTAGGTATGAACAGGTGGCCCTTCTCTACATGCATATATGATCACAACTCGCAAAACAATGATCGCAATCAAAGCCATCTCAGGTAAACCCTCCAACTTCCCCCTCACCCCCATCAACGTAGCCCCAACAACTGCAGCAGCTTCTGCACCCACGCCGCAAACCAATCCTTGAACGACCCAGTCGACCCAGTACTCCCACCATCACCCTCTCCATCCCCACCACCACTCGCCGGCTTCCCCCCACCGTTCGCAGGCTTACTCTCCGGCTTAATCCTCTGCACACACCCAAACCGCTTATTCCCCTGATCAAAAACACAATAAACATTCTTCAAAAAAGTATCCCCCAAGATATCAAAAGGCAAATCCCCCCGACTCTGCACACCACCATACCACATCCCATTCCCGGCATCCGCGTACTGCAGGTCCTCGCCTAGGACGGTGAAGAGTTTGTCTCCCACAGCAAACTGCACGGAAGGCAACTTCTCGACAGGAATGGAAGTCGGGAAGAGCCAACCCTGCTGGAAACGATCTTTCTTCGCGCCCGGGATGGCGGCGTAGATGGCTTCGCAGACGGCGTCGCTGACGAGCGCGAGGGTGGTACCGGTGTCCGCGATGGCGGTGTTGCCGGGGAGGTTGATGAGCTTGCCGTTGACGGCTACGGTGGGGGAGGCGAACTGCCAGAAGCCTTGGCTGGAGTCGATGGGGACGTAGTGGGGTTCTTTCTCGACCGAGGCGGCGAGGGCGGCTTGGTCGATGTAGCCGAAGGTGTAGAAGGATTCGCCGTGGGCCGGGTTGGCTTTGTCGCGGTAGGAGCCTAAGTATGCGGTGAAGAGCTCGGAGTCCTTTTTGATGTCTTTTTGTCTGTGTCGAAGTCAGCGATGGGCGAGAAGACTGGGAGAGGGAGGAAGGGAGGGGGG